AGTGGCAGTGGCAGTGGCAGTGGCAGTGGTGGCAATAATTGTAACAATAACTATAGTCCCCCTTCATCATCTCCTCTATCCTCACCTCTGCCAAGTATAATAATGCACGACTATGACGGACTTTACGATCACAACAGCATTGGCCTCGGTCATCATGATGTGGCTATGGCGTCATCGGGCATGACGTCCACGACGAGCACATCATCCCTGTCCAGCAGTGGCACGCACAGCAACAATAGTAACAAGCGTAGACAGCAACACCCGTCGCCAAGCAACCCGCGATACAAGTGCATGCATGTCAAGTGCAGCTACTCATACAGCCACTCGAGCGGAAGGAGCAACCATTACACAACGTACCATACCGAGCCCTGCAAGGAGCAGTGTAAGCATTGTGACCTCGTCAAGAAGAAACTAAGCACCAAGAAGGTCAAATGTCGCCATGAGGTCTCCTGTAACAAGGACCTGTCCACGTCGAACCGCGCCAACCACGAGAAGAACCTCAAGATGCACACCAAGTGCAGTGCGATGTGTGCCATCTGTCGCGAGATCCGCAGCAAGGAGCGCAGAGGCACAGATGGTGGAAATGGCGGAAATGGCGGAAATGGCGGAGGCAGTTGCGGACATGGACATGGACATCCAGACATTGGCAGCGGCAACTCTTGATATGGTGTGCCCTCCACGTCCAGGTCCCGTCCTGACCCATCCATCCATCCACTCGCGGCTCCGACCAACCCCTTTCGACTAGCTAGCGTGTCCACTCCCCTAGGAGGAGTAGAATATCCCCACGCCATAGCCACATCCCTCAGCCTTTAGTCCTATGAGCCTCCTCTCATCTCTCAACATTGATCGATCATCGAATGGTATCTTTATGAAGGTAAGTAATATCCAAGGACTTTGGAAGTGTCGAAATGGATAATTATTAACATACAATGCATCAATTCATCCATGTCCAGCCATCATTATCATTATCATCATCAATCTTGGAGAGATACATTCATATACATTATAATTATATATACGTCAACTACTTTGTACGCACATCCATTCACCATTCTCCATCATCCGATAATATATATATATATACAACCCTCCATCACTCATTCATTCAATCACAATCACCTCAATCAATCACATCACCAATCAATCAATCACCTCAATCAATCAAACTGTTACAATCTTGACACAACTCTTAAGAGAACTTTAGAAGGTCTCTTTCCGTGTCTTGACAACAACACGATGTACCAACATCAACATCACTCGTTGCATTTAGTAATGCAACCCATTTCCCTCGCCAATGCTCGAGCAGACATTGGTACGACTCTCTCGATGCGATGCCCCAGGCGGCATCCAAGCCCCCCTCCTCAACCCTCCCCATCACTCCTGGTGGTCCACAATCATTTGGTTCCCAATTGGCCGAGGGCTTCCCTCCTCTTTCCTCTCTCTCTCTCTCTCTCTCTCTCTTCTATCTCCTATCTCTCTCTCTCTTCCTCCCTCCCTCACTGGCCTACCCGTTCACTCTTGCCCTCCCTCCCCACGCCAGTATCAGTGTGATCCATTATTATGGTGCACCAAATAAAACAGATGGAATAGCAATAGCGCAGCATCAGGCGGCAGCAGCAGCGACCATCTAGGATAACGAAAATCATAACTCCTCTCATGTGTAATGGGTAATGTCATTAGTTGGACAGTTGTTTGTTGTTGAGAGCACGCGTGTGGCTGATTTATTGATGATGGAACTGGATAGGTGTTTGGTTGATTGAATGGATGGGATGAATGGTTGAGACGCCTGGTGTTGTTTAACGTGTATGTACAGTTACAAGTGAGGTTGGTAGTAGTGATTGCTGGTGTGGAATGGTGTGATTGATGGTTCGGTGAAGTACATTCATTGGTATTAGTCAAGTGCCTCCTGGTTATTAAGATGGTTGATGTGTTAGTCTCTAATGATGTACAATATATTATGGTCGACCATTGGTTGACCGGTCAAAGAGGGTACCTACCTTGACAAAGTCCTTTGCCTTTCCAATCTTCTCATTGACCTTGGAGTTGATTGATCTCTTTCTGGTCAAACTGTGACCCAGAACAATCAACAATGAGAACAATGTTGTGTACAAAAGGGTCAAGCCGCTAGTCTTGTAAACCAAAACAGACGAGACTAGGTAGATATGATGATGTATGATCGAGTTAGTCTATGTATACTGGATGTGATACGATATGATATGATATTTACCGACGGCGAGGATAATCATCTGGTGCAATGACTCAAGTCTGAAGCCGCCAACGTTGTAAACCTGTGGACGCAAGACAAATGCAAAGTATGCAGCACCAGCAATGACCAACACAGAGAACAACAGTGTATAGTTTGTGAACCTAATCGATTGATTGAATGATTGATAGTTAGCTCAAAGATAAAGATGATGATGAAGATGATGATTTGATGAAGTGATAATAAGACTTACAAGGTCAATAAGAGTACAGCTCCGACTATTATTGCATAGTTGCCAGAATAATATCCGAGATTGGTCTCGGCGCGATCCTTAAACTGTTTGTCAGGGATGTTGAAGCTGCCCCACTTGACAAAGTCTCCCCATGGCTGCACTGTCAGCTTGTTGCTATTGAACAAATCTGACATATTCGATTGATTATGAATGAAAGAGAATGAATGAATGAATGAATGAAATTAATGATTGTATATATATATATATATATAATGTACAATTATATGTAGATATTCGTGAAGTGATTGATTGAAATGATTTATTGATTGATGGGGTGAGTGTTTGAGGTGAAGTGATGGTTGGATGGACAACAGCGCGGGGTAACAGTAGTTTGAGAGTGTGTATGATGGAATGATGAGTTTTGTTCTATGAACTTGGTTGGAACCTATGGTCAAACAATAATTAATTGAAATATTATTTATTCAAAAGGGTATGACAAGACATGTAACTATCTAATCTAATACCTGAGTCGTTACCAGTCGATCGGGTTTCATTGGGAGTTGACTTCTGAAGATCATTCATTCATGTCGGAGTTGACCAAGGTCTCGGGAAGTCACCTCACATCTTGTCAACACTGAACCTCACACTCAAACCACTCACACTCATTCACTCACTTTCGCTCATTCACTTCATTAACGACAAACTACATTATCTGCAACACTGTCATTCACTCAATCAATATCATACATACTTTGTGTTCCAATATATAAATATACAAATAGATACCTCTGTTTGTTATTCTTACACTTTGCTTTTACTGTGAACGAATAGCGAAGAAGGAGCCTTAGAGTATTGATTGATTGAGCAGCTTAATCATTTAGTGAACCAATCAATGGTTCCTAACAATCAATCTCCATCAACCGATGTCATTAACAGCAGCAGCAACAGCAGTAGCAGTAGTAATAGTAGTAATGTACAGCAACAGCAACAGCAAATGGCATCAACATCAAAATCAATGTCAAGGTCACAGTCACAGGATCTGTTGAAGCAACAGACATTGATCGATAATTGCAGTCTGCAGATGGAGGAGGTGGATGAACATGGCGAACCAATACGTATAATGATGATTGACGAAGAGGAAGAAGAACAATTGGTTGGCGACAATCATCATCATCATCATCTGGCAGAGAGCGCATCGGATCTTTATACAAGACTGTGGGCCACATTCTGGGTGATCACATGGTGCCTTCTCAACATGTCACTGATCATGGCCAACAAGTATCTGTTCAGCGTGCTGCTGTTCAAGTACCCGGTGCTATGCATCCTGACGGGCACCGCCATGACGTTCTTTGGCTGTCTGGCATTCATCTTTGTGTTTCGCGTGGCGACATTCCCGCGACAAGCACTGTGGAAACGCAAGTGGCTCGTTCTCCTCTCTGGCCTGTTCCAGGCAGCCACCTATGTGCTGGAGAACATCAGCATCGTCACGCTGTCCATCTCGCTCAACCAGATCATCAAGACCACATGTCCCGTCTTTGTCATGCTGATGATGGTCACAATGTATCGAACTCGCTACACCCCTGCAATAGTATTATCCACATTGATCATCGTTGTTGGCGCAATGCTCACCAACATCAACAACCCAAGCTTCTCACTCGAGGGCTTCCTCTATGCCCTCTTCTCCACAATGTTTGCTGCGCTACAAACAGTATTAATCGCTTCGCTCCTCAAGGATCCCGATCTCAACTCCATCGCAATCCTTACCGCCGCCTCATTCCCATCAGTCCTCGTTATCATCCCCCTGTTCTGTTCAATTGAGTTGCCGAACCGTATGTCCATCTCACGCACTCAATCAATCAATCATTGTACTAACTCACGATGTTCATCATCAATAGTGATACGTCATCCTCCTTCTGAACCATTGTATCCCGCATTGATTGTAACTGGACTGGCGGTAGCAGCGATGTTTTATAATCTTAGCCACTTCTACATGGTTAGATACACAAGTGCACTGTATTTTACAATCGTTGGTAATGCCAAAGTCATTCTACTCATTGTAATATCATCGTACATCTTCCCCACGGCAGCACCAAGTGTCATCAACATAGTTGGCATGGTGCTGACGATGATTGGCTTCTTTGCCTACAACATTGTGGCATTCCGCGCCAATCACATGAAGAAGAAGTCGACACAGTATACTGTGCTGGAGGGCAGCGAGCACAATCCAATCGATGATTCAATTGGCGGCAGCAGTGATCAGATCAGAATGCAAACGTTTGGCTCCTCATCAACATCATCATCATCATCATTGGCGTCAATATCGAAATCAAGTACCAGTACTGCTAGGGATTTGAAGATGCCACTGCTATCTGCGAGCACTGGTGATCAAACTAATGGAGGTGGAGGTCTACACGAGTTCACGATCAACGATGAACACGGTGAGCTGGAGGAAGTCAAGTCAACCTCTGGTGGTCACTGATCAGTTTGTCCATATCAGCCAAGGGAAGGTGTTGTTGTCTTTGATGATATCCCCAAGAATGACCTCATCGAGGTTCATGCATGGCAATTGATCAGGATGACCAGCCAATTAATTGAATCAAGTCAAGCAAGGTTCAAACCTTGGTTTGTGGCCATTGTGGCTGATCGAACATTTGGACCCAATATCAATATTGATGGGTGCCCAACGAATGTTACATTACATTCCTCATTTACCTCAATTGCCTGATTTAGAAGTCTTTTTTGGAGTGTTCCAAGTGTTTTGGACCCGACTTTTGACATGTAATCATCACAAATCAGGAAAATGAGGGAAATGAGGGAAATAAAGTGTTTTTTGACACTTGGTGATGTCAATAAAAGGATCTCTGTTATGATCATTTTAGTCATAATCATTCTATATTCAAATAGTAATTCAGTAATAAGTAAATATGTACTCTATAATAGTTATAACATTAGTTGCTATTATCTCCACATCTGATTTGGCCGTTGGTCAAAAACTTCCCAATTGTCAATATACCTCCTCCCAAGGCAAAGTATAAGACTTCTCTCAACTAGCGTATGTATTTAAATATCAATATCAGATATAACTATAAACAAACTAATATCTAATGGAACCAAAATTTATAAGTCATAGCAATCATAACCTCACTTTCTGGGTTAATCCATATGAGGTTTGTATTTATATATATTCCAATACTTTATAATATTAATACTAATTAATTAATAATAATCATATCCTTTCATTAATTTATAGTATTTTTTTACTCTTTGCCAACCTGAACCATTCTGTCAATTGAAGAATCCTCCTTGGGTGAACGGACCTTTGACCGCATGCCAATCCAAAGGGATTCTATCAGTTGGGATCTTTGTCAATGGGTTCATGGACCGAAGAAGTGGTTGACTCTCAGAGTAAGTATCAACTAATTGAATGATCACCTCGGTCACCAACTCACTTACAATCAATATATTTCAAACATTCTCTTAGTTGTTCCAACTGTGATCTACACTGGCGGAGCAATTGCACCTGGAAACATCGCCAGAAGTGTCAAACTCAATCTGATCTGTAGTGAGGGTCCGACTGAAGTCCTCTCGGCTTCTTTCCAAGACCCATACATCTACCAATTCACGTTCTCAAGCCATCTGGCTAGTCCATCTCCCCCAGTCCCCACCACCGTGACCTACTGCAACTACTGTGAGGATGTATGCAAGGGTGTCAACAAGTGTGACACCTATGCTCTTGACACCTGTGTCTACATCAAGACAGCATGTGGCACCTCCCAAGCTGGCTATGGAATATTCAAAAAGGATGGCACAACGACATCTTTGACCATGTATCCAGACTGCCAATGTTTGATGACTCCAATCCAGAACCACATTGGCACCTGTAACTCCTGTTTGAGCAACAACTTCAATGGCTATTCAAAGTGCTAAACCAAGTACCCTCCTCCTTCTCCTCTCTCTCTAATTCAATGGTGAATTCAATCCAATTGTTCATACTCTAAGAGTAATAAATAATAATAATAATAATTATTATTTCAATCACTCGATCATTCAAGTCAAGTCTTGTCATCAATGTCCAACAACCACACAATTCACCACATTCAATCTGGTTGCCCACACGATGTATTGATTGGGGGGAAGTAGCTTTGTCGTGTCGTTTAACATTCATTCATGCACAAAATTGAATGAACTTTGCAGATTGAAGGTAGTGGTTGACGTGAAGAATACAAATAAGCTTACTCGCTCTAACGAGCTAACTTTACACTCCATCTTATAAGATGATGATTGATACAAGGTAGCTTGTCATTCATTCATTCATTCACGTTCAAATACATACATAATCATAAACACACACACATACACAACTACGTATACATTCATTATAATATACTTACGTCTATATATATAATACTCACACAATATATACATATTCTCACATTTCTCTTTGTGACATCCATCCATCCCATTCATTCAGCCCTTACATCATTTCATAATACATCAGCATCATCACTTCAAATCAAATCACATCATATAACATCACATTACATCATAACATAAACATTCAGACAGATAGACAGAGAATCTAGATAGTTAATTATAATATAATGAGGGAAATGTTAATGATATGCATTGCCGGTGGAACGGCCAGCGGTAAGGTATGAATGTGACTGACGAGCCCGAGGACAATCTAGGCCAACAACTTCGGAAATTGACTCCAATCACATTGCCATGCCATCCACCAGACAACAGTGTGCGAGGAGATCATCAAAAGATTGGAGAATCAGAGAGTGTCAGTGTTGTGTCTGGACTCATTCTATAAGCCACTGACAAAGGACGATCTGGAGAATGTGACCCAATACAACTTTGACCATCCCAGTGCCTTTGACTGGGAGTACGCCACTCGTGCCATCAAGGAGTTAAAGTCTGGCAACAAGTTCCACATCCCAACATACTGCTTCAAGACACATACTAGACTGGCGGAAACATCGGCTGTCAATGGAGTGGATGTGATCATTTTCGAGGGCATCCTGGCATTGTACTCTCAAGAGATCAGAGACCAGATGGACATTAAGATATTCGTGGACACTGATTCGGACACACGACTGAGCCGAAGAGTGATCAGAGACATTGCTGAGCGAGGAAGGTCTCTGGACAGCGTTCTGCATCAATACGAGAAGTTTGTCAAGCCATCGTTTGATGAGTATATATTCCCAGTAAGTATATACACTACGGATGTCGATGGGATGGACTGGGCACCATGTACTTACATTCATCCAGACCAAGAAGTACGCAGACGTTATCATTCCAAGAGGCGCAGACAATGTTGTTGCCATTGACTTGATTGTCCAACATATCAGATCAAAGTTGAACGAACAGGATGCCAAGAAGTTGAATGGTGGTCGTGAATATGTCGATGGAGCAGACAGGTATTGATCTATGTTGTATATCAACACTCAATCAAGTCAATCAAGTCAACACTCAATCAATCAATCAATCTTACAAACAAAACAAGCGTAACAAACCAACACATGGGTAGGAACCAAGGCACGGCGGGCAAGACAAGATACATCATCAACTTGTCTGTGTTTAAAAGGCAGACTCGCACCACAAGCCTAGCTCAATCAATCGGTCAATCAATGATTCGTCGACGAAAGAATCGTCATCGAACAAGCAGCAGCAGCAGTATTAGCAGCACTAGATTACCTACACATATATATACATACACACAACATCATCATTATCACAGAGTCTCTAACAACTTCCTAATGAGACTAATCAATCAAACATACAGCGGCGTATAATCAAATCAATAAACGAATGAACGAATATCATTCCAGCTCACTCATGGTCACGTTGGGAACCAGCTCATCAGAGTACCATTGCGAGTTCCCAAGTTGACGTGGAACTTGAAGGTTGTGTGTGATGCCCCTCCCAACAACCACAGGCACCTCTTGGGAACCATCCATCACCACACTCACCCATTCTGAAAAAACGACACTTGGTGATCACTCACTCTACTTTATCATCACAAACACCCTAATCCAATCATTGATCACGCTCATACAATCAATCACTCACTCACTGACACACAACCGACACCTTGGTGCTTGCCTCTACATTATTGTGATTGTTTGATAGCTTCAAGGAAGGAAGGGAAGAGAACCAATCCAGGAATAGAATAGAACAGAATGATCACAACCACAGCATATAGATTGCTTTCCAGAGCAACATCAACAACATCAGGATCATCAATCTTACTTCAGTCATCCAACAAGCTTGTTTGGTCAACAACAACTACTACATCAGTTACACATGCCAAATGGTCAATTAAACATCATCAGACTATGATGTATTGTACCTCCTCTGGACGTCAACCTGATCTCAAGACCTTCCTCTCGAACTATCCTCGCAAAGCAACACCAACAATGTCTACTCATTATGTATGTTGTGTTTGTCTACGAACATGTGACCGGCCTGACCTGACCTAACACCTCTCCTGCCATGCGCGCTCATGTAGGACGAGAGAAAGAAAGCTATTCAACAGTTCATTGCTCCATTCATTCAAAGAGGTCCTGATGGCGCAACACTTGATGCAAACTTTGTCAACAAGTTAAAGACAGAGGCAAGCGATGGTGATGCATTAGAGACGATATTGGATATTAGGAAGGATCTGTATAATGCACAATCATTCGGACCACTCAGCGATGACCTTATTCGTCTGGACGACGCCTTACAATCATTCCTCAAGGGTGAGCTGGCGGGCGACGACCTGATCTGCCAGCCAATCGACCCAATGTTCACACATCCAACCATCTTGAAACGATTGATTGAGCATGAGGCCGTGCACCCATACTCTGATCCCAAGGGAATCTTTGATCGTATTCGACCTGGACGTTTGTGTCTGGTACTATTCCATCGACGATTGCCCATGCTCCCGCTAATGTCACTGTACATCGCATTGACCGAGGGCATTGCCAGCAACATGGATGTTATAAACAGTCCACATGTGGATCTGACCAAGATTGACTCGGCGATGTTCTACTCTATCTCATCACTACACTCTGGTCTGAAGAATGTTGACCTTGGCCATCTACTAATAGGCAAGGCCACCGAATACCTAATGATCAATCCATCAATCAAGAACTTCTGTACACTTTCACCAATACCAAACTTCAAGAACTACCTAAAGCGACGTGCAGTGTCCGACCAACCAACCACAGTATGTACTCCATTACCCTGGAACCATTCCATCACTCACTCACCCAATCAAACAATGTTTCCACAGGATTTATTGGCGGCTGTCACATTTAACAACCTGGAGAGTTACAAGTTTGCACTGTTGTCCAGTTGCCTGCGGTATGTTTAAACTGATCAGTTCGGAGATGGATGCTGGGTTCACGAACCCTCTAACTGACTCATCCCCATCAAACACCCAAAATAATAAGGTATATAATGACGGAGAAGAAGAGGAATAATAAGGCCATGGACCCTGTATGTAACTTCCATCTGAAGAATGGAGCATCGGTGTATAGACTTAATTGGCGTGGTGATATGTCTGAGCACAGATTGAATGAGAGTTATGGTATAATGATCAACTATCTCTATCAGCCAGATGTCAAGAAGGCCAACTCTCAAAACTACAAACAGAATGGCACCATCATACATCAAGACCCATTGAATCAACTGGCCCACCAACTAAACATTACCATATGAGTACAATCAATCAATCACACAAACGTTCAATATTTTGAACATGGACCATCATGGCGTGGCATGGAGTGTCGTACCCAACATCTGATCAGATGATCAAACCATTCATTCCATCACTCGCTCACTCCGTGATCGAGAGAGTACTCATCTGTTGTTGATTCCAATCATTACAAAATCACATACAACCCTCTTTTGATTGAAGACAATGCACCATTCGTTGTGGCTGGTCCCTACGAGACGCCCCTTCGTCAGTCCAGTCCTATCCCTCCACGCCATCTGCGCAGATTCAAATCCTATTAATAATTAATAAACACAATGTAATGTAATAATTAACATCATAACCCACTTACACTACATTTCTATCTATCTATCAATCAATCATCAATCGATGTAGTGAAGTGTTGCATGATTGATCCATGTGAGTTTAATGGAATGACGCCCCATCAATGTGTGAGTGTGTGCTGGTCCAACCATCACATGACCACACGATCACCTGACAATCACGCTTGACAATCAATCAATCATACATGCATACATACATACACACACTGTTTACCGGTATGTAGGAGTAGTGCCATTATATGATGCGTACGGCTTGGATCAGGTGACGATCACCACATTGACAACAACAATAACAATATATTAACAAACTAACTAATGTTGTAGATGGTCGTTGATGTTGTTGTTGAGTAGCAAGCAAGCAGATTGTCAACAGAATGATCGTGTGTGAGTGTGATTCATCAGATGGAGTGAGCCGAGGGGAGCTGAACTGACCTGACATGACCTGACCTGACCTGGCTTGAACCGATGATGGTGTTGTTTGATTGATTGTTTGGTATTGATGAATGAATGAATGAATGAATGAATGAATGAAGATGGATAAAGTTTGAGTGATTGATGTATCAAGAAGAGGGTGACCAGACCATCACCTCTAAAGTCTGACATCACTCACTCACTCACTCCACTCTATCATATCATACTAATATACAGATCACCTACAAATAGAGGATGGTATGACGGACTTTCTGCACATAGACATACACATCAGCACACCACTTTCCTTCCTTAGGTACGATGATCAGTATGATTTATCGAGTGTGTGCGTGGGAGTGATTGAGTGTCCACCCCTCCGCTAACACAACCAGATGTCTTAAGAACACACGCCACCCCAACAACAATACCTTTACCCTATCCTACCCTACCCTTACCTGGACATCCAACCATCCAATCCAACAATCCAATCAATCAAACAATCAATTAATCAATCCAGTCTTTATATTATGATGTATACATTATAATGATAATCAATGTATAAGTGCTTCCACTAATTTGTAATTACTTTAGCATCCACCAACTTCAGCATCAGACATACAGACATCCATCCATTCATCCATCCATCCATCAATCAATCAACCACAGGAATACATACTCACTCAAGGTTATGATTATGATGATGTGTGATGTGACATCTTAACTTATATATCGTGTGTCACTCTCACTTATGTACTAGATATCTGGCTAGTTACATCACACCTCATCCATCCATCCATCCACTCACTTCATTCATTCAATCAATCAATCAATCAATCTCTTAACATCATCAGCTGATGACCACCTCGCCATCACTCACATTCATTCATCATTATACTTGTCATTCATTCAGTCCATGTACGTCAATTTCCATGTGGACAACAATAATCTAACTCTATCTTTATTCCTCCTCCTTGATTGATCAATCAGTAGTAGTAATAGTTCCAGTTAGATTTACATCAATCCACAACAATTGTACATTATTCCCAATCAATCAATCAGACAACAACAGGATCATACACAATGTCAACAATCAATGAAAGGGGACCGTCCCAATCGACGCTCGACATCCCTCAGCCACACTACCAACAGCAACAGCATCACTCCACGTCAAGTCTCGAGATTCCACAAATTACAACAATTGACCATAATGGCCAACAGTATGACCAGCAGCAGCAACAGCAAAATGACACACCAATGATGGTTGGCAATGGCGATCAACTTCAGGTGCCCCACGAGCCCAGCCCCTTCCACGCGTCCAACGAGCGACACGTCCACTACGATGCCAACCCCAAGGTATTCTTCCTGCCCCCAGACAAGCCCTCAAAAGTGATCGTGCATCACTTTAGCAACTCAATCCTCTCGGTGTTGCAATGTATATTCGTGCCGATGATCACCACCTATCTGATCATGCTCATCCCGGTTGGACCCATCTCCAACGGATTCCTCATGAACTGGGTCTACAACATTGTCTACATCCCCGCTGTGGCGCTGTCCACGTCCATCTTCCATCTGGGCTGGGCGGGCGCCTTCATCAAGGACTACAAGCACATCTCACCTATCTTCATCCACACGTTCCTCTGCTCGCTGACCTTCTCCCTAATATGCCAACTGGTCAATTCCAGATGGTATCCAATTCCCGGCTACATCCTGATCATCCCCATCCTGAGTCTGCTGGTGCTGCCCGCCATCATCTACATCCGCTCCAAGGATCGCTTCACATCCAAACTCAACCGTCCATTTGGAAAGTATGTCCTGTTCATCTTCCTCTGCCTGCTTGTGCTGGCCATCTCGATGACCTTTGTCATCCTGTTCTCATTCCCCACGTACCAGCTGATCGTCGGAGTAATCTACTACCTGCTCATGTTCCTGCTGTGCCAGGGCCTGGTGAGCATCACGCGTAACAACACGCCCAAGGGCACACACAATGTGATCTGCTACTGGGTGGAGACCATCTCCGAGTTGGTGATGTGCTACATGTTCATTCGCATCCTGCCCATGACATTCTACATCCTCCTTGCACTCAAGATCATTGTATTATTCAGATATCCACTGTTTATGACTGAGAAGTATTGGGAGTGGCGCACCATGATCAAACAAAAGTTGGACAAAGTTGATCAAGAAGACTGGTTCAACAGCACCCATCTAGGAGACAAGATCATCTATGGCTTCCTCGGTTGGTTCTTCCCAGTCTCTGTCGAGCGTGATGAGCACAAGACCCGTGTAGTCGACAGATTCTTCTTCACATGTTTGTGGTAAGTTAGTCTGTCAAGGAATTATTCCGGTTCCCCCCATACATATACTCACTCAATCATTCAATCCAACATAGTTACTGTGGAGTTCCATTGTTCTACATGGTGTTCACTATTGGTATTAGATGGAGCCATGTGTCGGATTACTATGCCTATTCATTGTTGTCAGAGAATGCATATATTTGGTTGCTGATATACTCGTTGTTCAGTAGTTTCTTCACGTATATGTCATTCCTGGTGATTCGATATATGTTCCAGGTGTACTTCCACCTGTCTGTAATCAACCATCCAATGATCTCACTCAAGAACAACGTCAGATTGATGATGTACTGTAATTTTAGCGCCCTACTCCTGCCCGTCACCTTTATGATGATGCAAAACAATGTCTACTTCCTGGTCAACAGATAAATGATAATAATAATAAAATAAACTGACAACATTACCCTCATCCTAATATTGTAAATTGATGAATAATAATTATATTGTTTTATTTATTCAAACATTACAATGTTAATTAATTATTTAATAGGAATAATTGATATATATTTCAAACTTACTTATTAATTATATATTTAATAATAATATAATTATATATATACAAAATTAGGACTATTTCCAAGAATATAACATACCTTTTGTTGATCAAATATACTTACCTTTGTTCTTCAAGAATGATATATATTTTAAGTTTAATTATTGGACCAATCTATTTATATCCACTCGAGTCACATTGATTGACATCTGACAGCCATCTATTAAACAGTTTCAATCACTAAATCCAACCACTAATCCAACCAACCTTCCACCCATCAATCAATCAATCCATCCATCAATCAATCTATCAAGACCTCCATCCATTCATCTATCCATCCAACCCTCATGTAATGCTACGTCGGCCATAAAAGAGTAGCCCAATATCAACTTGGCAGCCCATCTAATAATGGGTTGGCCAGGGAATTTCATTCTCTCGCACCTTGGTGTCATTCTCACAATCTTGGCACAACCAAGATGTGCGAATTCCTGATGCTATTACCAATATTAGTCTTTAATGTTGGGCCTGATATCCAAACCAAACAGTCACTTTTAGTTGATGGTGATGGTCGGAATGAAACCTGTAAGGTTTCTAATGAATGGGCCCTGGGTAATGTATTCTCATGTTACCTTACCCTTCGATTTACAATCATCAGTATGCGTCTCATCAGATTCAACAAGCAAAACAACGATCATTTAGTAAAGTCAAGCTCACCTTACCGACTTAACTACCTTCATGACCAGCAAATTACAAGAAGTATGAAGTCCACCAACCCATACACAAAGCCATTTACCATTGTCTGCCTTTGCCCGTCTGATCAACACAACCCACTCCACTTACTCATCGTGATTAATAATATTTGCCCAAGACTGGACATGGTGCCCCATCTGTAGATGTTGAGATTCAGTCAGTCGATGCGCGAAAACGTCCTTTGACGATTGGTGGACCAACGCATACGAATGACCATGGTCATACATGCTGTTTGGACTTCAGGGCTTCGCATACACACACAATTAAGACCAGACAGAAGATATTTTGATGTTCGCTGTTTGAAAATGTGAGGCGACGCAGCGGTCAACCCAAATTTAACACTTCGCCGTGGAAGCATGCCTCGAAGTGCTTCGCAGGGTCTCCTCTAACCTGACATTTTGATATTGATTGATTATCATAATATCTCTGTGGTACATGTACCCGTCGATTAGACTCAATGATCATTATGCAAGACCAACTGCGCAGATCAAGTCTAAAGCTTCATGAATCAGCGCAACACATGAATTCACGAGTGGTGGTGCGGACGGTCTTTGTGATGGCTTCATGAAGAGGGTCCAACCAACCTTGAGGCATCACCGGAGCGCGCCTTCCTTGCTTGTTTAGATGGGTTCATCACCAAAAATATCTCGCCTACAGGTCCGTGCCTGGTGTTGCCAACACCTTGGACGCGTCTTGTCGTGAGTGAACGCACATTGGCATGGGCGTGTTAGTGGCGCTGGGGGGTTGTATGGACAGTCCGCGGAAGGATTACACGCCCGTTCCATTGGCACTCACTAACACACTCACTATAAAAGGGCACACTGATCAGTCGACGAATACATCATTCTCAACTTCATCAGATACATATACATATAAGATCAATCAAATATGCGTATTGCATACCAACTTGTAGTACTTTGTGCAGTTGTGGCCGCCGTCAACGCATGGCCCACAACATCACCAGCAGCCATCTGTGGTAGCGCCTTGCTCAGAGGCGGTCCCACCACCGCCCCCACCGGCGCCATCACCGTTCCAGCCGGCGACAACTCCAACGTCAACTGGAACCAGCCAGGCAAGACCTTCTGGTTTGCCCCAGGTGTCCACACCCCCGGCAGCGACCTCTACGCCCAGATCATCCCCGGCGACAACACCAAGTTCATCGGTGCTCCAGGCGCCATCCTCGACGGCCGCAACCTCAACTTGTACGCCTTCACCCAACCCGCCGTCAACGTCACCATCCGCTACCTCGAGATCAGAAACTTTGGCACTGGCAAGTCCAACAACGATGAGGGTACCGTCAACCACGACTACGGCACTGGCTGGACCATCGAGTACAACTGGGTCCACGACAATGATGGTGCTGGAATCTTCCTCGGCTCCAACTCTGTGACCCGCTACAACTGTCTCCAGAACAACGGCCAGTACGGTTTCAGCTCGTACGCCCCAGAGGGAATCCGCAACGTCGTCCTCTCATACAACGAGATCGTTGGCAACAACGTCGACGACTGGGAGAAGCTCCGTGATGGATGTGGCTGCACTGGTGGTGGCAAGTTCTGGGATGTGCACGGAGCCGTCGTCACCTACAACTGGGTCCACGACAATCGTGGACCAGGTCTGTGGGCCGACAACAACAACGCCATGTTCCTGTTCGAGAACAACTTGATCGAGAACAACGACGGCATGGCCATCTTCTACGAGGTCAGCTACAACTTTGCCATCCGCAACAACACCTTCCGCAGGAACAACATCGTCAACGGCAAGCACCGCGCTACCGCTGGCGACAACTTCCCCGAGGGTGCCATCTACATCTCCGAGTCCGGTGGCGACGCACGCGCCGGCAACCTCTACGTCCAGTCTGAGATCTCCAACAACCTGTTCGAGAACAACTGGGACGGCATCGTCCTTTGGGAGAACGCCGACCGTTTCTGCCGCCCCAACGAGGAGTTTGACACCACCAACGGCTGCCCATTGTTCAACAACACCTGGGGCTTCCGCTACAAGACCCAGAACATCAAGATCGAGAACAACCAGTTCCGCTTCGACGCTGCCTCGGTCAACTGCACCAACGGAATCTGCGGTCGCCAGGCTGTCTTCTCCAACTGGGGCACCTACCCAGCCAACTCGCCATACCTCGGCACCAAGATCCAGGACGCCATCACCTTCAGCCAGAGCAACATCTGGAGAAACAACGCCTACTTTGGCAACTGGAGATTCATGCCCCACGACACCGACATGAACCTGTCCTTCACCCAGTGGCGTGCCGCCCCATACAACCAGGACGCCGGTAGCACAGTCAACGGTGCCACTCCAACCCCAACCCAGACCACCACTCCAACACCAACCCAGACTACCACCCCAACTCCAACCCAGACCTCCACTCCAACTCCAACTCAAACCACCACTCCAACTCCAACCCAGACCTCTACTCCAACTCCAACTCAGACCTCCAACATCCTCGACGCCAACACCGCCACCTTGGAGGGATCCATCGGTCAATGGGTCAGCTGGTACTCTGCCAGCGTTGCTCAGTCCACCGCCCAGAAGCACTCTGGCGCCAAGTCTCTCTTGGTCACCGTCACTGATCCATGGGGTTGGGGAGTCACCTCCAACAACTACCCAGGTTTCGCCGCCACCGCTGGCTCCAAGTCGGTCTCCCTGTGGGCTCGTCTCGGCTCTGGCACCAACGTCCAGCCAACTCTCTCCATGAAGTGGTTGAACAGCGCTCAGTCCGTCCTCCAGACCAACAGTATTGCCCTGTCCCCATTGTCCACCACCTGGACTCAAAAGACTGCCACCATCACTGCTCCAGCTGCCACAGCCTACGTCCTCATCGAGCTCACCGGTTCCGATGCTGTAGGTTCAAGCTTCTTCCTTGATGACATTGTCATCGTCTAAAGTAGGAAGTAGTAGTAGTCCACTCCGTACCACCCTAGCTTGCTTGTCCTAGCCTTCATTCAATCATACATTCATACATTCAAGCTACCTTATGTCAACATTAGTGTGTTGACCTGACCAAACGATTAACAACCGTTCATCCAATAAACTAAGTTATTATTTATACTACATATAATCATTCATTATTATTATGTTATTATCTCTATCTTTGAGTCATTCAAACAAATGATGACAAAAGTGTGATGTTCACCCTTTTTTTTCATTCATTCGTTCAAGTCCACAAACATATACTTGATAGAGATACTACACATAAGTATATATAAAGTATGAGTAACAATAATAACAATAATAATAATGATGATAAAGGTATTAGAACAAGAACAAAGGAGAAGAAGGAACAGGCTTTGGCTCAACCATCAACAGAGGATATACAGAGGGAGCTGGAGAAATTGATGTCCTCGAGCAAACAACCGATTGATTCTGTGTTTCAGGAGTTGGCAACTCTGACAAAGGGATTGTCGCAGACTGATATCAAACAGAAGGAGTTGAAGGGACAGCAGGGTGCCATCCCGCCACGCAAAGCACAGATCACCAGGTTCATGGCCGAGCGAGAGTCACTCGTGAACATGCCAGGCTTTAGTACCTTTGTTACCACTACCACCCAGAGCAGTATAACAAAGCCTGTTCCATGCACCCAGGACGTGATGGAGTTGACTCCAATGAGAATGCGCGACATGTTTGTGGAGACCGTTCACAAGGGCAAAGTACTGATCCTGCGCACAATCTGTCCTCCCTACAAGGTCAACGCAATCTCACTCCTGGTGATCGATCAGTACGGAGGCGATGAAGCACATTACCTGATCGTGTACAACTTTGTAGTTCCAGGTGCTGCTGGTGGCGACAAGGGATTCAAACACCTGGACTTAGCCTTCCCAGGCACTGTGTTGGCGCTCAAGGAGCCCTATCTCAAGTATGCCAAGAGCGGCCAGATAGTCATCCGTGTGGACGACCCCATCGAGATCGAGAAGATCGACGACCCGAACCATCCACTCATCTTCAACACCGAGTGGAAGGTGTCCATGCTGTCCAACATCCCCAAGGACCTGGATGGTTGGCGCCTTCGGGGCAATGATCAATACAATGCTGGTAGATTCGATCAGGCATTGGCAAGCTACAATCAAGGACTGGCATTGGACCCACAACACTCTGTATTGTCACACAACAAGATGGCGGCACTCTTGGCACTCAAGCACTACCATGAATGTATCCTGCTGGGCCTGAAGCTTGTGGAGATAACGCCCGAGAATGAGAAGCTCCTGCTACGTCTGGCACGTTGTTACTATGAGCTTGGGCTGTACGACCTGTCAAACGAGCGTTACAGCCAAGTTATCAAGATTGCACCAAAGAATAACGATGCCAAGAGTGGAGTTCAAAAGTGCACGACCAGACTATCAGAGTTGCGCGAGGCTAATTACAACTACAAGAAGATACGCGAGACACTCTCACCAGAGGGTCATGCAGACTGTGCCGAATACATTGGACCTATCAAGATCATTGATACGCCAGACATGGGTCGTGGACTTGTCCTCACCCAAGACGTCCCTGCAGGCACACTGCTCATCGCGTCAAGGGCTGTTGGATACTTCAAAGGTCAACCAACAGATGAATTGTATGTTATTCATTCAATGAATCAACGGCACAATCACTCAACCAATCCAAACGAACTAATCAATCACTCCATCATTTTCCAGGCCATATATGGACATGTCTGCAAAGATAATGCTCAAGAACAGTGATTTGAAGATTGCTTCACTGTCGGTCCTTCAAGCAAAGGCAAATCCATGCATTTCAAAACGACTCTCTTTGTTGTATTATGGCAAAGAGGCGATTAGCGCTGACAACACACCACTGGACGTGTTTATGCCACCTACAACAATCAGTTTCGAAGGTGCACCAGTGATTGGTCAGGAGTTGGCAAAGAGGATCACGCAGTTCAACGCCTTCACTGCCGATGACTACGAGAACATTCAGGCCAACACAATGAGCAAGATCGTTGGTCTCTGGCCACTGCCCTCGCTCCTAAATCATTCATGCATTTACAATGTCTCTCGATTCTTCATTGGCGACTTCATGTTTATCTACTCAAACAGCAACCTGACGGCAGGCCAGCAGCTATTCTCATGCTATATGGACAATGGACAAGAGTACGCCGAGCGATGCGAGACCTTAAAGAATGGATTCTCCATCGACAAGTGCTCATGCCAGTTGTGCGAGTGGGACAGAGCAGAGAACCCAGACAGCGTCAAGCAACGCCAGAAGTTGGCCGCGTCTTTTGATCAATACCGCGACCGCATCAAGAATAGGGACTTAACAGTGATCAACCAGTTGTCTTCATTGTGCAACCTGATACACTCCACCTACAAACCGGATCGTCCATTCTTCCACAGTGCCATGTTCCTCACTGGTACTGCGCTTGGAATGATGTGTGGTGCAGGAAAGTATGAAAAGGGCATGGAGGTCTACATTGAATGTGTCAAGTCCACTGGCTTTGACCCATCGTTGCTAGACATGACCGTGCCCAAGTCACCAGAGGCCAAGAAGAAGCAGAAGCAGATGGCGACAAAAACATTTGAGTTAGAGACACGTGGAAGAATGGCAATGATCAACTACACTCATATAGACCTATTCATTCACATTGCTGAGTATGCCTATAATCTTGGACGATTCACCCTCGCTCGTCAATGTGTGGCCCTGTCAAGATTTGCCGGACTGATCACACATGGACTCGATCCAGTATCCTACAAGAAGTTCTTTAATGGCAAGAATTTCAATCCAGACCTATTCACCTTTACTGACAAGGTATCATTCAAATAAATCAACTCTCTTTGTTTCCAAATTAGGAAATTGATCAGCCAGAATTTTGATTGAGTGTGAGATGATCATCATTATTGATCAATCGTACAGATAATACAATGACCAAAATAAAACGACTACAATGCCATCCAGACTATACATGCAATTCAGTTCAATCAATTGAGTGCGAGTTCAATCGAACCGATCATTTGATCACAATCAAGTACGTGATCAAAGGTAAGATCAATGATATATTGTTGCCAGTTACAACGACATCATCAAGGCTTGATCAACTATGGCAACATACATGCTTTGAAGCATTCATAAAGCATGGTCAACAAGATATCAATGGTTATCACGAGTTCAACTTTGCACCTTCAGGAGATTGGGCTGCATACACATTCACAAACTACCGCGAAGGCATGACAGATGCACCAATGAAGTCAAGTCCAACAATTGAAACAAGTCAGAGTAATACGAATGACTCACTCACAGTCACTGCAAAGATTGTCGATGCTCCAACTGATCAATTGAGTGGTCCAGTCGGTCTCTCGGCAGTGATCGAAGAGACAAACGGAACAATCTCATACTGGGCACTGGCACATCCAAATGGCAAGGCAGACTTTCACCACAATGATTGCTTCGTTCTATGACTGGAACTGAGCAAGAATGAATAAACCATCAGCACAATGGACGCAGGGAGGTGGCCGATATTGCCTTCTTTTTCCCTCTTCGAGTCCTTAAAAAAAAGTTAAAAGGATCTGCCTTTTGCCGGGATCGAACCAGCGACCTTAAGATCTTCAGTCTTACGCTACTACCAACTGAGCTAAAAAGGCGATGAGTCCTGAATACCCAAAATCTGCTCTTTTATTCTAAAAAAAATGTTTTTTTAATTTCAAAAAATAATCTCCCATGTAATTATTGGTGTCATCACCAGAAGGCCTCGGGTAGTTGATAAGAAATTTAAGTGATTATGTTATTTATTTACCCTTGTTAATGAAATGGATATTTGTATTGATCATCTTACTGGTAACTAATGGACATGGACCCTTGTTGATGTTGGCAAGATCGGTTAATGTGAAAGGAATGCAGAATCCATATCTAATGAAGACTGGATATTGTCCAGATTGGAATACCCTTGAGAATGGATTCAAAGGATTGTTGGCCTGACTCACTAACTTGTTGGTCCACTCCTCCATTGATATCTCTTTCAAAATTTGTTGACCTTGATTATTGACATTGATCGAGCTACACAGCTCTTGAACACTGATTGAATGTTGGTTGGCCAGATGATAAATCGGGGTGGAGGTGCGATCCTTGGCTACATCACTCCATAACTGATTGGCCAGTGTAAGATGGGCGATTGATGATGAGACCCAGTCCACTGGTGTCAAGTTCAGTTTGTTGTTGGTGGCCAGCGAGGGGTAGGCGCCCATGTAGATGAAACCTCTGATGATCAGTCTGATCAGGTCATGCTCATTGTCTACACCGCTGACAGAATGAGCATAGATTGAAGATGGACGGAACATCATTGTTGGGATACCTCGTGCATGTGCCTCCTGGATCAATTGTTCACCAACAAGTTTGGACTGTTGGTATCCATACATGGTGTCAATGTCATTGATGTTTGGCTGGTCAAGATCGGTGATGTACCTGTTGAGTCTGGCAAAGCATCCTATTGTTGAAACATGTGCCACACGTATGATCTGGGGTCCAAGGCATGCCAGACGTAGGACCTCGGTTGTACCATGTACATTGGACTGTCGCAGGTTCTCATAAGGACTGATAAGATTGACAATGGCACCATTGTGTAGGATGATGTCGATGTTGTTGGCCAGATACTTCATCTGTCCAAGGTTGAGACCAAAGTTATCCAACTCGAGGTCACCCAGTACCGGGTTGATCTTCTCGATCTGTTGATCTCTGAGATGGATATGCTTCGATTGTAGTAGACGTACAATGTGAAGCTTTGCGGACTCTAGAGTCTTGTGACCACGGACGAGACAATAGATGTTGCCACACATTGAACCAGTGCTGACTAGGAGATCATAGAGTAGGAATGATCCAAGGAATCCAGTACATCCAGTGAGTAGAATATTGTTTCCAGATTGCTTCATTGGTTTGATAGTCTTGCCCTTTGTTGTTATCGAGGCATCCAATGTCATCTCCCTCTTCCAATCAATCTTGGCAGGCTTGACATCATTGGTCTGATTGGGTCTCAATCGATTGAATATCTGTTTGAGACTTATATTCTTGTTGAGGATGAATTGTGGAGTGATCTCAGGGTTGGACTCTAGATTATTTGATTGATTGATTGGGTATGTCAATAAGCGATCGTGAGTGATGAGACTATCCCAGTGAAATTACATACCCTTCAACAAGTTGGATAACTTGACGGCACCGATGGAATCACCACCAATCTGAGTGAAGGAGATACCTTCGAGGTCATCATCACCAAGTTGGTCAAGGTCCAGACCAAGTACCATCTTGAGGTAGGTCTCAAGCACTTGTTCACATGACTTGCTACCAGAGTTGTTACGCAATCCATCTTGAATTGAATCAATAACTTCATACATCTCCAATATATCATTCTTGTAATGATTGAATATCTCATTGCGGACGTACTTTCCAGTACCATTGATCATTCCATTCTCCACTGTCCATGCCTTCTCAGATATACTGATAATCTTTGGTGTCTCATAGTTGGATAACTATGTTTGAATGATTGATTGTTTGAGTGAGTGAGTGAGTACAAGATGTGAATGGGATCATTCCTTTTGGACATACCTTGTTCTCCTTTGATATCCTATCAATCTCACGCATTATTAGACGTTTGATCATGCTGCTTGACATGTTGGAGCCGTACTTTTCCAACACAACTCTCTTTGGTACAACCACTGCCACAAGGAATGACACATTGGTATCACCATAAATGAAGATGTTCTCAATCATTGGTGATGCGTAGAACATGTTCTCCAATGGTTCAGGGCTGATGAATGGGTGAATGGCACGAGTCAGTATGTGATTGATTGATTGTTTGATTGAATGAGTTGGACAAACTTACACAACAAACTCTCCATTGCTCAACTTGAATGCATTCTTCATTCGATCGATGATCTTGATCTTCCTTGGTGCCAACTCTTCGATAATGTCACCAGTGACATACCATCCATCGACAAAGGCCTTCTTACCAGCCTCATCATTGCGGTAGTATCCACTGCTGATTGATGGCGAGCGCACCATCAATTGACCACGAGGATTTGGTTGATCATCCACCGAGTATCCAAGCTCCTTGCATGTCTCAATCCTATACTCCACATTTGGCAACACATTACCATTGACACTGACTATAAGTGATTCGGTGCTGCCGTATGTCACCAAGATGGGTACGCCAGTCCAGCACTGCTTCATGAATGCCATGGTGTCGTCGCGAAGTGGTGCTGATCCAGTGACGATCTGAGAGACACGGTCGCCCAGGACCGTCTTGAACTTGTGGACCATGGCGGTCTGGCATTGCTCAAGCTCCAACTGTGGATGCTCCAGACGGTAGTCCTCCAACTCTCGCTGGTACTGTGAGAAGATGATGTTGAACACTCTTGGTACGCCCCAGAAGCTGTGTGGACGTAGTTCGCGAAGGTCATCAAACAATGTCTCCATGTTGCCTGAGAACAATCCAATCCTGCCACCACTGTACAGATTCTTGTGATCGAACCTCCTCTGAGCATGTGCCATCGTCGAGTAACTCAACACAACATAAGGATAATCATTCTTTGACTCTGCCACAAAGTTGTTATTCTCTCGATCCCTTGATATCACTCCCTTTGGTAATCCAGTGCTTCCACTTGAGTATGCTATATTGTTGGATTGGAAGTTAGTGGAGGTGTATAGGGGTGGGGTGGAATGATTCCTGAATCACTGGATCACTTACTCAGTGCCATGATATCATCAGACTTTAGTGGATTGTGAGGTAATGGTCTTGATCTACGACCACAATCCAACATCTTGGAGAATAGTCTGAACTGGATGTTTGATGGCAAACGAAGACGTAGTTTCCTATCATAATCATTCTCGATGTGGACTATAACTTTGAGTTTGGTATATCTACCACTCTCAAGTATCTGTACAAGTGTTGGCATGGCTGTCTTTGAAATGACCATGCATGAAGTCTCTGAGTTATTCAACAACTCTGACATGGAGTTAACATCTATGATTGTTTGGGATATTAGTATTCCACCTCATGATTGATTGATCGATCAAACAACATACTCAATTGATGATGATAGGGTATAACTCTCATTCCAAACCAGAGACAAGCAAAGTCTGCATAATACCATTCCAGGCAATTGTTGGAACATATTCCAACGAATGATCGCTGATTGATTGATTGAATGATTGAATGAGTGAGTGAGTGAGTGATTGAGTGGATATCAATCATAGAGTGAAGTACATACAGTGGGCAGGAGACGCGCCAGTGCATTGCCAAGCCATTCGGACTTTTGACGAAGGTCAAAGTATGTCTGCCATTGGTATTCACCTAGACCAAAGGGATGGGCTGTTGACTTGGTAACTTGTTTCCTTGTTCCAAGACATGGCCTATCCCTATACACCTCAAACACAGTCCTAAAAGTATCATAGGTAGTTGCGCCCTTGTTGGTGGCCAACAATGTGCTCTGAGACTCTGTGAACAACAAGATAATGTTAATAAGATGGTGATGATTATTGTGGAGGTGACTTACTGGTCTCAAGAGTGAATTGATGGGGTACTTGGGCACTGTCCGTATGTTTGTAGATGAATGGACAGTTCTGGATGAGGCATGAGCGGTCAAGTGGTGGGTTGGAGTGGAACTCAACATCCTTGCGCCAACAGGGTGGACACAGTTGTAAGCCTTTACACTCGGTACAGACGTACCTGGCCTCACCCTCATTGAAGGGGTGGACACAACCTACACATTTGACTTCAATGTTTGTTGTTGTGGACATTGTTTGATTGATTGATTGATTGAAGAATGGATTATTATTAATAAGATTAATAATAATTAATATAGTATTTGAATGAAGGTGAAGTTGATGATTGAATGGATGTTGACTATTTAGTAGTAATCCAGTGCACCTGGATTGATTGATTGATTGATTGATAAATGGCTCGCATATGCCTCTTGGTCAATTATCCATTATTGGATGGCCGGTTGGCCAAACAAATATGTAGACAGACGTAAAGGGGTTCCCAATAGAGGTGGAAGAGTGAATGTATGATTGATGGTTGGGGACATCGATGAACAAATCTTTGGAAGTGTGTTGTGTGTTTGTGTGAGGGTGTAAGAGCCGAAAGTGATTGGTTGATGGGTGATTAAATGTGTGTGTTTGATTGATTGGTGTGTCAGCTGACAACTACATCGCCTACATGTCGGAATGGGCGTTAATCAATCAATCAATCAATCAATACTTTAAAATGATCATCGCCTGGTCTTCCTTCCACAAACCACTCACTCTCTTTCCACATTCATGTTGTGATCACAATAAGTGTTGTTGTTGTTGTTGTTGTTGTAAGGTATAGAGCGATAGTGAGAGTGAGTGATGAGTTAGTGAGTGATACTATAATCTAATAATAATCAATCCAACTGCCATAGCAGCCCAACAACATTACTTATAAATCTAATATCTATATGATCGAATGACCGTACCTTGTATCATATACTCCCATCCTGCTTCTTCTGGATATAATTTTAGAGGTGGTTGTGTTTGAGTTTGAGTTAGTCGTATGTGTGATATAGATTGATTGATTGAGTGGTATGATATAATGATCATCGTGCCGCCAATGATCATTCCTATTATGATGTCTGTCTGTCCGTATGTGTGTTTGTATGTGTAAGTATTGGATCACTCTCTTTAAGGTCTGAATGATCGATTGATTGAATAGTGTTGCTTCTGTGGTTGTTGGTTGTTACTAAAGTGTACAAATAAGCCAGTCCACGTCACTTTATTTGACATTGGATGCGAACAATGTTGATGGTATCTGTCTCTCTTCTATTTGGAATGCTGATTAATGAAATTGTTAAAAGGTTAGTATGATTTGTCTGAAGACTTCGGCTAGATAATTTGCTCAGGCGAATGATCATCATCGCCCAGCCCAATCCACAATAATAATCTAATTAATTAAATAGTCAATCTTACACTTTGATGATTTTGGCTTGTTGTTTCCGTCCTGTTCGTCCTCGTCCTCATCATGGTCATCCTCATCATCATCATCATCTATATCGATCTCGTCGGTGTTCTTGACGGGTGGTGCTTGTTGTTGGACCTGTTGTGGTCGAGCCGGTGCCTGTTGTTGATGTTGCTGGTTTGATGCCGGTGGTGCCTGCAACTGTTGCTGTTGCATTGCCTTCCTCTCCAACTCTGCCATTTGATTCTGTTGTTTGATCTTGGCGGCCATCTCATCTTTCTGAGCCTGGTTCATCATCTCGATGTTTGTGATGTTCAGCTGATTGTACTGAGCGATCACTGATCGCTTGATTCTGAGCATCTCGCGGAACGTCTCCTCATTTCCATGATGCTTCTCAAAGTCGTTCCAGGCGCGCCAGTATTGTGGCGCGGTAGTCGGGTCGGTGAACTGTCCGCCGTGCACGTAGATTGAGCGCGCACGGTCGATCTCGCCATGCTTCCTCTCCATCTCGGCAAAGCGCATGCACATGTCGCGAGCCTTGTCCTCTTTGAGTGTCTCGATGGCGCGCGTATAGATCTCGCGCGTCTTGGTGATGCCAAAGAACTCGGTCGTGCGATTGATGTACAGTAGATACATGTTGTAGCGGTCTTCTTCTGCGACGTTCTTTGTGGCGCGGTCGTACACGTCCATCGAGTGACGCGCCAATCCAAACTGCTCCTCCATGTTGGCGTACATCAGGTAGAATACCTTGGAGTCCTTGGGCGGAACCTTGCTCAGCACCTGCTTGAACAGGTCACGCGCGCGCTCCAACTTGGCGCCTCCGTAGCGGTTGATGAACTTGGTGATGTAGGTCACCCACAGGTCTTGCACGTGCGGGAAGGGGAACAGCGCAATGCCCTGCTCATAGGCCTTGAAGGCATCCTCAAAGTGCTTGTGCTCCTCGAGGAGGTCGGCATAGTTGAGCACGACTTGGGGCGTGACGATCTTGAGCTGCAGCATCTTGTCGTAGATGGACTTGGTGTTGAGGAATGTGCCGAACGACTCCTCCAGGTCGGCGTAGAGAGTCCACAGCTTGAGCGACTTCCACAGACGCTTCTGAACGGGCTCGGTGTCGGGGATGTGTGTTGGGCGGCGCGGGGAGATTGTGGCGCGCTTGAGGATGTCGAGTGCTCGTGCATACTGCTTGTGTCGCAGCTCCATCTCGGCAAACTCGCAGTACAGAGAGGCGAGGTCGTCGATCGTCTTATATGCCACCTTGCATCCCTTCTCAAAGATCTTGCGCGCCTGATCCAGATGATTGTGCGACTCGTAATACTGGGCAAAGGCGGCCCACAATGTATAGGGCTTGCCCTTGGCCTGCTGTGGGTCCACCGTCTCGACCGCACTAGCAAATGTCTGTACGATCATCTTGGGCTTGCCAGAGTAGAGACGCACACGCTTGTGCCACTCCTGCACGTTATGCGGGTTCTGACGCAGTAGAACCGAGCTCAGCAACAGTGGCTGGCGCTCGATTAGACTCTCGTAGCGCGCCAGCGCCATCTCAAAGTCCAGCACGGCGTCGCTCGCGTCCTCGCCACTGGCGGTGGCCTCGTCGACGATGGCCTGCGAGGCGATCAGCAGACTGTCCTCGAACGATGTGTAGCCTTCCCACACGGTGCTAAAGTCGCGTGCCGTTGACACTGTGTTGAGCGCCTCCTCGTAGATGTCACGTGCCTTGTCAAACTGCGCAAGTTGAACGTAGTAGTCGGCCAGTGATGACCACAGCTTGCCTGCTTGATCCTTGAACTGAGTGATACCGGCGCGTATAATCGCATCGGCATCCATCGTATCGCTTGTCTCATGTGGATGCTGCGCCAATATGTAACACAACTCGAGCCACAACTGATGTCTAGTCTTGCCCTTGTACGAAACGAATCGTTCACGATTCAACATAATGAGTATCTGTTCAGCAGCCTCCTTCCATGCATTGATCTTTAACAAGTAATCGATGTAGTCTTCAAGCTTTGAGTGATCGAGCTGTATGATCGGTGGCGGGCGAGCGGGAGTTAGGACATAATGTGGCCACATACGCGACGGACACGACGCATTACATACCTTTAGATAACGTTTGTACACGCGGATCGATGTCTCTTTGATACCAGTGGACATTACAAACTCGATGTAGAGGTCCCAAATGCGATCATGTTGAGTGATCGGCAGTGCACGCAGAGCACGATCAAATGTCCTCCTTGTCTGTGTAATCCTTGACTGTGCCATCAAGAACTGGCAGTATTCGATCCATATCCTAGGCATCTACATCATCATCACGTGATTGATTAGTACGACATACAACTTGATTGATCAAGCAAAGAGAGATGATTGAATGAGTGAACATACCTTATCTAGGAATACAAGTGATCGCTCGAATGCTTTGTTTACTTGTTCGTAGACGGGATCGATGATGCATCTTCCTCGAGCGTTGACAACTAGTTCGTGGAGATACCTGTGCCAAAGCTTGTAAGATCGAGGCACTTGCTTCAATGCTCTCTCATAGATATCGTTTCTAACTCTCTGTAGAGACTCTTTCTTGAAGTCTAAATATCGCAACCAACATGATACGACCAATGGGTTACGCTTGCAATCCTCCTCATATGCTTCATCCTCTGGGTCTGCTGTTGGAAGAGGTTGGTTCGTGTCATCACCATCATCAATAAACATCATCACTTCATTATTATTATTATTATCTCGCAATGCAGTATCAACCAACTCTGAAGGCATTATTATTATTATTGTTCGTTATATTTGTATGTATTGTAATAATGAATGATTGATTGATTGATAGACAAGAATGAAGTTGACAAAAGTGGTCTTTCGCTTTTTGAATATTTGCCAGTTCAGTCAAAGATAAGAATGATCTCATCAAATAGTAATTTAGATGTTACACATTTAAGTGCGAACTTTAACGTTAGCATTAACAGGGTCTAGTCCAGTTCTTTATTGTGAACAAGAAAGGAATATCTGATATGATAGTTAAATGAGATATTATGGACAATGTCCTTTGTTGGGGGACAAGGTCGCTAACAAGGATTGTAAAGGATTACTTCCTCCTTTTAAATCACCAATCAATGTACTATTATGTGTTTTAATTGAGTTTGATCCTCCATTTCAATTAATAGGCTGAAGAAGGTTCTTTCCAGAGATGTTGTTTCCAGAGATGGAAAGTGATGCTAAATAATAATAAATGGATTTGATTTATTTAGGATACTTACAGTACAACATTGATTAATTGATTTTAGATTAAAGTATTTGATATGATGATATCAATAACGATAAATATTTGATCATTTTATAGTCACTGGATGATAAAGGACTAGTTATTCCTTATGTCCGAGATGACGATCATTATATAAATAAATATGTTATTATTTGTTTGAATTTATGTAGTCCAACTTATCACCCTAAACGACAACTTCTCGCGCCACATTACTCCACACGTCTTCTGACGAATATGATATTCTCCTTTCTCTTGTAGTTACAAATACTTATAAGACTACAATCTATAATCAAGTAATATTATTCACAATTATTTCAATCCTTCCTATAATATTAGTATATCAATATTGAATTTTAATTACTGTCCACTTTGTGTATGTATTTTCTATCTTATTATTAATAGAAGTTGAAGTTTTCATTTTTCTCTATCATGTTCCTGTGATCAATCAGGTCAATATCAATAGTTTCTTGATTCGGCTGAGTGAGAGGACACCTCTAGGACCTCCTGGAATAAGTATTGGTACCCCCAAAGGAAGTTGTAGCACTTATGGAGAAGGCGCCACAGGAGGAGGTGCACACCCGGGATCACTGGATGTTCAAAGTAGGGGTTATCTTCGATTGGATGTTTGAAACCTAGGATGGAATTTTGAGGCACTCCAAGATCTGTGAAGAAGTTCATAGTTGGTCTTTCTATTGAAAATAGGTCTCGTCCTGATCAGGATGTCATTGTAATGGAGAGTATCTTTGAAAGTATTATATTTCTAAGTGTAGTTATATAGAATAGTATAATCAGTAGGTGATGAAATAAATAAATTGATGACAAATAAGTATTATGGTTTTGAATTTTTCTAATGAATTGGTCGATTCGACCGAATAACACTTTCAACTTGACTGCTTTGTCAATCAATCTATCAAACAAACAATCAATACTCTATTATATATATATATATATATCCTATACAATCAATCATGAGTATGCAGAAGTTCTATGTTGCAATGGGAGAGAAGCACCCAAAGCAATGGTTGGATCTGTACAAGTATTATTGTGCACAGAAGGTCTATCTATATAACACTGAGAAGGTTACATTCATCACATCAAAGAATGGCAAGGATGTCACTGGTGCAAGGTATATATCATCAATCATCCATCGTCATCATTGATCAAGCAAGCGACAGCATACACTCAGAGACTGACACGCATTCAATCAATCAATGCAATGCGACTTTACAGACAGTTTAAGTATCAATTCTTGGAGCCATTCAGATATTGGAATAGCGATGTAGCATTTGAAGAGAAGAAGATGATTAGTGGTACTTCAGGCGTTGAGATACAGAAGGGTAGGTGATCGAGAGATTGAAAGATAGACGGATAGAGAGAGGCAGGACACTAACAACATTGTACGATTAGCTGATGGTACAACACATTTCGTAGAGGGTCGTGGCAAGACAGCTGAACAGATACTGGAAGAGGTGTTGCAGAGAGCTGAAGGCAGAAGGATCAGTGTCAACATCCCATTCTAAATAATAACAACAATAATAATAAAGCGAACTAATGAACGTACGAACGATTCGAACGAACAAACTAAACAGCGAGTGAATACAGATAATAGGTTAACAACAATGCCGACTGCTCACAATCAGAGTGATTGAGCTCCTACAGCGAATGACACCAATGGACGAGCTTCGAAGACCCAACCCCAATACCATAGTATTGGTTGAAGTTCGGGTACAGATTGATTGACAGACTGATTGATTGATTGACAGCTACCACCATCATCATTGTATGTGGGTATTACATGAAGCTTGCTGCATACATTCAATCATTCAATCAATCAATCATTCATTCATACATATAAGTACATACTATTATAGGAACAATAACAACATGTCACATCACGACAAGAAGACAAAGAGAGAGTTGGAGGATGATGATGATGAGGTGGAGAAGGAGGTGGATGAGATAGTAGTTACAATTCATTGGAATGAGCTAGGAGTTAATGTCCGAGTTGCCAATGATCAGCCAGAGAGGAGTACACCACAACAACTAAAGGCCACTCTCGTTGAACATTTCAAGGCAAACAATGGTACTGATAGATCAAACACTGGCCTTGCCTTCACATTCAGGTCCAACTCTGACAGGACAAGGTGTCTAGTCAATATGAAGGAGTTGTTCCCTTGGACCCTTTATGCCAGCCAGGATGAAGGCGTTCTGGTGACTGTGGATGGACAAGTCAACTTGGTTCATCATGAGCCAGTGGCCACCATCCTATCGATTAGCAAGATGGAAACGGAGAGGCCAGATATAGACGACATCACTGCTGGATTCTTTAGGTTCTTTTGAACCAAATCCAATCAATCTTTGTTGTTGATGTTGGTTTGTGGAGACTGACTCCAACCCCACGCATTCATTCGGTCGTCAACCCCGAACTAGCTTCGATCGATCAAACAATGATCACATAAATGCACGCATGTTAGATAGTTAGTTTGTTTGTCTTACATATTTATATATAATATATATTACATGTATTGTATACTGTAGTGTGTGTAGGGTATCATGGCATCAATGCTCACTGGCTTAACAAGGTGTAGCAGTAGCATGTGGCTACATCGCAAGGGAGTGGCAAGCGTCACGAGTGCCCTCGCCTCAACATCGTCATCAACAAGAACAACAACAACAACAACACAAAGATACTATACTTCATCGATACCCAAGCAATACTTGAACTTTACATCGCAGTCTGATCGACTGCCTTCATTCGCATTCAGGTCATCCCGCACAAGCATCTTCAACAACAACAAGTCATCATCAAGTCTGTTTCAAGTTGACGATCATCAACGCAATAGCAATCAATGTGGAGTAATTAGAATGTATAGTATGGTAGTGCCACCACCTGTCTCTGGCAGTCCTCCAAGCAAGGGTGGCGCAGCAGGCTCCAACCCATTGGACAATCAAAGTGAGACCAAGAACTCTGCGATCAGCATGCTCAAAACCATCTCCAAGTATCTATGGCCAAAGAATGATCCCTCCTCCAAAGCCCGTATCATCGCATCAGTCTGTCTCCTATTCGGAGCCAAGATCCTCACTGTCCAGGTATGTTTGTGATTGATTGATTGGAATGATTCCAGGCCTCAGCCCCACTCACACACTCGATCATACATGACAGGTACCTTTCTTATTCAAAGACATTGTAAACTACTTCTCATTGTCCAATCCAGAGATGTTGACTGTGCCCTTGGGCATGTTGTTGACGTTTGGCGCGGTTAGGATATGCTCAAACATCTTCCAGGAGCTGAGGTCGGCTATCTTTGCAAAGGTGGCACACAGTGCCATCAGAGACGTCAGCTGCAACACTTTCAAGAGACTGCATCAGTTGGATTTGTCATTCCATCTCTCGCGCCAAACAGGCTCACTCAGCAGGATAATCGATCGTGGCTCGCGTGCCATCAACTTCTTGCTCAACTCGATGCTGTTCCACGTCGTGCCCACCGTGTTTGAGATTGGTTTGGTCTCGGCATTGATGGCCATGCAGCTGGGCTGGGAATACAGTGCACTGACGCTCGGCACCATGGTCGCATACACCGTGTTCACATTCCAGGTCACAAGCTGGCGCACAAAGTTCCGCAAACAGATGAACTCAATGGACAATGAGGCGTCCAACAAGATGATGGACTCGCTGCTCAACTTTGAGACGGTCAAGTACTTCAACAATGACAAGGCTGAGATTGAAAGATACAACAAATACCTGCTCGAGTATGACAAAGCCTCGCTAAAGACCACCAGCAGTCTGGCCTTCCTCAACTTTGGCCAGGCGTTCATCTTCTCGGCCTCGATGACGGCCATCATGGTGATGACGGCCAACGGCATCACGACGGGCGCGCTCACAGTGGGAGACATGGTGCTGGTCAATGGACTGCTGTTCCAGCTGTCGCTGCCGCTCAACTTCCTCGGCACGGTGTACCGTGAGATCAAACAGTCGCTCGTCGACATGGACCACATGTTCTCGCTTCTCAACCTCGAGCCCAAGATCCAGGACAAGCCCACATCCAAGCCACTCGACTATAAGAACGGCTCGATTGCATTCGACAACATCACATTCGGCTACAACGATGCCAAGAATGTGCTCAACAACATTTCGTTCGAGGTGGAGGGCGGCAAGCGTGTGGCAATCGTCGGCACCAGTGGCTCGGGCAAGTCCACAATCCTGCGACTCCTGTTCAGGTTCTACGACCCGAGCTCGGGTGCGGTGCGCATCGATGGCCAGGACCTCAAGGACGTCACACTAGAGTCGCTGCGCCAGAGCATCGCGGTCGTGCCACAGGACACCGTGCTGTTCAACGACACCATCTACTACAACATCGCGTACGGCAACCCCAATGCATCAAAGGAGCAGGTGGAAGAGGCTGCTCGTCTGGCACACATCCACGACGTGATCCTCAACATGCCCGAGGGCTACGAAACCATGGTGGGCGAGCGTGGACTCAAGCTGTCGGGAGGCGAGAAGCAACGTGTATCAATCGCACGCGCCATCCTCAAGAACTCGCCAATCCTGTTCTACGACGAGGCCACCAGCTCACTGGACACGGCCACCGAGCAGTACATCATGGGTGCACTGCGCGGTTTCTTCAAGAACAAGACCACCGTCATGATTGCACATCGTCTGAGCACCGTTGTCGACGCCGATGAGATCATTGTCATTGGACACGGCGGTGTGATCCTTGAGCGAGGCAGTCACCAACACCTCCTGGAGCTCGACGGCAAGTACAAGACCATGTGGCTGGCGCAGCAATACGAGGAGACTCTATGAGATGGAGACAATGTGATCGATCAATAAATAAATACATTTATGATATCATTGTATATGAATGGTAATGATGTAGGGCGCACGGTTGTGGTCCTCGACTATACACATTGCCAAGTGCATGTCCAGCTTGCGACATTGGATTGTCCACTCTTTGAGTTTGATAATGTATGTTTGGACAAAGGGTGCCGACTCTATTGCCTTGAGTGCCGTGGTCAATCCAATACGATTTGAAACCGGATCTCGAATGTATGAGAAGGTGTAAGACTCTAGTTGTCGATAGAAAGGATGCAGGTCAAAATAGTATGTGCAGGAGAAAGACAGTGATCGAAGGTCAGGGCACCGGTCAATGTAATGCAGTTGGTTGAATGATGTTAGATGTAGATTGAGAATGTTTGGAAAGTTGACGGTACGTATACGCTGTACGAACATCTCGCCAAGTCTAAGATCGCGCACCAATGGCGGGATGGTTCCGCTCGGCAGAGGTTTATTAAACTCGCTGCCAAACTTGAGAGAGGTGAGCGAACTAGGCAGCCAGCCGATGGGCAAACGTTTGTTGAACGAGTTTCCAAACTCAAGTGAAAGGAGGCTGCTGGGCAGGGCACCTTTTATGCATTCCATGTTGTAGTCCTCGCCCAGTGTGAGCGAGGTCAGGGTTCGGGGTAGTGATCCCGGGAGAATGTAGTCTTGGAATCGACTGCCAAGTTTCAGATGTGTGATATATGGCAGAGGGTTGATTGATGAGTCCGGTGGACCTTGATCGTTCCGTCCAAATGTGAGGGATGTGAGTGATCGGGGCAGCGAGCCAGGTGTCGACAAGTTGACATTATGTTCAAAGTGCAGCTGACTCAATGAGATTGGTAGGTAGCCTGGAAGTATTGGTATGGTGTCCTCAATCGCAGTGAGTATAGACAACTTGGTCAATGATTGTGGCAGTTGTCTAAGTTGCAACAATGCAATCTGTACGGAGGAGTTTACAATCATCTCTTTTGTTTGTTGTTGTTGTAATGTTGGTAATGATTGTTTTGTTGTTGTTGTTGTTGTTTGAACACTATTATTATTGATGATGTCTGGATATAATCGTTTCCTCACTAGATTGTATATTCGTCTACATGTTAGACCAAAGAATAACCTATCAAGATCATGATACATGTGATCTAATAGTTGACATAAAATGTATTCTGATTGTATTGACTCCATTCTCTCTCTCTCTCTCTCTCTCTGTTCCAACATCAAATACTATTTATTCAGTTCAATTACAAATCAAGATGATCGAATAAAAATCTTCCTTTCAATCTTATACTTTGTTGGGAATCTAACCAGAAATGAGTGAAGTACGATTTGAAGTTTGGGTTTGACAACTTGACAACTCAGGTTAGAGTTGCCACTTGTGTTTTCAATTTGATGGGTTGATTCTCCACCAAGTGAGTCTGTGTGTCAATAAACAAAGGATGACTGTTCATTCATTTCTTTATTTATATATTAACATTATTTAATAAGAGAGATAGAATCTTACTAATACTAAACAACAACAACTTAGTTAAAGTAGTAATGATTTATCAATCACTTAAGAAGTGCGACTATCATAGATCAATATTTTTACCTTCATTACCTCCTGGTCAACCACAACAACAAGATGGAGGTGGTAGTGGAGGGTCAGTGTCAGTATCAGTTCTACCAGATGCAGAAACATTTGTAGATGATTCACTCTATTCAATGTTGATGAGATTGCCTCGAGGTCCATTCCATCTTTGTCAATTCCCAACCAACCTCATCACAGAGTCTAAACCACTGCTCAACAAGATCTTTCTAAGCAATAACCCCAACAACAATGTGAACAAACAACAACAACAACAAATTCTTGAAAGTGGTGATCTTCAAACATCAACATCATCCACAACATCAACAACATCCACCAACTCAATGATCATTGACTCAAACAACAACAACAACAACAACATCAGCATCAACATAAATAATAACAATAACCTCAATAACAATAATAATGATAAGAAAAGTATATACTCACAAGTTAAACTTGTATATGTACCAAGTCCTATATCTGCATTACATTGTTTGAACTATTTGTTCGTTCATGTACCAGACTCTGTGACAACAGACCCAAACTTCCGCAATGTATACCTATGTGTGGAGAATGTATGTGTCCAAGAGACTCATGTTAATGTAGTGGAAAAGCAACAGGTGTACCTAAAGGCAAGGGACCCTGTCACTGGACTGCTCTTGATACCATTCAAGCTCCAAAAGGTCACTGGTTCAAAGAAGAAGGATGGAAGTGTAGACACCTCTAAACAAGTTGCTGGTACCAGCAAGGACAAGACATCTGACCAAGCTGCGGATGAGAAGGCCAAGAAGATGTCAGGTGAGCCTCTCTACATGAAACTGTGTGCCAAGTTTGGAGTGGATGAACTACCATCCACGAGAGGCCTGCGACTTCCATCAGAGTTGGACACTGGACGCATCCTTGTCTACCTCACAGCAAGGACAGAGCAATTTGAAGACCCAAGCATCTTGAGAATGATCCAGATCAGGGGTTCTGATGCCAACAAACCTCAAGAAGATGTGACACCGGTTCTATTTCATGTGGATCACGTCAAGTTGAGCAAGGCAAATGATCCTGAGAAGCCTCAGACCAAGAAGAGGGGCAAGGACAAGGTCAACGCTACCAAAGCAAAACCTAGCAACCAAGACTCAAACGAAAGGAATCACGAGTGCTTGGTCATCACATCGAGCAAGACCGGTGCGATCGAGTTGACACTCATGCCATGGATTCCAATGAGTCCGGTGGTGACTGTAGCTGGCACTACCTCGACACCAGTGTGCATTCTCAAATGTTGCAAAGACACCAAGGATAAGACTGTGTACCAAGAGAGCTCAAACACAGAGTATGTTACACATGATATCAATCATATAACTTTTGTTCTAACATATCACTACATCTAGTCAATCATCTCCTTTGCTCAGTGCTAGTCAGTTATCACTTGGAAACAACAGCAATGCTAACTCCCCTGTCTCGACCACACCATCGACCGACAATATAGAGGTGAGACAACAACCATACATATCAGCCAAATGGTTGGCAGGAGTTGTCCGTGTTGCTCTGGTGCCAACTAAACTCCTCAACTCTAAGCATCAGTTCAACATTGTCTATCAACGTGAGAGAGACCTTGATGTTGGCAGACCACTCGAACTTATCAAGTTTGATACCAACCATCCAAACTTGATGAGATGGGAGCGTATCCATTGCCAAGGTCACCAGACGATAAAGTATCAACACGATCAGATGACTATGCTTCAGGATGAGTTGGAGACGGTGAAGGCTGCTCAGATAGAGTCCAATCAAAGACTTGAGGAGCTGACCAGGAGAGTGGCGTTCTTGGAGGAGAACGCAATCCCAGAGAAGAGGAGAAGACAATCAACTACATTCCCATCTCCAATTGTAGACTCAATGGCAGCGGTACCAAATCTACAAACAACAACAACATTCACACACCACCCTCCAGGAGGTGGTGCTCTTGGAGTCCAAGTCAGTCCATCGGCATGGTCAAACAGCAACAGTGGAGGCATCAACAACCAATGGACTGGCGTATCCTCCCCTATTCTCCCACCACCCTTCAACTATGCCTCCCCCAACTCATACCAACAGCATGTTCCAGGTCATATGACCCATCCCCAAGACAGACAGCAACAAGGCCAAGGACAATACTACCAGGCGACACCGTATCCTTATCAACCACATTCCAATCAGGGCGCTGTTGGTATGGCTGATTGTCAACCTCACCCTCAACAACAAACACATCCAGACATGGTTGTCTATCATTCTGACCAAGGTGCAGACATGACCGGACAGCCGCGGTCTGGTCAAGAAGGCATTGGCCCCTCCAACAACATTTACCAGCCACATGGCTACTCCTAGAACTCATATGCCTTTGTTGATAACAAACTCCCCTCTGATCCTATGATCAAAGTATCCATCACATCATCATTTAAATCGTCGACGATTGAATACCCTTTAATGATTGGCAACTTGTGAATTGGGTCTTAACCTTGCGTTGTTTGAATGATTGAGTGGTTGTGAGGCATCGTCATCATCACCATCCCTTATCAACTTGTCCACATCCAACTTCTTATGAGACAGTTCCAAATACTTCTGTTCACAAGTCTTCTCCAACAAGTCCTTCTTTGTTATAATGCCCTTGAGTCTATTATATGAGTTGACTATTTGATTGATTGATGGATTGGTGTTAGTGGAAGGACATGATTGAGTGAGGATGTAGGGATAACATACCAACTGGCATATGGCGTAGACCTATTGATCTGAATTGTTGGAATGCGGCACTGACAGCAAACTCTTCGTTGACAGTGATGACTGTAAGGTTCATGACATTGGTCAAGTCGACTTGGGCTGGATGATCCTCTTTGGTAAAGTTGAAGTCTTTGAGCTCAGGCAACGTCCATGTGAGCTTGGTCGTGTAATCACTATGTGAGTAGACCTCCTCATTGTTTGAGATGTATACTTGTGACATTGCCTCGAGTATCATCAATAGTTGTGATCGTAATATCAATCCCTTGACACATCTATCTTCATGATTATTGACCACTGGGAATCCATTATGTGTTGTCTTCTCCAATACCTCTAGAATATGTCCAAGCGTCTCCTTCTCGAGTAAGTATACTGGCTTCTTGGCCATAATATGCTTGCACATCAAGATTTTCATGGCCTTGCTGGCATGTGGCTCCAAGTATGGGATGTACTTCATATCGATCAACAGGTCAAACAATGGATGAATGAGTGCGTCCGACACCCACTTGGCAATCATCACAGTGACCATCAGTTGCAAGATGTACTGTTGCTCACTGGTCATCTCGATGAGGATCACAGAGAGTGATATGGTCAGTCTTGACACGCCTGCCATGAATGCTGCCGCACCCATCAATGCAAAGACACCTGGATCGACCTCGTGATTCTTGACAACCATGTGCATGATGAGTCCTACCAGGCGTCCATATGCAGCACCAATCACAATCATGGGTACGAAGGTGCCAGATGAGATACCACAGCCAGCGGTGTATGCGGCGAATACGAAGTAGAACAGGAAGAACACCAACAATGCAACGATTCCAACACTATTTGTGAAGTTGTAGAATGTTGTGTTGTGTACCAATAAGTTGTCGATGGCTTGGTCATTCGATGCAAACATGATTGATGCCAGAGGATTGTAATATCCCTCTTCGCATGTGAATCTCTTGAGTGACTCTGATGCGCCTTCAATGATTGTTGTGTTGAGTTTGTAGCCATCAACGATCAAAGAGTCGATTGGCTGACATGGGAACATCAGGGGAAGTACAAACTGGAGAATGGATGATAGGCCAATGATAAAGAATACCTCGAGTACACGCAGGGACTTGATCTTGTTGATGTATTTTCTACGCATGGCCACCACCTTGACATTGATGTATGTGAACAATGCACCGGCAAAGCCTCCAATCACACCAATGATAATGAATGGGATGAGTTCAAGTAGCTCATATCTCCTGCCTGAGGTGTCGATCACTGCGCCAAGTAGCTTGGCGGGTTCAGGTGTTAGGCCAAAGTCCTTGAGCACACTGGCAGTGAAGGTGGCAACGAGACATGCAAAGAATGATCTCCATGTGAGTGATGTCGACCAGAATGAACTGACCTCCTCCAAGGAGAATAGTGCGCCTCCCAATGGTGCCTTGAATGCAGCGGCGACACCTGCGCCAGCGCCCATTGTAACAAAGTCACGCTTATCCTTATCGTTGCGGAATTGTTGGAGGAGAGGTACCTTGAATCCAAACACCTTGGATTGTGCTTGGGAGAAGCCATTACCGACGATGGCACCCATGTGAATCATTGGACCCTCTGATCCAACTTGAAGATTGGCTGACACGGCAAATATCATCGATACCAACTTGGTCCACAATGTCTTGAATCTCAATACATGAGGTATTCTCGTGCCATTGAGGTATCCTTTGACCTCTGGAATGCCAGAGCCTGCGGCGTAAGGATCATAATATACCGCTAGAAATGATCCGAGCAATGCCAATGCGACATTACATGTGAAGTAGGCCAAAAAGGCGATCCAATAGTCTGACTCGAGCACTTGATTGTATGATTGATTGATTGATTGAATATGTGAGTACGATTGATTGATTGATGATCATATTGGGGCTGGAACTATTCCAGCCTCGCCCTCGACCCCCACTTACATTCCTTGACAAACTTGAACTTGTAGTATGAGATGTTTGATATGCCGAGGTGAGCCAGGTATGCGACCACACCGATGATGACACCCATGAAGAAGGACATTATCCATCGTAGCCACTCATAGTTTGAACCCAATTTGTTGAAGTTCTTGTACATCTCATTACGATATGCTTTGTTATATATAGTGATATAGTCCAAACATTCAAACTTGTTAACATGCTGCTTATCCTGCTCCCAAATGATCCTCTTCTCCTCCTCCATCTTCTCTTGACGCTCTCTATGTACATCATACACTGCACCAACAGTCTTACTATGTACATGTTCCAATCCCTTCACAATAGTCTCTTCAATCTCTGACTCTTTAAACTTCTCCTCCTATTTTGGATTATGTGATTGAGTGAGTGGGATTATTCCAGAGGAAATGTGATGAAGGGATATATACCAATCTCTTGTTCCTCTCCTTGATGGCATTGTTGAGGTACTTTACAACTTTGGAAGTTGTCTTTGTTAGTTTGGTTAACAATTCATCACCATCTTTGATCTCTTCTTCGGGGGAGTATAGTTGTTCAGGTCTATTATCAGGATCACGATTAATCGGTTCCAATATGATTCCAACTTCATTATCATCATTGTTATTATTGTTATTATTGTTATTGATGTCACCATCATATTCTTCAATCTCTTCTAGACGTGCATGATGAACCTGTTCCTCTTTATCATCATCGTCTTTTGAAGATATTGACTTGAATGAATGATTACTCATCACTTTTATATATATATATATAAATATCTATATTATTAGTATTATTTTTTATTTACAATGATTGTATTGATTGATCAATACTTTAGTATTAGTGAATTCATTGTTTGAATGACGATCGATCGACCAGCAATCACCAATTCCGGACAAAGCGGACGAGCGAAATGAATTCTGCTTCCCTGGGGTTGATGGGAGGTCGTTCCCAAGCCCCACGTCGTTTTTTGTAACAGAACTTCGTTATATTTTTTGAACTTGGAGTGTGAGTTGATGTTCAAATGGAGGGTGTCTGATCAGATCCACTCTCACACACAAATCATTTCATTCAATTATTCAACGGTTCATCTCCTCCTTTCAACGGAAACTAACAATTTGAAAAGCTCATCTTGCAAGGTCACTTCCACAACATTACTCCCCGTTATTAATAACAACAACAACTAGTATCTATATCTTTGTATTTATAAATATTTCAATTATATATATATATATATATATTTTAAACATATATATATATTTATATTTAAGAAGAAGAAGAAACAACAAACAAACAAACAATGACAACAGTATCAGCTCAACTCACTAATATTTTGAAGCATTTCTCAAAGCTGTCTACACCATCACTTCAAAAGACATTCGGCGCAACACGTGATGTGTCAAAGACAAAGAGAGCAGAGTTGGTCACATTGATCAAGGCATTGGTGTGCACCAACACCTACGTGTTCATGATGGACGACATGAAGGGCTTTGACGGCGTCGTCGCCAAGGACCTGGGCGTGGCCGGCAAGGACGAGGTGATTAAGCATCTCGAGAGCAACGGTCTGACACAAACACTGGAGATGATGTCCGATGCCAACATCAAGAAGATGTTTGGACATCTCTCGCTCGAGAACGACGATGAGGGAGGCGGTGACATGTCGCGCGCCATTCTCATCGACAGAATAGAGGAGGAGTGCTACCTGCAGGGCGCCAACCTGTTGATCAACGGTCTCTCGGACGATGTGTTTGAGGAGTACTGCAAGGACCTCAAGGTCGAGGAGGCAGATACTCGCGCGGAGCAGTCAGAGAGGTTGATAAAGGTCATGTTCAATCTGGACGAGGATGACGAGGAGCAGGAGGCAGAGCCAGAGAAGCCTGCTGCCGCCACCAAGAAGAAGGCACCAGCCAAGCCAGCTGCCAAGGCTGCCCCCAAGGCTCCGGCAAAGCCTGCCGCCAAGGTCACCAAGAAGCCCGCTCCCGCAACAAAGAAGCCTGCCGCCGCTGCTGAGACCACCACAACGAAGCGCGCAAGAGTCACAACCAAGGGAGACTCAGTGGCCACCGCTGTGTCATCGACCAGCAAGCGAGTAAGCAAGCCAGTTCAGAAGTATGGTGGCGAGACCGAGAATGGCAGCGCTGCCGCCGCGCCAAAGACCAAGGCAACCACAACAAAGACGATGACAAAGGCAGCACCTGTCAAGAAGGCCACCACTACAACAAAGAAGAGAAAGGAGATGGCTGATGACGAGGAGGAGGAAGAGGAAGAGGAGGTGCACAGACCAACAGTCGACTTGGGTGGATACAAGGACAAGGATGGCAAGTTCGTCAACCCTCCCATCAGCAAGATCGTCAAGGGCATGACCGTGCACGACCTCCACGACAACTACAACATCGACGCTCTCTATGAGTTCTGCAAGAAACACGACATCTTGTACTCGCCCTACAAGAAGAATGATCTGTTAAAGGTCATCGTCACCTTCCTGGAGACTGGCGTCAAGCCCTTGAGCAAGAAGGAAAAGCTGGCCAATAAGAAGGCCTCGCAGGAGAGGGCAAATGCCGCAGCCAAGGCCAAGAGGGAGGCAGCCGCAGCCGCCAAAGCAGCAGCCGCAGCTTCGTCGTAACGAGGTGGTTACAATTGTGTATGTTTGAGAGATTGATTGATTGGTTGATATGTCGAATGGTCCAAACACGTGGAAGCCTAAGAGTCAGAGTCAGAATCAATCAAGTCAACTTTATTCAGGGCCGCTGCCGATGCTGCTGCCGTCACTGACTGGTGCTGGACAGCTAGCAGTCCACGCCAGTCGTCAACGTGGATGTATATCAAGTAGAAATAAAAGCATGAAGGATTGATGTTTCCAAGATGCCTCTCTCATCTCATTCGTTCAGAGTAGTAGTATCAAGTAGTAGTTGGATTGATTGTTATTATTCTTGTTGTCGGAACATCATTGCTAAGACATTAGAGTAGCTTTCCAATTAGGAATGATATGAGTGCAATGGCAATAACTATAATGATCATCTGTGTCTGACTGAGATTGTTCATCGGTCCTTGAGCAATCTGTTGCTGTTGATGTTGATGGTCGACTGTTGGCGCACTCTTTGATGATGACACTGAATGTTGTTGAGTGCTGCCGCTGCTGCTGTTGTTGATTGTTGTGGCTGGAGTAGTGTCCATTGTTGGTGCCTTCTTCTTTGATCCAGGAAATGAAGAGTCAGTTAGTATAGTTGGTTCAATGAATGGACGTCATCATCATCACTTACATCTTTAAATACATCAGTGGAGGAGGTCGCTGGAGACACGATCACTGGAGGGTTGGGGACGGATGGAGTGTTCCTCTTTTTCAGAAGACCAGACCATGATTGTGATGAAGAGTCCTCATCTTGGCCAGTGGTCTGTGATGATGGTTGAGTGTTGGAGTGTCTGGGAGAGATTGATGAGGAGGTGTTGGAGGAGGCAGAGGATGGCTGTGTGACATTGGAGGATGAGGTTGTGGATGATGGAACATGGCCTGATTGCTCTGGTTGATGATGCTCATGTACTGTATCATAGAGTTTATCCTCGTCGCCCGAGTCAATGTCTGTGGCGCCAGCAACCGACAGCATTGAGCCGGTAGTCGACGACACACCCTTGTGCACACTTGAGTCTGTATTGCCTCCAATGGCGCTATTGCTGTTGCTGCTGCTATCGTTCTGAGACAGTGAGAACACTGCCTTTAGTCTTTGCTTCATAATCTGAGTCTGAGGTGTTGTGCTCCACTGTTTGATTGATTGATTGATTGATTGTTAGTGAGATGACTCTGACGACGTGTTTGTTGAGATGATGATCATCACATACGATAAGCTTAGGGTCTGTATTAAGTTCGCTGACTATTGTACTCTGGATTTGGAACTTGTCCTTGGTCTTCATTGATATCGATGGGATGTCTTTTGTACAGTTTAATATTACTAGAGTAGTAGTGTCGCGAATGTTAGATGACTCTGAGTATCAAGCATTCAAGCATCTACGTGACATACTTTGAATATCAATGTTCTCACCAGGTGGAATGATACCAGTGTTTGGTCTAACGCAATATCTGATTGGAGCGGTGGTCTTGACCTTGTAGGCCAAGATGTGCTCGCTCTGATTGTGCAACTTCAGCTCGAATGACTTGTATCCTTGAAATGGTGCTATATTGAGTTGTATGTTAAGAATTAGTATGATTGATTGATTGAATGAATGAATGAACAAGACGACATACGATGATAGACTACTTCTCTTGGTCTTATCTTTAGTAATGATGAGGTTGTGTTACTGGCACTGCTATTATTCGATGCTAATGCGAGTGATGAGGATGATGTATTCTTGGCATTGGGTGATGCCAGCATCACAGGCGACAGAGTATTTGATGACATAAATAGATAGATATATATATATATATAGTATTTGTTTGATAGATAGATAGATAGGTTATGTTAATGTTTATTACTATGTCTTCTTTGAGATGGGTCGTGTCAACAAGGAATTGAATTGAATTGTTGTGAAGATGACGATTATTTAGATTTTTATTTATTAATTTATAATGCCACTGTGGCATCATGATCAAGAACCATGACATAAACATGATCACCCGAGCGGTTCAAAAGTAGACTGTCATATATGTTGGTCAGGCACCAATTTTGATACACATGTATACTTGTGATTTGTCTGTCAACAATACTAAAGGTGATCATGAATAAGTTAAGTGAGGTATGATTGATAAACTGTCTTGGCTCCAGGGTATAGGTATGTTGTTGAAGTATTCATAGCCCTCTTCACTTGGTATGATCAATGAATATATCAATAACCTTCAAACTTGACCAATCTAGATCATACTTTATCAAAGCAAGGAAGACAAGAAATGATCATCGAGTTGGAAGCCAACATACAAAGGGCCCAAGGTATTGAACGAATCGACACTCTTGTGTTTAAGAGTTCAAAGTAAGAAGATCGTTTTTTTTTGAGATTTTGATTGGATTGTGTGAAAAATAGAGAAAATGATACCTTTGCATATGACACAGATTCAATCAAACTTATACATCAGTTCTGGATAGTCAAATACTTGTAGTTGCCTGGAACTTATACTGAACATGAGTCTAAATATCCTTCCAAACATACTTGATCAAGCTTGGAAACAAACATATTTAAAGGTCAAGAAATCAATCATTAATTTATCATCAAATCAAATCAAATATTATCCAATACAACAACAACTATAATAATAATAATAATAATCAACATCATTCCATTCAATTCAATAATAATTAGAAATGAAATTCTTCCTTCTCCTTACAATTGCCGCTCTGCTCTGTGCCCAGACCCTTGCCGCCACCAATGGATTCTCTGCCAACCTGATCAACTCTCCAGCCTTGTCACTTGTTAATGGTGCTCAGTCACTTAGCACTGTTGGTGGATGGTCCACCGGAGGCAATGGATTCAACTTGGGTAACTTTGGCGCCAACGGTGGCTACACAATCCCTGTTGCCGGTATCTACCACTTTGATGCCAATGTCCTGATCAACGTTGCCTCGGCCACCGCACCGAACCAAAATGTCGACATCCGTATCGTCAACTGTGCCGCCGGATCTGGATGCAATGCTTACTGTGCCGGAGGTTCAGTCCTTGGACGCACTCTAACTCAAGGTGGCTCGACCTGGTTGGGCAGTGGCTTCAACCTCGCATTCCCACCAAACTACAACCTCAAAGCATCATACACCGGATTCTTCAACGTTGGTGACACCATCGCTGTGTGCATTGACAACTGGGCAGCCTCTGGTCAAGTCAAGTTGAATTGTGCTTCATCCCCACTCTGCACCTTTGCCGGATTCCAGATCAACTAAGTCCATCCAGCCCTAAGTTTAACGGAGTTATACCCTCCATCATCATGTCCACCTCACAATGGGTGAGTGTTGTATGACTACAATAATAATAATAAACTATTAATTACAATTCACCATAGAGTGATCATCAATCATAAAATCTAATGACCATTTTTGGAAGAATGAGGGGGCGATTTTTAAGATAGAAATATCCAAAAAATGAATGAGACGCTGTGTTGACTTCAAAATGATAACTTCATGTTCTGTATTCATTGATCAACGATCAAAGTCATATTAGTACAGACTGCAGTTATAAATTTGTTGTTAGATTGTTTGAAAGTTCAAGATAAGCAAAGACATGAATCAAGATATGGTACATGTAGATGTGGATGGCAATGATAGTATTGGAGGTATTCCAGAGGATACAATGGTAGTGGACTCTGACAACATCAATAACAACAATAATAATGCCAATAGCAATGGCACAACACAATATGTTAATATTGCTAATGGTGTGACGTTGACATCAACATCAACAACATCGACAACTACAACAAACACTGCTGTGGGTGCAGACATCTCCTCACCAACCCGACAACAGCAACAGCATGAGTCATCATCACAGCCTCTTACACCATCGCAATCCCAGAGACAGCAGCAGCAACAACAACATGAGGAGCATGAGCAGCAGCAGCAACATCAACAGCCACAACAATCACAACCAACATTACAATCACCTCAAGTGATTAGACAGTCCCCAAAGACATCACCACCTCCTCCTCCTCAACAAAAGCAACAACAGTCTAAACAACAACAACAACAACAACAACAGATTGATCCACAGGATGAATATTTGAACACATTCCCTCAACCAATCAGAGATATGTTGTTCCGCCTTCCCCAGCAAGACAGGAGCATATTCAATCGTATTGTGATCTCTGGCAATCAATGTCCACTGTGTGGCACAAGGGTGCTGTTCACCGGACTGTTTGGTGTGGCCAACTGCATGGAGAGATGTGGCAGACGCGCCAAATCAATCATGGAGCAGATACTTCGTTTGTCCAACGATGATTATCTCATCAACAATACTCCACAGCAACAACAACAGCAACTACAGCAACAACAACAGCAACCGGCCTCATCTACATCGACACCGTTCAGTGCAAACGCAAACATGTCGCCACCAATGGGCGGTGTTGGATCGGCAGAGGCAATGGCAGACCGCTCAGACTCGTCTGGTGGTGAGGACGAGGGCGAGGAGAACGATGTAATTGAGAAGCCCAAGGCATGGGCCAATAAGACCGCTCCTCGTGGACAGGATTCAGTGTCTCTTCCACAAAAGCGCAAGCCCGTTGATCAACTAACCACAAACCCTTTGATCGTACACGTAATCAATGAGCCTGTAAGTTGTTTGTTATATATTGTATCACACATCCATGGATGGTCCACTGACCTGCCTCTCCTCTCTCTCACCCCCTCTAGAGTGACACCAAGTTCACGGTTAAAGTTGACCGCAGGACGCTGATACGCAAACTGATCAGTAAGGTCGCCGATGAGATGGATGAGAATCCAGATAGCATTAGATTGACATACAATGGCAATGTTTTGGAACCATCCCACTCCATTGAGAATGTATGTATTACGTAATTTATTGATTTGTTTGAGTGCTGTATCTAATGTAATCCATCCAATCAATTAAGTATGAGATATCGGATAGGGCAGTGCTCTGCTTTGATATAATTACCGACCGCGTGAACAGTAAAGTGCCCTCAACATTCAACACCAGATCACGTGTGTCGCTCCCAACTACAAAGAAGCGCTAGAACAGACAACATCAACCAAAACATCAACCAAACAATCAATCAAACAATCCATCACCGTCCAGCAGTACCGAACCTCAACCTACCTCCTCCTCCTAATCCTCTTCCTTCACTTCTACATTTATAATGCAACATCAACAACCATCGCATTTTAAAATACCAATGAATATAAATGGAAAGGAATTGAAATTCAATTAATTAATTATTAATTATATTTAAAATTATTATATTGTCTTTAGATTCCATCCCTATCCTTTGGGATCTAATAAAGACTTTGGAGATCTAGAGTGAAGAGTAAAGGTCAACCTTGGTTCATTCAGTTCACTATTTAAGTAGGACTGATCAATCAACCTTTCATTCTATCAATCAAGCAATCAATTAATCAATTAATCAATTAATCAATTAATCAATTATTATAAATATGGAATATTACTATGACTCTGGATCAGTAAGATCCTCTCAGACACCGTCTACTAATACATCATCATATGGTACAGTTGATGATAGTGCTAGCCAGATACAACACTATACACTACCTCCTCAACAATATTACAACTATTATCAATATCAATATCCACCTCCACCTCCACCTCAACATAATATTATATTTCAAAGTTATGATGATAACTACAATTGGTTATATCAATACCCTTCTAATATTAGGGAAGAGGTATTAAAGATGACAGAACAGGATAAACATATATTTAAAGTGATGTCAAGACTGAATTGTCCTTTATGTGGACAAAAGTTGATGTTCACCGGTATAGTAGGAATGGTAACATGTATACAAAGATGTTCACAACGTACAAAGTCAATATTAGATCTTATGATGAACATAGTAAACAACAATAACAACAATAGTAATAATAATAATATTGATGAGATTGGTAGCAATAGTAGTAGCAGTAGTGGAAGTAGTTGTGATAGTGCAACTTCAACTCCACACAATACACCAACAAAGTTAAAAAATACTCAACAACTTTTATATTATGATGATGAACCAGAGTCATTAAATAATGATAATGAACAACATGAACTACATGAACAACATGAACGACATGAACAACATGGACAACTTGGACAACAAGAAGGGGTAGCTGGAGAACAACAAGAGGTACCTTCTATACCAGAGATTAAGACACCAATCAAGAAGGTAAAGACAGAGGGAGCCAATAGATTCCAAAACAGTCCATTGTTCAAATCACAAGATGTTTTGAGTATATATATAAATATTGTAAGTACCTACCATTCAATCAATCAATCAATCAATCAATCAATCAATCAATCAATCAATCAAAGACTAATTCGATTGATTGGAATAGGATGAGCATAATAGACTACACTTGAAGGTGAGACCAAGAACACCTGTTAGACATTTGATAACCAGTGTAGCAAAGGCATTACAAATTGAAGAGAATCATACTAGATTGGCTTATGAAGGATTGGAAATGGATGCTGATCTATCAGTTGGTCATGTAAGTTGTTGAAGGTCAATCCTAACTCATCACATCTAACTCCATTCTTGTTCAAACACATTAGTACTGTGTTCTCAACAAGGACAAGTTGGACTTTGTAATTGAACTTAGAGACCCAATGCCTTTTACATTCAGGACTAGAAGATCATTCCCAAAAAGTAGTTCCTCCAAGAAGAAGAAGGAAGGGAAGATGCGTGACCCTCAGTTGCCCTATCACTGGTGACAGAAGCAGATGACAGACACACCCTCACTATCAAACATGCCACTTGTTGATCAAATTTGTAAGGTCAGGAAGTCTTGTGCCCAAAACATCAAATTCAATGAATCGTCCAACCGAGTCATCCACCTTTTCCCTGATGTGTTTGAGATGCATCACCATCCCACATTTATTTGTTTATTATTATTATTATCGTTGTTATTTTTATCATTCCACTGACTATTACGCAAGGGTTTTGTGTGTACATTCTCTCAATCATTCAATCAATCAACAAGGCAGTTATTTATTTAATTATACACACACACACAATCAAACAACATCAAGATCGAGGCAACATCGATCAAACACACTCACACACTAACGTACACACCACCTCCCCCACTTTTGTCATTGACTTTGGTCTCAAACGTTTGATCCTTCATTCATTCATCACATCATATCAATTGGATCAACAACAAGACATCTTAATTATATAAAGTATATAATAATATCTATTTATTAAATATCAAACAAACAGGAATCAACCAATTGATTGTACAATAACCAGTTGGGTACAAAAACAAACTTATAAATGTCATCTAATAATGCAAGGAAATGGGAGGAGGCTCAGGAGAAGGTAGGATAGGATGGACTATTACATCAATGAATGGTGTACATTGAACAAACATACTCATACAATACATTATATTAGGCCTTCACAAATTGGGTCAACTCATTGTTGGCAAAGGTAGGCAAGAGAGTGGATGATGTAGGAACAGACTTGAGTGATGGAGTGGCATTCATTCAGTTCTTGGAGTTGCTGAGTCAGAAGAAGTGCAAGCACAAGTACAACCCAGAACCAAAGGACAAGATCAATAAGATTCAGAACCTTCACATTGGTATGCGATTCCTCGAGGTCGATCTTGGCCTCAAGCCACGCGGCGTAGGCCCAGAGGACTTTTACGATGGCAACAAGAAGATGATATTTGGATTCCTTTGGACACTCTATCGTCGCTTCAGAATATCAATGATCCGCGACGATGGCTCCAGCGCCTTGCCCGACAGAGACCCAACAGAGCGTGAGGCTGAGGAGAACCTGCTCAAGTGGTGCTCCAACATGACAGGCTTCAACATTACACAGTTCAAGACCGGCTTTAGAGATGGCGCCGCCTTCTTGTCGATGGCTGAGAAGCTGGCTGACTCTAACGATGCACTGGCTGGTCTGGCCGGTCTGGACAGCATCGCCAAGCTTGCCGCCGTCTTTGACTTTGCCGAGAAGAACTTGAACATCCCCAAGCTGCTGGACGCTGAGGACGTTGCCGCAGGCACGGCCGACGAGCGCACACTCATGCTCTACACATCACTCTTTTACAACGCCTATGAGGGCAGAAAGAAAGCAAACAAGTCAGAGATGGACGAGCTTAAGGACAAGGTCGTCGAGGTGGCAGGCATCGAGCGAGAGGCAATCTCAAAGATCTTCCAACTCGAGGACCAGTTGAATATGTATAACGAAGAGCTAAAGACTGAGCGATACGAGCGAATGGCATTGGAGAGAGTCGTAATGGACCTGGAGAACAAGGCCATGCTCACTCATCTGATGGAGTTGCGCGAACAGTTGGAGAGCCACCAGCATCTGCTCTGTCGACTGCAGCAGGACGTACAACAAAAGGCCACTGGTAAGCTGGCGCCTCTCTGGGGACCACCTCAAATCAGTGCCGACTTGAGCAAGTCAATGTTTGACCAAGTCGATCAACTTGGTTCACAGTTGGATGAAGAGTTACAAAGAATAAGCAGGATTGTTCAAGCTTCAGAAGTGAAGCCAATCACCATTGGCAAGAAGGTATGTATTAGGGTATTTCCTGAAGTAGGCACGACATACTAACATTCATCCATCATCCATTCACATAGTCTGGCGAGAAGTTGCTAGAGAAAGAAAGAGAGAGCTAACCGAACATGAGCTCGCTCCAAACATATATGTACAAGTAGTACTTCTCTTAAGTTATATAAATCAATCCCTTCACCGATTAAGATGATGATAAAGGTTAGGACGTAGGATGTATATGTATATATAATATATCATCATGGTTTATTGGCTTCGTCTGATCTGGGCGAGCTGTCGTTTGTAGACGACGAAGATGACATTGGCGATGGCGCCGTAGGGTTGGGCGGTGTGAGCCCCGATATGTTGTGATAGAGATGTTCGTATATCTCCTTCAGTGTCTCGGCTTTGTGCTGTATCGATCGGTCGCGCATCACGCTGTCAAAGAATTGGAAGCGACCCTGTTCGTTTGGCAGCAGTTTCTGTACAGTTGGGTCGGCGGGATTGGCACTATGCAGCGTCGTCCACACCTTGGTCACGGCATCCACAAGTGTCACGTCGTAGAAGGACACGCTGTGCTGTCGTACAATGAGTCGTGCTATCTGCATTGGTGTGAGGATCTTGTGAAGACGCTGGTCAATGTCGCAGATGTTCATTCGATGCTTGATAAAGTTCATCTTGAGGCGTTCGAGAAGTCTAGTAAAGTCCAACACGGCGGGGATCTTGCTGGCAAGTGGGCCATTGATGTGCATTGATAAATGATGGCCGTGGCTATGGGGATAGGGATTGTACTGATGATGCTTGTTGGAGTCTGCGCCATTGCTGTTGTTGTTGGTGATGCTGCCACCACAGCCAGTGCTCGTGTTGTCCATTGGGTTGCCCGGTGGGTAGGCACCAGGTGGGAATGTCCAATTGTCATCTCCACCAGTTTGTGCTGGATAATTGGTCTCGCTCCAACGATTGTATCCAAAGGAGAACTCGCGAAGGTATTTCTCCCTGATCTCTGTCTCCAAAGCCATTCGCTCCTCCTTCAATTCGTTAAAAATGGTGAGGTACTGTTGATAGAGTGATTCGGCTGTCATACGTTGTTCATCGCTCATAAAAGACTCTTCGGCAAAGTCTGGCCACCAATGTGCCGATACAACAGGCTTGCCACAAATGGCTGAATACTCCACGTTGGCCTTGTATCCCATAACTGCAAGCTTACCCTATATTAAGTGAAATGTACATGTTAGTCGAACTCTGATTGATCGGCTGGTCAGTCACATCACATTCATACCTGCGTGAAGGGATGGATGATCTTGATGATCTCTCTCTCGACGATTGTTGATCTAAGTTGTTGGGAGAATTGAGAGAACTGTATCAGCTGATCTACTATCCTATCGTTGTCATTAGAGTTGGTGGTGCCACTGACAACCTTCTCGGCCAGCTTGACAAGGAGGTGCTGAACCTCTATGAGTACATTGTGGAAGTCGTCTGGCTTCATGATCTCAGCGACCGTGACTTTCTTCATACTCTCATTCTCCACTCGCAGTCGTTGATTCTCATCGACTAGTTGTTTTACTCTGTCCTCAATGATCTGTGTATGCTCCTTCTTCTTCTTTCGATACTCTTTGCTTGATTGGCCGGACTTTGGTTTCTTTGATGAACAACCATTCTCATCCATGTGTGACTCCTGCGAGGCAGGGCTGCTAACACCATCACTCACAAGCTTCTGCTGAAGTGCCTGCACCTGGGACTGGAATAGTTCGTCCTGCTGTTGGTGGCTAAGTTGTGATTGTTGTTGCAGTTGCAGCTGGTGTTGATGTTGCTGTTGGAGCTGTAGCTGTTGTGGCTGAGGCTGAGGTTGAGGCTGAGGATGAGGCGACTGAGGATGAGGATGAGGCTGAATCTGGATCGATGATGGTATATTGTTGTTGACTTGTTGCTGGATGGTTTGTTGATGCATGTGCGAGTTCAAGACGTTCATATGGAACTGGAGTTGAACAGGTTGATGACTTGGAGCTGAGCCTGATGTTGTGGCTGGGCTTGAGACGGGTGGTGTGATCACTTGAGGCACTTGATGTATTGGACTATGAACAGATTGCTGAGGTGATTGAAGGTTTGGTGGCGATTGAACATGTTGTGGTAGAGGTAATACGTTGGTAGTGTTTGTAGTAGTCTGTACATATGGCGCACTACATTGTTGTTGTTGAGTTGATAGTATTGGTGATTGAATATGTTGATGTTGTTGCTGTTGCTGGAGTGGTGGATGTAATTGTGGTTGAAGTTGTTGTTGTGTAAGTTGTTGATGTTGCTGATGGTGAAGTTGGAGTTGTTGTTGTTGAGGTTGTTGTTGCGGTTGGTATGAAGGTGTTGGTGTGGATACCATTGAATTGACATTGTTGACATTGTTGAGAGGAGCAACATTGACATTTCCATTGGCATTGGTCGAATCGAGGATCTGTTGCAGCACCGACCTTTGTTGCTGAAGGAATAGGAACTGTATCTGATCATCGGACAGGTATAGATTCTCATACTCTGACAACTTTTGTTTGAAGCTCTCATGTTGTGTTTGCATTAACGATGCCATCTCACCAGTGTAAACTGGTTGTTGTTGATTGAATGTTATTGGTTGTTGCTGTTGCTGCCATGGCATCGGTGTTGGAGTTGAATGTACAATATTGTTGTTGTTGTTGTTGTTGTTGTTAAGGGTCATATCCCAATTTGAGGACATTGATGCATGTTGTTGTTGATGTTGTTGTTGCTGTTGTTGTAGTATCAATTGTTGTTGTTGCTGATGTTGTTGCAATAACTGTTGATTTGCATTCTGAATGAGAGCAGTGATTGAGTTGAACTCCTCTACAGTATATTGTTGTGCCAGGTGATTACTCGTTGCTGTTCCATTACCCGACGACAATGATGATGATGACGTTGATGATGATTGAGGTGATAAGAAATTGAAGTAATGATCCATGTTTAACTGTCTATCTATCTAAAGGTGTGTGATCCTTGTGACCATCACTAACTCGTTCGCTTGTTCACTAAATATATATATATATATATATATTAATAATAAGATACCTGTATAGTTATATAGAGATGGAGAGATAAAGAGATACAATTCAAATTAACTAATGCTTATACATGTACCTATTGCAATGTGTGCGTCTGTAAGTGTTTGAGTGAATGTAACCAAATACAAGTACAAGTGATAACCACACACTAGGATGACTAACCCCCACTTAAATGTGATTCCCAACAAGTTCATCTTGCGCGTTTGTAGCGACAAGCCTAGTCTGGTCCCCACCACCATACCCTGGGTTCACCAAACAATTTATCGCGAAACAAATGAACACGACGAGTTATGGGGGCAAGAACCATCATCGATTTGGACAACTGACGAGACTGATTGATTGATGGACCAGCCAGTCCTTTCCAATTCGAATTGGAAGTCTCCCAAAGGACTTAGAAGGTAGTGATAAATAGTTTATTAATAATAATAATGCGCGCGTGTTATTTACAAGTCCATCCAATGATTGATTGATTGTTCGATTGATTAGTCTGATGACTTGTCCAATGTTGAGGATGATGATGAAGTGTTGTTGATGACCTGTGACTTCAATGGCTCAAGTGTTGAGAATGATTGATAGAGTGTCTCGTACACTGACTTTAGCTTATCATACTGATGATCACTGTTGCTGTTGTTGTTGGTCATCGTAGTATTGGTATTACAATTGTCCTGATCACAATCAATGTGATCATTGTTGTTGTTACTGTTTACAATATACTCCAAAATGTTGAACTTTGCATCGACACCATTATAGTCAGACTTTGGAATGAGATTGGATATTGAGTCTGGCGACTCGTAGAGCTTGCCCCACACCATTGTGATCTGATCCACCAGTGCAATGTCCATAAACGGTGTCTTGTGCACCTGAAGAATGAGCTTGGCATTCTGAATGGGTGTCAATATCTTGGTGATGGCCATGTCCACGTAGCAGATGTTCTGTCTGTGTCGGATAAAGTTCATCCTCATGCGTTCGAGCTTCTCACAAAACTCCAACACCTGAGCCACGGTCAATGTTGCTCGGTCGCTGTCGTGTGGAGGTGCCTTGCCTGGCACGGGCGCCTGGCGATTGGGCAAGCCATACGGTTGATTGGCCTGCGCAGGCTTGGTGTTGGCACTGACACTGTTGCCAACAATGTCCAATGTGATTGATGGGAGTGTCTGCAGTGGGGGCTGTTGCTGATAGAGTCCATATCCATTGTTGAAGAGGTTAGGATCAAACTCTCGTGTCCTCTTGGCAATGGGTATCATCTTCTTAATCTCCTCGTCCAGTTGATCGCGCTCATCCTTCAACTCGGCCTGTATCTTGGCGTAGTGTTTCCATAATGACTCGATCACATTGCGCTGTTGCTCATTGATTCCCACCTGATCCATGAAGCTGGGCCACCACATGGTCGTCACCATCGGGTTGCCACATATCACAGAGATCTCGGCCGATGGCCGATAGCCGAGGTAGTAGAGCTTGGCCTGGATTGTCGGATTGATCACCTTTTCAATGTCGCGCTCGACAACAGTGGACCGTAGCTTGGACGAGAACTCAAAGAACTGCAACAGGTACTCGATGGACTTGTCGCTGCAGTTGTTGTTGTTGATGACGTTCTGGGCCAGCTTCACCAGGAGCGCCTGGAAGTCGAGTGTGGCTTGGTGGAAGTCATCCGGGCGCATCATGTCGGCCAAGGACACATTCTTCATGGTCATGTTCTCCTGTTTCAATCGCTGGTTCTCCATCGATAGCTCCTTGAGCTTTTGCTCAATCACTGAGATGTGATCCTTCTTGCGCTGGCGGTAATCCTTGCTCTGGATACTTTTACACTTGGTCTTTGGTGCTGAATGTTGTTGGGATTGATGTGATTGTTGTTGGTGTGATTGTTGATGTTGATGTGATTGCTTTGATTGATTGATTGCTGGTGAGTTGTCGTTTGATGATGAGGAGGATGATGTGGAGGGAGATGAGTCGATCACAATCTCATTATGTTGTTGTTGTTGTTGTTGGATTTGATGTCCATGCTGTTGAGCAGGCACTTGGTGTTGTTGATGTGATTGTTGTTGTTGTTGTTGTTGCTGTTGTCGTTGATGTTGATTTTGTTGTTGTATTTGTTGTATTTGTTGCTCCAACTCTTGAGCAAGACATGCAGTCTCATATTGAAGCTTGCTGATTGATTGATAGGGCAATGTTTGTTGATGCATAGTTTCAAAGAGTACAACATCAGATGGATGAGGTGGACGCTCAATCACCTGAGATGTTTGGGGAGGAGGAAGAGGTTGTGGTGCAGCAGCAGCAGCAGCAACAGCGACAACAGGTTGATGTAGTGTAGCCTGTGGCTGTTGTTGTGCTTGTTGTGGTGGAGGGATATAAAGTGACTCAGGTATCGGTTCAAATGAGGCTGTTTGGGCCTGTCTCATTGTTGGCTGGATATTGACGCCACCGCCACCGCCACCGCCATCACCATTACCACCTCCACCACAGTTTGATAGCCCACCATTGGAACCGTCGAGGATAGACTTGAGGAAGGAGTTCTGCTCCTGTAGCATAAGGAGCTGGACGTCCGAGTCGGACAAATCATCGACACTACTCCTCAGTCTCATCTTGAACTGGGACTGGTGTTGCTCGATCAGGTCAGAATGTCCGGTGACCGCCGACAGCATATCCTCACTCATAAGTGAAGTTGGCCATTGAGCCACGCCTCCATCAACAGAGAACAATGTATTATCAAAGTTACTCTGCTGTTGTTGCATTGAGTCATAGTGTAGTTCTTGTTCTTGTTCTTGTGGCTCTTGCATTATTTGATGATGTTGTTGTTGTTGTTGTTGATATTGATGATGTTGTTGATGTTGTTGAAGTAGTTGTTGCGATTGTTGTTGTTGAAGTTGTTGTTGACTCAACAATTGATTGATGAGCATTGTCAAGTCTTGCGACGTCATGTTATTACTCAGTAGTGCACCAAGGTTATCCATTGTAAGTTATTATGTCAATTGTCAGAGATAGCAATGATGAATTGAATGAATGAGTCAAGTCAAGTCAAGTCAAGTAGTAGTCCAAAGTGGAGTGGAGGCCTTCAAGTCAAAGGATTGTTTGTTATTTTTGTACAAGTTATTAGTTTGTTAGTTATGGATAATGAAAGAGAGAGAGAGAGGGGAATAGTGTAAGAATGATGTGGTTGATGGCTTCCTTCTAAAGAGGGGTGTCAAGGTTTGTCCCGCTAGGCTCTGCCGACTTTGGCAATAACCAGATGGCTTTGTGCAACGGCACAAGCACACCACACACTCACAATCACTCGAATGAATCACCACAACTCTTTGATTTTCTCCATCTCAAACACGCAAGAAATGGAAACATAATGATGATGACGATTGAGTAGCGATCGCCACGTCGTAGACTAGTCACTCTATTTATAAATAGAGCTGTTTTTGATTGATAGATTGTCTGGTTGTTGATTGATTGATTGATAGATTTAATGATAGTTTGAGTAGAATATGTCTATACTGAATGACATCACTTTCGTACTTAATGTAGTTAGGCAACACCCATCTATTTCCAAACGTCAATCTCCATGGAGAACTATCACAATTCATCTTCTCTTCCACACATTTTAACAAAAATTGTAGAAAAGCTTTTTGGTGATTATCTTACAATCAATTATATAATTCCCTCCGGAAACCGGTTTCCGATATATATACTCATCATTAATGTTTCATTTATTCATTCAATTTATCCTCCTACAGTTAGAATCTAGTTATTAAACAAAATAATAATGTCTAGAATAGTTGTGATGATAATTCTAATTGTAGTTTTGGTTTCTTTAACTTCTTGCCAAATGGAAGAGAGTCAATCCGAAGTTATAGATGAAAGTGAATTAATAGAAATCATTAAGATTAAGATAGAGATTCTCAAGTATGAAGGTGCCATCAATAAAATTCAAGAAGAAATGGTCCGACTAAATAATAAGATGAGCTCTGAAAAAGAGCTCGGTCCTGAAGCTTACGTTATATTTAATACGAAATTGGAATTATACCATAGAGAAATCCTCAGTTTGACAAGAGAACTACATCAACTATATCTCCAAAATGATCATTTACTTAAATTAATCGATTTTTATGAAAGAAACTATTTTCAATAAAATATTTTGGAATGATTTTAAAAGAAGGTTTATTATTCTTACAAAAATAATAATAATAAAATTATTCCAAAAGTATTTAGGGAGAGGAGAGTTATGATTAAATGATTGATTGATCTAAATTTAATATTGTTATTGTAATGGTGCCTGTACTCTTTTGTATGGATCATGTCAAATCATTTTCTTTAAAATAATCGATTAAAAGTCTGGAAAGATAACGTAAATTGTGGATAAACAAGATTAAATTTGAGTTTGGATCGATTTAATTAATAATAATAATATATAACGACATGGATGGTGAAATCAATCAACGTATATGATGATGACTATTGCTTGGGGTTTGTGTTTTTGTCAGCAGCAGAGGCGGCAGAGGATGCAGCCAGGTTGCCTGGAGTGATACCCCAGGATGCCTTGTTGGTGTCGAATGCTATGTCTTGATTTTGCTCCGAGTAGTACTCTCTCCAGCAGTCGGCCGCCTTGAGGTAGTGCTCCAAGTTGAGACGAATTACAAAGTTCACGATTCTCTTGAGTTCGTAGTTGCGCTTGTTATCGAAGCGCTGAAGCTCCACCTTGGTGGTGGCGCTTACACGCTCAAACTCCTGCTTGGCATCGGCCAGCTTCTTCTGATAGTCCTCGTACTCCTTCTGTGCTGAGTCCTTCTTGAAGGCATTGACCGCCTTGAGCTTCTCGAATTTCTCGCGGGCGCTCTCCACCTTGCGCTCCCAGTTCTGGAAGTTGAGCAACGCGTCCAGACGCTCATTCAACAGCTCCTTGATCGAGTTGAGCACTCTAATATAATCGATCATGCCATCCTCAAAGAAGTTGGCCTCTGAATTGCTCAGCTCATCCATGCTGGACTTGACTGTGGACTCGACCTGTGTGATGCGCTGGAAGCTGTTGGCAACGTCCTGTGATTGAGAGATCTCGCCCGAGGAGAAGGTCAGACCGGCCGAGCTAAAGTCACCCATAGCCTGAGCGAGCTCGCGACGCTTCCTGATGACGTTGGAGACATTGTCAGTGAGGCGGCGCAGGTTGTTGTCCAACTGGACAATGTAGATCTTCTTGTCATCGAACCATGGGTCGACCTCCTTGACCGAGTGCACGCTGGTCATGTTGCTGACGGCCGATGCGGCACTTCCAAAGAATGAGGAGATCTTTCCGAATGTCTTGGTCTCCTGTTGCACTGGCGTGCCATCAGCTGACTCGACCACTGGTCTTGTGTTCCTGGCTGCGGCCAACTTCTCATCAGAGCCTTCCAAGAATATAGTAAGCTCATTAGAGTGCATCAAAGCATCATTCTCTGCAATCCTGTTCAAGAACTTCTCCAACTCTCTTCTTCTAATCTCAAGGAACTCCTTGTTGAACTTGTCTATTTGTTTGAATGATTGATTGATCAGGTGAGTGTGAGCGAGTGAGTGAGTGAGTGATCAGGTGAATGATAATGATACAACATCCAAGACAACATACTTAGAACAGCCTTCTCTGGAAGAGTTGGGATGGCAATGCCTCTTCTGGTCTCCTTGAGTGAGTTTCTGAGCCATTCAAAGTCAGAGTATCTACGCACGACAGTGTTCTCCTTCTTGTAGTCTGGTCGATCGGCCAAGATATCGATTGTGTACACCTTGTAGGTGACGTATGATCCGACACCATCACCAACCTTCTCAGGCTCTCTCACGGTGATGTCCTTGGACTGATTCCTTGTGCTGCTGAGCACGACCGACGTTCTCTTGTCCTTAAAGTCGGTCAGGCCGCCTGGAATGCCCTTCAGACTATCGAATGACATTGAATTATGTGGTGTCGGTTGGCCAATCGATGTCTGAGACACTGGCATACTATGTGATGCGTACTGAGTCTGCACCTCTGGGTAATCAGACACTCCAGATGATATCTTCTGTTGAATGACCACTGGTGTCTGTTCAGTGTATGGTTCATCGATTGGTTCTGCGACCTATTCATTCATTCATTCATTCATTCATTCATTTGGAGTATGAGTATATGTTTGAATATCTATATGCTTCGCTCGATACCTACAAATGTTGAATTGTTGTCTTCATAGGTGATCTGAGTGTTGAACAATAAGTTACTGTTGTAGTTTGACATTATTGTATTCTTTTGTTGTTATTATAAGTACAATTATTATATATATATATCTTAGTTCTATGTATGATTGATTGATTGATTATGTGTGTGTGTTGCTTGTGTAGGTTGAATGAATGAATGGTGTGTTGCAAAGTATCTCTTTGCTTGTGTCACACACCCAATGAATTGAATTGGCATAAAGTACACCCACACCTCACGATAACATGCATATCTGAAGGTTCCAAGACAACTTCACCCCACACTCTCTTGGATTGAAGACAAGTCCTCGGCATTTGGTGTTGGGCCCCTTCAACTCATAAATTGTAATTGTAATGTTATAACATAACTAATTAGTAGTTATTAATATTATTGATGTTGTTATTATTATTGACATGTTGTTTGGATGAATGGTTTGATTTGATTGACCATACATACCATGATGAAGTTATCACTCACTCACTCATAATATTATTAGTGAGCAATAACTTATCAATGATGGTTAGTTCGATCTTTAGATGCTTGTAGCGCTCGTATTCCTTTTGGACAGGAAGTCGATCGTCCAGGAATTGTACACGTCGACCATGCTTCTTGGTAAAGTCTGTCTGATATCGGTGGAGGTCCATCTGAAGTGTGCGCTTCTCATGTTTCAGTCTGGACTGTCGCTCTTGTAGTACATTGGGTGATAATTGCCGCAGTGACTCCTCTATCTCCCTCTCGTTGGCTGCCGCTGCTGCCGCCGCCGCTGCACTATTGTTGCCACTGGTTGATAATGACATTGGTGATGATTGATCAATCTTATTGTTGTTGCTATTGTTGTTCGTTGTTGTAGTTGTTGTTGGTGAAGGAGATGGTGATGTGCTGTTGTTTGGATCATTGTTGCTGGTGGACTTTGATAGATGATGATGCGCTGACTTTGGTGATGTTGGCAACTGATCGATCATAGCCTTCACCTCGCGATATCGTTGATACAGTGGTCGCATTATCTCCTTGTCATTCTTCTTGGGCAGATGACCATTCTGTCGCTTGAAGCCTAGATCAAACTCTCGCAACTCCTTCTTGATCGACGACTTCTCATCGCAGAGCTCCAGAGCGCTCATCAACTGCAGGTCGGATGGACGTCCGGCATCCCTGCGTATCTGTAACAAGTGTGACCAGGCCAGCTCCAGGGGACCTTGTTCAATCTGATTCATCAGCACCACCTTCTTTGATGAGCTCATCGGTGATGTGTTTCCTGAACTTGATCCACTCCTTGGTGATAACATTGATTGTGATGTTGATGTTGTTGTTGTCTTTGCGCTTGGTGATGTTGGTTGTTGTTGTTGTTGTGGCTGCTTCATTATTGGTGTAGGCAGGAGATGTTGTTGTTGCTGTTGGTCGCCACCACCTAGAGGTGAGTCTTGTTGTAGTATGAATGTTGTTGTGAGGTTGTTCAACAGCTGTGACTTTAGCAATGAACGCAGCTGTGGTGAGGACGATGAAGAGTCGTTGCCTCCTCCTCTGGCATGATAGCGTGGCGATGATGGCGCTGTGTTGCGTGGCGATGCCGGAGGGTTTGAAGAGGAGGAGCTGCCTTGTGGCGTGGCCAAAAAGAACTCCTCGCCTCTGGCAATCTCGAACGAGTCTGTGATTGGCATCTCGCGGTCAAACAGCACCGAGCATGTCTTGTTGATGAGCAATCGCATCAGCTCTGCATTGTCGTCCAGACTGATTGAGTTCCTGGGCGAAGAAGGCGGCAGTGGTAGCAGGCTGGGTGATATGTAGCTGCTTGATCTTGGCGAAGAGGCCATGTTGTTGTTCAGTTGTGGTACAAGAATGGAGAATCGCGAGCCACTGCCTCCGCCGCCGCTGCTGTGTGAGTGCGAGCTGTGCGAACTGTGGGAACTGTTGTCGCCTCCGCCATTGCCATTGTTGTTGCCACCATTGACTCCAATGTTGTTGATGCCCAACTGTTGTCGGAACCTGGTGTATCTTGGTGAGCGAGGCGGTGAGATACTAGCACTATGTGTTGTTTGAGTTGGTGTTGTCGGTAGTAGTGTTGGCATAAGTGGTGGAGACGATAGTGTGTCCTGGCCACCAACGACACCAGGTTGTGATGAATGGGATGGCAAAGTTGGTGGAGAGCGGAGGGCCATCGCTGACAAGAAATCATCGTAGGGTGCCCCACCGGTGGCAGTTGGAGGGGAGAGTACATGTTGATGCTGATGCTGACCGCCATTTGTAACCATCTGATTGGACTCAGTCTCCAGACTGAATGGAGCGCTGCCACTTGTGAACTTCATCGCATTCCTCTTGGAGTGGGGCGATGACTCCTTGCCCGCAAGCTTGGCCACCAAGCTTGGTGATATCTGTGTATTTAAAGTCGCGCTCATAATGAATGAAGGGAACTCGGCATTCTAGATTGATTGATTGAGGTTAGTAGTTGGCCGGTTCCATCCCTGCGACCCAGCAGGCATACTTACATGGAACAAGTAGTCAAACTCCTCGAGTATGAGGAAGAACACTCCATTGACGTGCTTGGCATCTTCGATCATCTTGACAGTGTCTTCGTGTTGTGGACGCATGACGGTTGGACCAAACACAATGGCCAGGTTTGATGCCGTCATCTTGTTTATCATCGATTGATTGGCAATGTCTCGCAGCAGGCATGTCAAATGCTTCAACAAAGAGTAATGTGCCAATGGCAGTTGATTCAGCAATACCCTGATCGAGCTTACTCTGCCCAGTCTATCTTTGCTTTCTGGATTATGTGTCATGAGTGAGTTAGTGATGTAACGTTCAACATCATGCATCTTGCGCGACTACATACTGTGTGATTGAACAAACGATTCATAGAGTGAGAAGGTCAGCAATGAGTCGGGCAGCTCACGAATGAATAGCTTCAATAGTGAAGCCTGTGTGTGGAGATCGGAGAAGAGATCGCTGAGCTCGTTGCGCGATGTGATCTTTCCTTCGTTGTACATCTTTTTGAGTTGTATGATATCGGGGTTGGAGCCGGGCACACGGAAGATGCCCTCCAGTGCCAATCCGCCATTGGCTCTGATGTTTGCCGTGACGTGGTTGACCAGACACGGCACATCATTGTACGTGGAGTTGCGTTTGAACAGCTCATTGAGCGGCACGCCAAACATCGGACCCTCGCTCTGTATCATATGTTTTGAGTTTGGTGGCGAGGCTGTCGCCGGTGATGCGCCACCGTTTGGAGACACTCCGTTGCCAGCCGGTGCTCCACCTATATTATTCCAGAAACTATATATCTTTTTGCTACTCTTCATATTACACCAACTCCCTGTCTGTATGTCTGTCTGTGTGCTTGTCTCGTCTGTATGTTATCTTCGCTATATTCACTATCTAATGTATATATATATATATGTATGTGTCGTATATAGTTGGTTTGTATATGTACAAGTGAAGTTGTTGGATGATGATGATGATGTGAGTGGATGTATGTATTGATGTCAACACGAGTTTAATCAGTTGATCATCAAACAAGGTGTTTATAAATGATATATTTAAGTAGTATGTATGATGTATGTGTATTATAGTACAAGTAATAACAAGACAATGATTGATTATTATGTCTTTGCGTTCATAGGGTATGGTCTGTGTTGTTGAGAATGAGTGAGTGACTGTCAAATGAATGAATGCTTGGAGATTGAACTTTGAAGGAAGTTGATGTTGTTATTGTTGTGTGGGGACGATTCAGTTTGAAAAACAACCCAAACCTCAATACTAGTGTTATTTGAATCACATTGTATCTCGCACTCTTTGACAAATCTACGAGTCCATTCATTCATTCAGTCATTCAATCAAACTTGTCTTTGTAATTATATATATATAAATATCTATTATCTCTATAACTATCACTACCTCATATATTGTACTAATAATAATAATAATAATAATAATGTCAAAGAAGAACCCATTCTCTTTCTTTACTTATGTGGAATCGTCTTCACCAGATCAACAACAAGCAGCACCTGTAACACCATCTACTCCTCATATTGTAACTTCTCCATCTGCACAACTACCAGTATTCAATACTATACCAAATAGTAGTAGTGGAGGAGGTGGCGGAGGTGGAGGTAGTGGAGCAACAAAGAAGAAACATGGAGCTAATTTCAATCCAAACCTGTTTGATGATGATGATGATGATGATGAGGAGGATGACGATGATGATGAAGAGGAGGACGACGATGATGATGACGATCATTCATCATTACGTCCACGTGGCACTACTACCAAGATATCCAAGCCACCAACTACAGTCACTGCACCTTCAGTAGCACCATCAATCCCAACAACAACAACACCTCTCCCAACACAAACACCAAAGAGTAGCGCGACCAAGCAACAGTCTCAACCAATACAACAACAACCGATTCAACAACAACAACCTCAAACACAGACTCTACCAAAGGTGTCGTCTCCATCAACAAGTACTCAGTCCTCATCAAAACGATTGAATCAACTGTTTGAGGACAATGTCAAGCTGGAAGAGACACTCATTGATGATGACCGACTCACTCCCATCTCCCCAGCCGTCGCCAATGTTAACAGTCCGCCAACAACATCTCCTCTGAACCTGCCAAACAGCCTCAATCTAATTACACCAAACAGCAACGCGAGCACAACACTTCCAGCCACATTGGTGCCACAGATTCACAATCAGGCACAGTTGACAAAGTCAATCGATGCAACAATCGGCACGACAGCCGCGGCCAACAACAATGTAAAGATGAACGAAGAGATGGACAATCTGCGACAACAAATGGAGAAGCTACAGCAGGAGAACAACCAATACAAGACATACGTCAAGCAGCTCAAGGTCAAATCGAACAAGCTGGCCACCGAGAAGGAGGCCTGCGAGCTAAAGCTGGCAGCGACTGAGCGCGCAATCGAGGACTTCAAGATCAAGGAGGCTAAGGAGACGGCCATGATGGAGGAGATGATCGCAGGTGTCGAAGCAAACCTGCTCGAGACCAAGAAGCGAGCGCAAAAGGCTGAGGCATTGGTCGAGCAGCTCAAACACGAGAATGCAATGCTCAAGGCCAGTGGACACAGTGTCGACTCGCAAGAACTCCGCCATCGCCTGCAGGACGCCAAGGAGAAGGGTCGTATGGTGTCAGCCATGTTGCACCAGGCTGCAGCCGATGCCGACGTACAACTCAAGGGACTGATGCGCGGTGTTGAGACACTTCAGAATATCTCTGGCCTGCTCACATCAATCGATCGTATATCCAGTGTCCCCTGACTAAGCAAGATATAATAATATATAGTAGAAGTAGTAGTCGTGTTGGTACAAGCGCGAGCAGAGTACCAATCACAGTGATGATGATGCTTATCTCTAACCGGACCCTGTCCCGTACAAGGGTACAGGTGCCCTTTATTCATTTAATATTACTTGTTTCCTACTACTACCCTCTCCCAATCATGTAAGTTTATGCTCTCTCGACGGCTGTAATGTCGTAGCCGTTTGGATTCTGTGACTGCCACTTCCAGGCATGCTCACACATGTCAAGCTGGTTGTAGTTGGCCTTCCAACCCAACACCTCTAGGGCCTTGCTTGGATCAGCGTAGGAGACACCAACGTCACCTGGACGTCTGTCGACGATCTGGTATGGAACCTCGCGGCCCGATGCCCTCCTGATTGCCTCCACCATCTCAAGAACAGAGTAACCACGACCAGTTCCAAGGTTGAAAGCATCACATCCTGGCTTGGTGTAAAGATGTCTAGAGTTGAGTGAGTACAATTAGTAATATGTCGACGTTTGTTTGATTGAATGGATTTTGTGCACATACCCTAGAGCAGCAATGTGTCCTTTGGCAAGATCAACAACATGGATGTAATCGCGGACTCCAGTTCCATCCTCAGTTTCATAGTCGCCTCCAAACACAGACAAGACCTTTCTGCGACCAATGGCGGTCTGAGTGATGTATGGAACCAGATTGTTGGGGATATCTCTTGGGTCCTCTCCAATCAAACCAGAAGGATGAGCGCCAACTGGATTGAAGTATCTCAACAGAATACAGTTCCACTCTGGATCACTGGCACATGTGTCTTGGAGGATGGCCTCAATGAACATCTTGGTCTTTCCATACGGGTTGGTGGCTCCATGTGGGAGATCCTCTGTGATTGGAACCTTCTGGGCAGCTCCATAGACATTGGCACTTGATGAGAATACGATGTTCTTGACGTTGAACCTCTCCATCACCTTGAGCAAGATGAGTGTACCAGTAATGTTGTTGTCATAGTACTTTAGTGGCTTGGACACTGACTCACTGACTGATTTCAGGCCGGCAAAGTGGACAACCATGTTGATGGTTCTGGTTTGGAACAGGTTCGTCAGGGCTTGCTCATCCATCAGGTCAATCTCATGGAATTCGACTTCGTGACCAGTGATTAGTTGGACGCGTCTCAATGACTCAACTGATGAGTTTGACAGATTGTCAATGACAATTGGTGTATAACCGGCTTGAATCATTTCAACGACTGTGTGACTACCAATGTACCCAGCACCTCCAGTGACCAATATATTCTTGTTATTATCATTTGTCATTTTATATTTGTATTATTCTTATTATTTATAAGATTGTTGTAATATTAATATTATAAATGTTTGAGTTAAAGTTGATGTTGTTGTAGTTGATGATGATGATGGAATGGATTGTGATTAATTGAGTTAATTTATACTTGTTGTCCTGGATTGGGATGGTTTGATGTGTCCTGAAAAGGAAAACGAGTTGAGCAGACACACGGTCTGATTGAGTTGTCAATTGGTTGATCACCAAATCACTCAATCAATTAATCACACGACGTCCACTCCACTCCACTAGATTGACAATGAGCTATGGATAATATTATGTGTATGTACACGGATATTTAACAATAGGTACTAATGACATAAAGGGTGTTCAATGACACTGCCTTATTTCTTCAAATAGTCAAAGCAACCTTAATAATAATAATAATTCACTCATTCACACCCTCAGTCAGACCATATATGTGTATGATTGACAAAGTCAGTAAGTATCTAATAGATACTGCTTAGTACACCACTACCACTACCATCATCATCAACACCTTTCATTGTTCAAACACTACCTCATCATTCATTGATGCAACACAATCAATCATTGTGTGGTGTTTGTGTGTGTATGATGAGTGACAAAGAGATAATTATTTGTTAACTATTCCAAGCATGACCGGCGACAGGAATGTTATTCAACTTTACACCATTGATGTTCACAATTTGTAAGTTGTATATGATCCTGCATTAACTCTTGGAACATATAATATCATTCCAAGGACCAATTGCCAAGTGGAAGATAGATATTACCCTTTGGACCTTATTTCAAAATCACCTTTGATTCAACGAATATTATTTGTTGAAACAAATAATCATTGAATGAATGGATAGTATACAGTAGTAGTCATACACTACATATATGATACCAATATATCAATATGACTTCAATGAATTCAACTTATTTGTTTGAATTAGATTCTATTATCTCAAACAAAGAAGAAATGAATCAAATGCGTTGCCAGCTGGCTTAAATTGAGTGATACCAAACAAACAAACATATTTACAATACATATATTTATTCATTCACAAAGAGAGAACCATTAAATATATCTCTAATCATAACCTAAACAACAACATTCAATGGATGAGCAACAAGATCAGAAGCTGAGTGAGCAACAAGAGAATACTACAAACATTGATCAGACAAATGAGGTAGAGGGTATCCCAATTGAGGACATTCACAAGAATCCAAACGTTGACAATGCCTTTGCCGATGCTTCAAACTTCAACATTGTCAGAAAGGATGAGGCTGCACCTGCTGCAGGCATCGCTGATGACACCACAAAGAAGCTGGCCAAGACTATTCACTGCAGACTATGTGACTGCACCGTTATCATCCCAAACAATGCTACACTGGTAGAGAAAGATGTAAGTGTAATGATGTGATTGTGATGTATGTAGACAAGCGCTCTAACAACACAATGATATGATGTAGATCGCACTCCTCAATGCAAAGGGAAGTGATAGCGCACAACTACTGAAGTATATGTGGTTCCTGCCGGATATGTTCCAGTTTGAGAACATCGCCTTCTCCAGAGACGTCAAGTCCGAGTACAAGTATCTGACCTGTGCCGAGTGTGAAGCAGAGATCATTGGCATCCATTACATCCAGTCCAAGGAGAACTACATTGCTCACGACAGAGTTGTCTACAAATAAACTTGCGACATATACATAGTACTACTAATACATTGATTAGAATAATAGGTTATAAGGGTGGTTTATTTATGTAAGGGTTGATAGTGCCAAGTGATTGAGTGCATATAGTGATGAGCGCACTCTTTACTTAGTCGAGGTGCACTTCGGTGGTGTACTTCAACAGCATCTCGACTACCTCAGCCTTGTGTTGGGCGGTCTTTGTGCGGATGATATCGATGTCTCTGTTGACTCCCTCAGCGAGATCTGCAGAGGTAGCAGATGATTGACCAAGGAACTATAATTTGATGATGACATTATGGATGATCATTGAGTGTTAGTTTCATCATTCGTCCTGATCCTAATGTTGTTGCGGTTGTCCTCGAACAATATAATGTGTCGTAATTGAATGATGATGATGATGACCAACCTTTGACTCGTAATCTCTGAACTCCTTCTCCTTTGACTCCTTGAACAGCTTGATGTCCTTCTCGGCCTCCTGTTGAGCCTGCTTCAACTTTTGATTTCTGTCCTGTCTGGCCTTGGCGATGGTCTCCTGAGCCATCCTCTCAGCATCCAACAATTGCTTAATTCCGTCGTCTGACATTGTATATTATATTATATTATATATATGTGTTATAAAAAGATCCTAGATTATACAAGTAAACTAAAGTTGTCGTGATTGATTGATTGATTGATTGAGTTTGATTGATTGGTTGGATGATAATGTTAGAACCACATGATGTCACACTATGTCACCTGAATTGATATATACAATATACAATACCTATGACAATAAGAACACTTCGTTTATGAATGTATATTTATCTATTGTAAGCGCTGAATGAATGAAGTACTCAACACTTAGATATCATTCATTGAGTGAGAGAGTGTCTGAGAGGTGGGGGGTTCGTGTCTGTGTCAAAACAACTAATTAAAAATAAATAAATAACAGAAATCTGATTCAACTTTTTTTTTTCATCCTGGTCCTACCCCAGCAAACACTTACTCCTGTCTCACACACCCTCACACACTCAATCACATTCGTGTGACACGACCCAGGGTAGGATAAATGATCAAGGATAGTTACCAGCCTGTCAATCAATCTATCATTCAATCAAACAAGTATGATGAATAAATAAATGAATTGACATCTTAACTAATGTTGTGCTGGAATTCGATTGATCATTATCATCACTATGAACCTATCTTTCGGAAAGTGATAATGTTTCATGTGATGCCAACTTGATTGATCGACGGAGTTATTTTGATCGCACTGATGATCCAACAATAAATTTCGAAAGTATGATTGTGATGTATTGGTGTATTTATAGAATGTTGTTTGGTTTGATGTCTGTGCTGCGAGCTGATTCCATGAATAATGAATGATCGATCAATCATCCGCATGTAGCGCCTATATCTTTTTTTGTATTATATTGTTGTTACACAACAGAGAGACAGCAGATGGGGGAAAAGTATGTGTCGCACCGTTTAGATGTTGGCGTCGTCGATTGGCTGCTTGTCGAGAGCGGCATAGTACTCCTCTCTTCTGTTGATGTAGTTTCTGCAGTAACCAAACTTGAAGTAGAGACCTGGGATGGTTCCAATAATGAGACCATAGCCAATATCCTTGGCAAGCTGTGACTTGATGAGGGCTGGGAGAACAAGAGTCATCTTAATCTGTATATATCATTCATTAATTCATTCATTAATTCATTCATTCGTTCATCATTATCATTGTATTCATCATTTGATTGATTGATTGTGATTTCGAAATATGTCGGAGATGTTGTAAATCCTGTGTTAGTGATGTCCAATATCAATGATTTGCACTGATTCAAATAGTACTACATACAAATGTATATAATGTAAATGTGTCGTAAATGAATAATGATAAAAATGAGAGTCTGCTTCAAGACAAATGATCATCATCCCTCACTCACCCTTCATTCACGAATCAAACAAACACACAAACACACAACAAAGTGCACTTTCTTAACTCGCACCCACTCCCTTCAAAAAGAATTAATCGATACCTAGGTGTATCGTTACTTTATCCAAACTTTTATTTTTATTGAATTTAAATTAATTTATGAAGTGCTGAGCGAGAGAGAGGTGTCCTGCAGCTGGATGCTGGGGTGTTGGCAGGTTCGCGCCAGATACCCTAGGTTGCGTGGATTGACGATATCACTAACGAGTTTGAAAGTGCCATAGTTTACCCATTCCCCGGCTATCCCTAATACAATCACACAATGTTGGTCAGCAAGTACACTTTGTTCGTTGAGATTGGACGCGTCGTCTTCATCAACTTCGGCGCCTTCAGAAACAAGACTGCCATCATCCTCGATGTCCTCGATCAAAACAGAGTATGATCAATCAATCATCGTCTGCGAACGCGATTACAGGAGGATACAGATGACGATACAGGTTGAAACATATAGTGTCGACAGTTTAGCTAATCAATCAACATCTTATCGCGATCAATCAAATAGGTCTTGGTTCACGGTCCATCCACTGGTGTCCCACGTCACGTCATCAACTTGAAGTGGATCTCTTTGTCCAAGTTGAAGCTCAACATCTTGAGAGGTGCCCGTACTGGTACTCTCAACAAGGCTATCAAGGCTGCCGACCTCGACAACAAGATCAGCGGTCTCCGTCTCGTCAAGGCCGTCGCTGCCGCCGAGAAGAAGACCTCTGCCACCGATTTCGAGCGTTTCAAGGCCCGCATTGCCAAGAAGGTCGTAAGTATCAGTCATCATCATCCTCGTCTCATCACATTTAAGCGATATACAGGTGTAGAATAGACTGGTTCTGTCGCGACAGACTTGATCAACAACAGCAGTTCAATCATCTACGAACACTTTATGCGATCGCAGGAAGACATTGATGATTCAGCGACAACATCAACATACACATCACCGCCATCACCGCGCATCAACAAGTCGAACATTAATCTAATCATTCCAATTCATCAATTAAACAATAGGTCAACCACAAGGTTGCTCTCGAGGTCAGAAAGATGGTCAAGGCTGCCAACGTTGCCCGCACCAAGAAGCAGGTTGCCAACAAGAGAAAATAAACATTGTAGGAATGAAGCTTGATCAAACTTAAACCCCAAAAACCATCATTTATTAGCCATAGCATAGCTTGCTATTCTCGATTATTCATTCATACATTCATTCAATCATTCATTCAATCGAGTGGTGTCGTTCGAATGCTATTCAAATCCCAACATTCTTCCAAACCCAAGATGAACCAATCACAGCAATGAATATATGTATATATAGGGTGCGAATCGTGATGATGTATTACTTCCGATATTGTCGATAGACAGTGTCGACAATGTCGAAAGTAAGGTTGAACAGGTCCAATATCTTTTGGCGAATCATTTAAGTTGTTGATTGGATTGGTGCTAGGGCCTTGATTGGACCAATCTGTTTTTGGCTTAGTGCCCCTTACAGATAGTCACAAGGTCTCGGACTGTTCAACTATCATCAAAGGAGGGGAAGAATGATGTACGACACATTCATCAATACTTACTTAATTGAGTTCAGTTCAGTTCCATCATCAATCAATCACATAATAATAATACATAACAAACAAACAAATAATGGATAACTTAACAAATAATAATGATGGCAAAGTCAATCATGGAGTTGCAAGGACATCTATTTATGTGGCAGCATTCAGGATGATGGCCACTAATAGGTTTTATAGGGAGATGATTAAGTCTGGCATTGAAGCTCAGATCAATGCCGTGAAGGAGTATGCTTCATTCTTTGATGATACATTGGTCGATTCAAACGTGCCATTGTCCTGTATCATCTACGATCCTTATGCCTACTTCTTATGTACTACACCCGAGGCCAAAGAACTGGTTGTCAACTCTGTCAAGGCATTGAACAACGCGCTGCCCACACTATTCGAGCATCCAATCGTCAGGAACAAGTTACAAGCCACGGGATTGAGTCATGTCACCTCTGCCGATGATCTCATCAAAGTGTTTGAGACAAGCTCACCATCCTATCCCTGGAACTTCATGGGTATGTGTTGTTCTTGACTGATCATTCATTCATTCAATCAATCATTTTGATCAATCACCGGAACTATTCCATTCACTAAATCACCCTTTGGGGACTATCCCAATCACTCTGGAACACTCAATCAATCAACATTCGGTCTTGTCCTCAACACTTGCCTCAACCCTCTCCCTCAACCCTTGCCCTCTCAAACTCCCGCCTAACCATAGCCTGCTACTTCACAGGTACACCTTCAACTGCGGACAAGATATTCTTGAGAACAAAGTACATTGATGATGTTGTAATGGAGAATCAGAAGACGATCAAACAGATTGTTGTGATTGGAGCTGGAATGGACATGCGTGCACTGAGACTGGAATTTGATCAGGAAATAACAGTGTTCGAGGTGGACACTCCACAGGTCATCGAGTACAAGACCAACATGCTCACCAAGACCATTTCCAAACACATCACTCCTCGCTCCAAAGCCAAGAACTGCCACGTGTCGGCTGATCTCCGCTTCGCCGAGCAGTGGACCAAGCAGTTGGTGGCCAGCGGCTACGATCCAACCAAGCCATCCTTCTGGCTCGCCGAGGGTCTGCTCATGTATCTCAGCGAGGATGAGATCGATGTCCTGCTCAAGACAGTCAGCTCAATGAGCGCGCCTGGATCCAAGATCTTGATCCAGACTGTCGAGCCTATCCCGCCCGCGACCACACCAGAGATGAAGATGCTCTACATGATGAGTGCACCAATTGGCGAGTTCCGCTCATTCACTACCACGCCCAACCTATACCTAGATCGTGCAGGATTTGGAAGCGACATTGTCCTGAAGAACTACCTTCACTTGGTTGAGCTCTATGGCGCCCCAAAGCAGAATGGCACCAGCTCAGCATTCACCATCGGTACCAAACCATCGTTGTAAAGAACCTAATGAATGAATCTATTGAATGAAAGAATGAATGACTATGATCATTCATTTGAATACGGTAGCGCGATAGTATTGAAGCTCTTCAATGCTGTCTTCTATGTCGGCAAGGCTGCGGTGTAGATATCTCTTGGGAGGTGCTTTGGCAAATATGTCAGGGTACCATCTTCTTGTCAACTCCTTGACAGTGGACACGTCCACAATGCGGTAATGTAACATATTGACAAAGGCTGGCATCTCTTTCAACAAGAACTTCTTGTCCTCATGTACTGTGTTGCCTGCCAGTGGACACTTTCCCTTCTCCACATGTTTGGCGATGAAGTCCACCATCTGTTTCTCGACATCCTTGATTGATAGTTTTGATTGTCTACACTTCTCAGTGAGGCCAGACTTAAGATGATGATCGTCGTTGTCGTTAGCCATTCATTCATATCATTCATATCTTTCATTCAATCAATGAATCAATCAATCAAACTCATACCTCACCATGATGCTTTGTACACCAATCATTCATCTTGTTGAGTGTGTCATCACTCAGATGTACGACCAAGTCAGGACCCTTCTCAATTATGTTCAAGTGCTCGTCTGTTACGATACAGGCCATCTCCATAATGCAATCGTTGGCAATGTCAAGACCTGTCATCTCCAAGTCCACCCATACCAATCTATCAGCTTTGTTTCCACTTGACATCGTAGACATAGTTGAAAAGAACAACTTGTTGTTACTGTTATAATTATAGTAGTTCTTTAAAGTTGGGTAGAAGTATCTATAAATACCTCTATTTACTAACATATGTATATGTTGATGTTGATGTTGATGTCAATGAAGTGATTTGAAACTGAGAGTTCGCGCGCAAACACATTCATTCAACTTCAACTTCACTCTAAAGAGAGATATAGAGATAGAGAATGGATGAATACTTGATTGGTGACCTTGGCGCTGAGAAGATATTAACATCACTCAGTCAGACAACTCAACCAATACCATTCATTCATGAGTTTCAACAACAACATGGTCTGAGTAAACAGAATTATAAGTATCATTCACTTCCTGCTTCAATCTGATTGATTGATTGATTGATGGATAAGTTTACTTACCAAAACAACCAACCTACCAACCAACCAACACTGCCCTCAGTCGATCCAGTGTTGCAACTACTTGATCTTCATCAACTCACACGAAGCTCACTTTATCAATCACTGTTACAAAGTCTTCGCAATGATGTCGTGGCCAAAGTACATACTCTATCAGGTCAAGAGTAACTATGATCTATCTGATGAGGCATCCCCTCACTCATTCACTCACTCAATCAATCAATTAGACTTGAAGCACTTCTTGACAAGTCCTTCCCTTATATTGGCTTTGAAGAGCTCAAATCAATACCTATGAAGGTGATGCAGTTGATGCAAGATGTGCCATTTAGATTCTTGAAGAAGTTGTCAGAGACACCGGAACTGTATGAACAGTGTCCACTGGAGGTCAAGCGTCAAATATGGTTGATCAATGAACAGTTGTTTAGAGAGAAGCTGCTACCTCTCATGCATCAGTATGTTGAAGATCCATACCTGCTACAAGATCTCAACGAGCTGCTCGTTGAAACACTACTCCTGCCGTCAAAGAGACGTGAGGGCAATGCTGTGCTGCAGGAGATTGCCGAGTTAGTTGGCAAATCATTCCAACTCTATACAATGGCCGTGGACTACATCAAGGAGCTTTATCAACACAGTGGAAACCCGGCATTCTGCACACTTCGCGCCGACCTTTTGATGTGGCTGCACGATGCCAACTTGGCCATCGTCTACGATCAAGACTGTGTGCACAGTTTTGCTTGGTGCGTCGATGCCTGTATGCGTGAGGATACCGTGGACACACGACGTGTACGCGAGATACAATCATACTTTGCTTCGCTGGCACCTGGCAAGATGCTCTCCGACGTGGCCATGGTCTTTGCCAATCCATTCGCCACACACTGTCTTGTTCGAAACGTTCTTAGACATCTGGTCAATGTGGTCCAGAAGAAGCAGATACCCAAGGACGACGAGAACATCAAGTACATCACATTGCTGATCACACTATCGTACAAGGCACACATGATGCTTCGCGATGAGCACTATGTCATGCCACACATCAAGAAGCCAGTCATGGCCAGCTTCTATCCAATACTTGCCAGTCAGATACTCGACGACTTATCCAGACAGGGCACCGACCAGCCCACCGATACTGAAGAGGAGGTCGATGCCAATCTGACCACACTCTTCAACAAGAACTCTGTATGCCAGAAGATTATGTGTGGCTACATTGCAAAGAGAGTCAATGAGCGTGATACGACAACCGTGGACAAGTACCTAAAGTTCATCTCGGCCCAGGCCCCACACGTTGCCACGGCCGACCACTCATTCATTCAATCGTTGGTGACGCAGGTGCTGTGTGTCAAGGATGCCAAGATGTCAACCGTGGTCATCGAGGACTTTTTGCTCAAATACAAGCATCTCCCATTTGTACAGAAGCAACTGCTGCGCTACCTTCAAGAGAGCCAGGCACGAATGAGTCAGCGAGACCTGCAGACATTCACTCAGCGACTGTTCACATTCACCGATGGCCAAGCATTTGTAAATGACAATTCAAAGTTGAACGAGGATATACTGATGATGTCCAAGTCAATCCTAGAGAAGGCTGGTCCCAGGCTCAACGAAAAGGTGTTGCCATTGTTGTTGGACTTTATCAATTCTCTACAACAACTGCAACACACTCAACAACAGCAGCAGCATCAGAACCCTCAGATGAAGCATAAGGTCTCGACAGAGTCATCACCATCGATGCAGGAGGAGCACATTGATATTGGAGAGGCGCCAACATCAACTACACCGGGCAACACTGATTCTCCAAATGAGGACGTCAACATTCTCGACGACTCCCCGCCTCGCGAGCCACTACAATCCAGCGAGCAACAATCACAGACATCCATTGTTGAAGATGAACCAATGGTGGAGGAATAGGTGCATCACCTTAATACTTCGGTTTCCACTAAAGTGCTAAAGAACCAACGTTGTCATGAGGGACCTCATTTCCCTCGTTTCCCTCAAGATTAATTATCAAGAAAAGTTTGATGGTGACATGATGGACAACATGGATAAATAGCGGACTCATGAGTCCCTAAGAGATACAATTAGTTATCCATCGTCCCTAATATATTAAATAATTTCCAATTATCTTATCCAAAAGGTATGTTTTTGTAGAGTTAATTTTATGGAGGATAAATACTTACTTTAAGAATCATTACACTATATGCAGACACCTATATTACCTGTATATATGAAGAATATTCATTTAGTTTTGATTGGTCTGGCCATCCAGATTCTGGCCAGCTGCCACCTTGCCAGCGGGATTGGATTTGGCTCGTTACTCGCATCGCAGTCCAGTTGCAATGGAGTAAGCCAAGTTAATATCGTGGCCCACCAGGACGACGATATTTTGTTCATTGACCCAGCCATCACGGACGTATTGAGAAGTGGCGGTTGTGTCACCACCATCTTCATGACTTCTGGTTCCTTCAATGACTTTGCCTACATGGAGACGCGTGAATCGGCTTCGCTGGCGGCTTATCAGGAGATTCTCGGCAGCTCCAGCAGTTGGATGTTGTACATTAATGAGCTGGTGGTCGGAGGCGGCACGGTTAGCATCACGACCCGCAGGTCAATCCTCAACCCAAAGCTCACCATTGTTTATATGCGTTTGCCTCAGGGTAATGTCCGTCCTACAGGCGCCGGTGACGCCCCACTTGCTGACATGTTTGACCTCGGACAGACTGTCTCCAGCCTCTCGTACACCCAGTGCGTCGACGGACCAGCCAATGACTACTCCAAGGCCACTACTGTCTCGACTTTGACCACCTTGATCGACGGCTTTGGCGCGACCCAAGTCAATACCCTGAATCCTGACACTGTGCCCTACTTTGAGCATCCCGACCACATCTACGCCGCCCGTTTTGCTCGCCTGGCTCTTAGGGCCGTCACCGCCAACGTTCCTGTGGCCTACCACGAGACCTATCCAAGTGCCACCACGTCTCCTAATGTACTGCCCACAAAGCTCCAGACGAAGCGGGATGTCAACGCTGCCTATTTCAACATCGACGGTGGATACATGTCTGCAGACGGAGCAACTTTTTCCGAAGCCACCTACAATGGTCACTGGATGGCAAGACGCAACTTCAAGACCGCGATGGCTTACGACACTGCAGTATCTTTTCCCAAAGCGCCCATCGTGAATATGGAGACTCAACAGTGCATCACTTCGATGGGTCTGGGAGCGACGCCAGCCATGGCTGGATGCACCAATGCTCCAAATCAACTTTGGACATTCATCTCCTCGAGTGTTCAAGTTGGCCTTAGAGGAACTGCGCTGATCCAATCCTCGAATGGAAACTGCCTGGCTGTCAGCAGTAATGTTATCTCTGAAAAGGCCTGTGATGTAAATGATCAATCCCAACTATGGACACCATGGAACTTTGGAAAGATCTTTGGACCAGGATCACAGACTTGTCTAGACACCGACAACACGTACGCAGTGATAACTACCTGCCCAGGCACATACACCGGTTCCATGCTCTGGACCACCAATCCAATCAATATTCAAAGTGATCTCCAGCTTGAGGCTGGTCTAGCCGGCGACGTTGTTGGCGATGGAGGCAATTACTTGGTCCAAGTGCATCGCAGGACAGATGGCCCCGGTGTCAATGTATGGGTATCCAAATTGGTTCCCAATGCCAATCCCATAGCAAGCACCAAGTGGTACGATGGCTCTTCCAATTTGTTCAATCCAGCAGTGTTCACTCCATCATGTGGCTCCGATCCTTTCTGCTATGACCAAAGTCGATACTTGTTGGCGGACTTTACTGGCGATGGCAAGGCCGACTTGATGGTCATGACGCCAGACGTTGTAAACCGTAGAATTTACTTCTGGTTGTTGACCAGCTCTGAAAGTGGCTTTAATACTCCAATCCTTTATGGAACTACTCCAACTCTCTTCGATTATGATAATGTTCAGCAATTCCTGGTTGGAAGTTTCAGTGGCACCGGCAGAATGGACATAGTGATCGCATATTCCCGTGGCGATGGCGGACTTAACTTATGGGTGATGAGCAACTCTGGAACCGCACTGAACTCTCCCGTCTTGTGGGCTCAAGCAACTGGAATCCTTCGTTCCTCAAAGCTGTTTACTTCCAAAGTCAACAATGATGCCTTTGCCGATGTGATTGTTGTCGATTGGCCAGTCGATGGACTCCGTATATCAACATTCACTAGCAATGGAAATAGTTTCTCAGCCAATTATGGCGTCCAGGTCTATAACCTATTTGTCCAAATCAGGTCTAAAGTGGTGGTTTCCAAGTCACTGGTCAATGGCCTAACAGATGTCTGGGTACTGCATGCCAGAGCCGATGGTCCCAACATTAATTTCTGGCAAGTCAGTAACAATGGCGCTGGAGGATTCAACTCACCGGCAATGGTGCGCACCGAGACTACGCTCAGTTGGTCTGATACTGTGCCCATTGTAACTTCTGATGGCAGCAAGATGGTACTTCCCTATCGAGTGAACAATCCAATCTCGGAGTATGTGCTCGCAGTTGGACCAATGGGAGTTAAATCAGTCAGTCTCTCCCCAGCAGGCCTCCAAGCACCAATAACTGTTTATGGAGTGTCCAATATTTTCCTATGGACAGATTTGCAATGGCGCCAGCGTCTCAACTAATGAGTTATCAATATCAGCATTCCTTCCAAGCCAAGGCTTACCAATCAATAACATTCAACCATTGAATCACTAAATAAACAAACATAATATAATAATATAATACTTTGGCAATTAAATAAATAATTATTTATTATATGAACATGGATGGATGTGTGTATTATGAATGATCAGTGATCGACCAGTTCTTGCTCAGTCTCTGATGGCTGTTATCGCTAATGTCATGGCATCCATCTTGCTTTGTCTCTGCCACTTCCTTCTCAGATACCTTCTCCACAAGTTCATCTGCTGCTGCCTCACGCTCGGCCTCTTTCTCAGCCTCAGCCTCGGCCTCGTCAGCTTGTTGCTCATTGTCATCTGTCGAGTCGAGAGAGAGGTCGCTGAGCTGGTCGTCATCCTCGATCAGTTGATTCTGCAGACATGACCTGATGTCATCCATCCATGCGCGCTTGTCCTGCTCCGACTCTGCGATCAACACCAGTGAGAACTCCTTTGTCTCGAGTTCAAACGATGGCTTCTTCTTCTTTGACAATCCACCTCTTCTTGCACCTGGTTGTGGCTTCTCCTGCTCCTCCTCATCATCTGATAATATATCGCAGATATCAACCATGTCTGACATTGGAAATGCCTCTTTGAACTAATCAATGGAGGGTGCATGTTAGGCAAGGTGTGTGATCGATTGATTGATTGATTGGATGACATACCTTGAACTCCTTTCCAGTGTCTTCATTTGGCTTATACTTGACATAGAGTAGTAGGTCGTTAAAGAGGAAGAAGTATGAGTTCTTGTTGAATGACTCATCAATCTCCAAGAAGCCCTCTCTAATGTATCTCCTGTTGTTGTTGGGACTGTCACTCAAGTTCTAATCAACGTGTTAGTCATTTCCCAGTCCAGTCCAAGTCCAGTCCAGTATCCACAATAGCATACGATTTGAATGTCAAATATTGAGTCTTGGATTGAGGTTATCTTCCTGGTGTTGTCAAACATCATCTTGCTCTCATTGACTTGGTCGGCCACTTGGCGTATCATGTCCTTGGCCTTGAGAAGCATGTTGTGATCTGGATGTGTGGATGATGTATACTTGAGTGCCTCCTTGAGTAGCAATAGATATCTTGGTATTCTTTGAATTGGCATGATAAGGTATGATGCCAGGTCTAATCCGTTTGTAGAGTCCTGTATCACCTCAAAGTTGTTGACGGACTCATCAAAGAATCTATTAGCCTTTCTCAGTCTCTTGATCCTCTGATAACTGTTGTCAAAGTTGTTGATGTAGTCCTTGTAAGTGTCCTTCAAGAATCCACACTAATTGATTGATTGTATGAGTGAGTTGAGTGATCGACCTTCCATGTGCATGTCCATGGCCCATGTCCACGTGCACTTACCTTTTGTAATATAATATCTCCAAATGTTGATTCATCATTCCACTTGGATAGCCTGTCTTCAAACTCGCGCTGTAGGAGTATGTGTGATCGAAGAATGTTTTCCCAGTTGCCAAAGACTGAGAAGACGTCGTCTGGTGAGAGAAGTGCATGCTGATTGGTGTCAGACTCACTCATCAATTGTAACTGTACAATCAGTGTGTGGAAGACCACTGAGAGCGACTTGACGTAGGATTGCTCAGTCGAGACGATCTCCTCGATCACTCTCTGGCGTCTAATGTCCACTGGCACACTCTTGAAGAAATGTGCACGATCAAAGTTCTCCCTGATCAGTCTCACAAGATTACACAATGATCCAACATTGCCATTGAATATATCTAGAATGATTGATTGAGTGAGTGAGTGGACCCAGATGATTGATTGAATGAGCCTCGCGAGGACACTTACCATGTGCTGATATTGTGCCAACATTGAAGTTTGAGTTCTCTCGCATAAAGTTCAGAAGAAGGAAGATGTTCTGCATGAAGTGCCATGGTAGTACAGGGTCCTTGCAATAGATGCCAACTCGCAGTGATGTGATCTCTTCGAGTAGTGCGAGTAAAAGTACTCCGCTCTTTAGATCCCAGGAGATGTCCTTGCACTCTAGACCACGTGCCTTGAGATGTCCATTCATCCACGCCAGCAACTCGGGCACGTCCTCGGGTGGTGCCTCCTTGGCCATCGCCGAGCCGAAGCGAGAGTGCACCAGTGATGCGTAGAGCTTGTTTTGCGCTGTGAAGTTGCTCTGGCTGATGGACTTGATCGAGGGGACGGCGCTGCCAAACATCTTGGTGGCGTGGTTGGCCAGCACATGGATGTTGGATATCACCAAGTTGATGTTCTTCTCTTCGTAGAGGTCGGATGTGTTGAACAGGTCGGAGGGCTTGAGTCCGAGCGAGCGACATCCATTCAAATAGTTGGCAATGTTCTCCATTTGCTTGAAGCTCGACATGCCAGTGTTGATGTATGTTACAGTGCCTGGTTTGAGTTTGTTGATGGCTCTGTGGAGGTGGAAGGTTGTGTGAGTGATTGATTGGATTGATTGATCGAGTTAATAGATACAACATACTTGCATAGTAGTACACCGTCCTTGAGGGACGTGCGGAAGGAGGGGAAGGGGAACTTCTCGCCGACTAGTTCCTCGATCCAGAGTTGCGCGTTCTTTTCTAGTTCAGGCGAGTACTTGAATGCCTCCTTTGTGTTGATGTCTAGGTTGAGAGGCGCGACTGAAGGTGGTCGGATAGTCTTCCTCCACTTCTTCTTGGATGCGCCTCCACGGTTTGGACCGCCGCCGCCATATCCAACGCCAACGCCATGGCCATTGCCCTGACTGCCATTAGCAAACAGGGGTGGTGGCGGAGCCGTTGTGATCTTGACATTCTTGCGCTCACCGGCGAGATGTGGGCCAGTATAGCCATCGACGCGAGCAGCAAACTTCCCCAGCACCTGCACATTGTTGATGACGAGTGAGATGTCCTTGTTCTCGTAGAGGTCGATGGAGTTGAACCTGTGCACGTCCTGCAGGCCGATCGCCATGCATGCTTTGAGGTAGTTGTCAATGTTCTCCAACTGTTTGAATGAGACGGCAGACTCGTTGATCTTCTTGACGACGCCCGGCTTGATTGTGTTTATCAGGCGACAGAGCAGCACGCCGCTCTTGAAGTGTTCGTAAAATGAGACCTCTTCGGACAGTGGCACATTGAGTACCTCTGCGACCCATCTCAACACAACGACTTCCAACTCATGATTATACTTTGATTGTTTCTTCTTCTCAATGTCATCATTCAAACTTGTTACCGTTAGTGCGGGTCTTGATGGTGAACATGGTGCTGATCGAGATTGTTGATGATGATGTTGTTGTTGTGGTTGTATTGGTACATTGTGTGTTTGGGGAAGTGGATGTGTCTGTGTTTGTGGATCTGTTTGTGGCAGTGGCAGTGGATCTGTTTGTGGATGTTGCTCTGTCTGTGGATGTGGCAGTGGCAGAGTTTGAGATTGTTCATTTATGGGAGATGGTGCCGCGGTAGTGTTTGAGGCAGGTGTGGTTGAGCCTGCTGGAGCTGATGCTCTCTTTGGCTTCTGACCCAATAGGTTATTCATCATCTTGATCATCTTGAGGTTATCAATACCTTATCCTTTGTTGGTTACAAGGATGGGGTAGTCGTAGAGTTATTTGTTATTGTTCAATGTATATCTTTATGTCTAACAAAGGATGAATGAATGAATTATTGAGTGATTGAGTGATTGAGTGATTGATTATGATCAATCTGTTACTGGAACTGATTGATGTGGATCGATTGATTGATGGACTGATGGATGATGATGCGCAATGCGGAGTGCGGATAGTGGTGGACCTAATATGGGATCGCAATGTTTATAAATATGTGTATGTGTGTATTGATGTATCTGTATGAATGATTATATGTCTGTTCTGTTCTGTTCTGTTTATAATTATAATTGATGACTGATGTATCAATCAGGTGAAGGTTGGTAGTGTGTGTGTGTCGGACATCACCATCCACCAAACACACCGCACTATGTTTGATCAGAGAATCACACGACCCATCTTGCAAACACACACACTCTAGGATGACCACTCCCACGACTCCCCCAACATTACTTGCAAGTAAACGATTCCAATCCACCCAAATGAAAGTGGTGGGCTGATCAAAGTGGGTTGCGAAAAAGGTGAACCGGGACCAAAATGTCAACCAACCTTTGGCTAAAGTGATGATGGTCCATCAACTCAATCATCATTGTATTTTCATTGCTTTGATGGGTCCATGCTGCGAACGACTGGAGCATGATCCTCACCTTGGAACCAGGAGGCAGCGGTGCCAGTGGCCTGATGATCCCATGTGTCTGGGAAGAGGTCGTCGTGGAAGAACTGCGTGTTCTGACGCTGTGTGGCAAAGCGGATGGGCACCAATTGGCCACTTGGGCACAGCTTGAGGATGTTGGCCACTTCAACCTTCATCACATCGCATGTTGACTTAGGCAGCATGGCCATGCCCGAGGCGGGCAGTGTGTGCTTCATCTCGCTGAGCAATGTGACTGGCGCGTCGTTGGCGCCATTGACCTCGTACACTCTGATCGAGCTGTCTCCCTTGCCTCCGAGGAACAACAAATTGGTGTCATCATCGTAGAATGGCATTGGTGATGATGGGCTGAGGTCGATCTTCAATGTCTGTACGCGCTCCTTCATCGATCTTACGTCCCAAAGTGCGATCTCACGATCAGTTTGCTTGTTAACTTTGATTGAGTAGGGGGTCAGGTCAGTGCCGGAATCATTCCAATCACAATCAATCATTCCAATCAATCAAACTTACATCCAACAGTTAGGATTAGATCTTGCTTTCCACACCATTGAGCGCGACCACCTTTGGTACCTTGATGATCATCGACTTGGTGAATCATGGTGTTTGAGCGTGGATCAAAGACACGAAGTGCCTTGTCCTTGCAGCTGGTGGCAAAGGTACGTCCAAAGTAGTCCCAGGTGAGTGAGGTTAGCATGCCCTTGTGCACGGGTGGCAGTGTTACCATGGACATCTGGTTCTCGACGTCCCACAGACGCACCTCGTCCACACTGGTGGTGATGGCCACGCCAGAAGCCAATGGGTGGAAGCCTGCTGAGATCAGTCGCTTGGCGTTTCCAACGAGAGCGGCAGTTGGGGCAGAGGTCGACTGCTCCAAACCAGTCTGAGGGATGGTCCAAATGCGAGCGATGGTGTCTTGACAAGCAGTGATCACCAAGTTGTCCTTGAAAGGTGAGAAAGCAATCTCATTGACCTGTTCCTCATGCTCGAGGATTGGTGTATCTTCTGGCAGTTGACCCTTTGTGCCAATTGGCACGATTGCAACAGTACCTGGTACCTTACTATGATTGAGTGAGTGACAAGAGTAAGTTATTGGAATGATTCCAAAGGTGATTGATTGATTGAGTGAGTGTGATGGAACTATTCCAGGGGTTGATGATCGATGATTGAATGATTGAGACTCACCATGGGAATGCCAAGTATGCGCCATTTGTCTGGAGGACATTGGAGTCTTGAGAGCATGCACCAGCGATCAGACCGTAGAGGTGATCAGTAGCCTGTGCTGGGGTTCCGTAGGTGTGCTGTATATGTGTGAGAAATGATGTTTGATCGATTGATTGATTGAGTTTGTCAAACTTATTCATACCTTGTACTTGCTAACAGGTGTTTTGGATGCCATTTGTTTATTTGATTGATTGATTGATTGAATATTAATACAAATAATAGAATACAAGATAATTGATATTGATAGTGATAAGACTGTTCAATGATGAGGACTATTAGGTGAAGAGTGAGTGATGTGATAGGAGTTGGAGCACCCAAAAAGGACCACAAAACAGATAATTACAGATTTTTGTGTCAAAATTGGTCCAAAAAACAGTTCGGTGAAAGAGTTGGTGGGTGGGACCCGATGAAGGTTCGTCTGATCTTAGTTTGAATACTCAATTTACGTCATTCATTACACATACATACATAATATTACAAATAGTATAACAATGATGTCTTATATTTGTAGAGGTTGTGGAGGTAGTGGTCCACAACGTTCATCATCAATAATGACCAATATGTTGTTAGGTCAACAACATAATCACATATCTATAAATATACATAGTCGTTTGTTAAACTATTACAGTACTACATCATCATCATCTTCATCTTCATCATCGATCAATAACAATACTGCACAAGCCGCATTGTCTGCAAAGAACAATGAATCATTGGACAACAACAAGAATACACAAATGTCTCAACAGCAGATCAACAGATTGAAGTTGAAGATACAGATGCAGATGAAGCAACAGCAACAACAACAACAACAACAACAAGCACAATCACAACCTCAGGTCCAGACTCAAGGTCCACCAAAGACACAGGCTCAACCAAAGACACCGCCACAATCACAGCCAAAGGATCAGACCCTAACACAGACGCCGACTCAGACACCGACTCAGACACCGACTCAATCGCAGACACTTACACAACAACCACAATCACACAAGAGCATCAAGCAACAAACGATGATGAGACAACAACCTCATCCAGTTCATGCACTATTTGGAAGACTGAGAAATAGATGGCCCATCAAGCTCGAGGGAAAGAAGATGGCAGATCACATCGTAAGTCCTACCTCAAGACAACAATGCTACATCGATCACTAACCAATGAAAATGACAGCTCGAAGCCATTGGCAATGAGACAATCAAGTTCAAAAAGAATACTGGAGTCACACCACATCTAGTCGTTATATACGCTGGCGAGAACTCACAGATTGAGTCATACATCAGACAGAAGAAGATATCATGTGAGCGCGTTGGATTCCAATTCACACTGGACAAGTTCTCATCCAATATCCAACAACAACAATTGATCAAGAAGATTGAGTATCATTCAGCTGACGAGAACGTCTCTGGAATCATCGTTCAACTGCCACTACCCAGTCATCTCAATGCACATACAATCATCCAGTCCATCAATCCACTCAAGGACGTCGATGGACTCAACTCATTGAACATGGCACAGATATTCCTTGGCAAAAAGTAAGCAACCATACTCTATATCCGCCACTTTGGATCGATCAACAAGGTGGAACTAACATGGAAACCATTCAATCAATCAAATACAATAGGGCCATATTCATCCCATGTACACCAGATGGAATCATGGAGATATTGAGACAGTATGACTTCAAGATTGAGGGATCCAATGTCGTGGTCGTTGGTAGGAGTAATTTGGTTGGCAGGACAATCGCCACATTGTTGTCTCAGAAGAACACAAAGAATCAATCAATCCAAGGTGGTGCATCCGTCACCATCCTTCACAGATTCTCCAAGAACATCAGTCAACATCTCAAACATGCCGATGTCATTATTGTAAGTCCATCCAACTCCACGTCTTTGATTGAATGACTAACCATGTTAACAATTATAGAGTGCAACTGGATGTGCAGGATTGATCAAGAAGGAGGATGTGAAGGAGGGCGCAGTACTGATTGATGTTGGAATCAGCTTTATTAGCGATCAATCAAAGAAGAGTGGATATCGCATGGTTGGTGATGTGGACCCAGAGGCCTATTCAAAGGCCATGGCCTACACACCAGTGCCAGGCGGTGTCGGACCACTGACCGTCGCCATGCTGCTCAAGAATGTTCTGAAAGCAGCACAACTCAACTACAAGATCAAGAATAAGGATGTATCATCGAGAGGTGACCTGCAATAAAGGCCTTGCGTTTAGACAACATGCTGAGTTTCCGGAAGTGTCGCTATTGTGTCTGCTGCTGCGCTACCAGGCGACACGACTCCTTTGCCAAAGAGGAACTCGGCTGCGGTGACCTCTTTCTTTTTGGCCTCCTCGTGTACACTGGTGAAGCCTACCCATCCATCATTGGCGCATCGCACCCACATCACGCCAGAATTGAGGAAGTATGAGCCTGGCTTGACGCTGTCCATGTTGAGACGACCGCTTCTGATTACCAATTGCAGGCGAACATATTGATCTTCAAGTATGCTGTCTTCCAGGGTATGTGGCGGGGGCACCATCTGAGTGAACCTCAGCCTCTTCCAAGCCTTGTACTTCTTGCTGTATATCGTTGTGTGTATGCCAATGTTGTCGCCAAACGCTCTGAACAGGCGCCATATGGTAGTGATGTCATGCGCGGCCCAATCGATGCGACTCTGTAGCTTGTTGACCTTTGGTGCCTTTGTCGCGCCGTCCTCTCCCTGCGGCCAGGCATTCTTGGCCGCCTCGGGGAAGTCGGTAAGGGTGCTCAAGACCATGCCCGCGCCTGTCGTGGCCAGTTCATGCCGCAGAGGAGTGTACATTGTGAGAGGGTCGAGGGCTATGCGCCTCTGTTGTAGTATATCACCTACATCGAATCGATTGGCGTCCAGTCTGATGACAGAGATGCCCGTCTCCTTGTCACCCTTGAGCAGTGTGTGATAGATTGGCGCGGCACCCCTGTGGCGCGGTAGCAATGACGGATGCATGTTTAGTCCACCGTATCTGAACGATGCCAACACTGCCTTTGGTATGAAGTATCCGAATGATACGACCACTGCTAGATCAAAGGGTTGATTGGAGGGAGACAGTGGCACCTGGAAGTTCTTCATACCCTTCTCATCATCCGGATGGTACATTGGTATCTTATTATCGCGGGCATACTGATACACCAACTCACTCGAGTTGTTTGGACATACTACTGCTATCTCCTCCACTACACGTGTAGTTTGTGGTGTTGACAATGACGATGATGACGTCGGAGTGATCATACCAGTCTTCAACACTTTGATAGATTGATTGAGTGATTGAGTGAGTGAATGATTGAGATTAAGGTTGTGCTACGACTAACACTACCTACTGTTGTTCTCATGAAGCTTAGTCAGAGTATGAATAGATACATCATCGGTACCAAAGAATAGTATACGATAAGGTGGTAGTGCAGTAGTCGTTGTTGTGTTGTTGCAGTAATATCTAATGCTCCATCTCAGAGCTTGTGTTGTAGTTGTTGTTGTTGTCAACAAACATGTAGTAGCACCTCGAAGAATACGACTACTACCAGCCAAACTCTTTATCATCAACATATCTCTATCTCTATCTTAATTGAATGATGGCAATGAGTGACAAAATAGTGTTGTCGACTCGTTCGTCATCAGTCGAATGAACAGTCGTGTGACTAATCACCCTGTTGTTGTTGTTGTTCTATTATACTCGTACGTCGTTTATTACATGTATGATTATCATAACCTGTCTGTCTGTCTCTGTCGCATCTATTACTTCGATCGAATGAATGCTCCTGTTTGTTGTCAATCGCTAAAGGCTCTTGCCCAAAGTCTACACTAAACAACTAACTTGACTGCTTGATGGATTGATTGATTGTGATTGATTATATTGACTATTCTTCATTAATGATGGTTTGATGTCAATGAAGAGTGACCTGATTCATGATGCTCTTCACTTCCATCCTGACCCTTGATCTCTGACAACAGTTGCTTAAGACGCTCCTCTGTTTGTTTCATTTGTTAGTTAGTCAATGATTGAATGACTCAGTCAATGTCAGCATAACATACCCTTTGCTTGGTTACCACCGAACACTGTACCAAACACTGGCTTGCATCTATATCATATCATATTCATTGATTGGTTAGTACTACTTGATGCTGATTGATGGTACGTGCACTTGAGATAAAACAACAACATACGCTGGTGTAACTATAAAGAAACCAATGCTGGCAGCACCCAACAGAACCCACTTGTATTGGTTAACTCTGTTCATCTTATCTATCTATCTATATATCTCTGTTGTCTTTTGTTTGTCTTTGAAGATGATGCAGTTACTGTCGTCTAGTTCCTTCCACTTTTTGATGAATTCGACTCTCTGCACTCTAATGACCAAAAACATCCCAAATCGTACTTATCAATACAATGTGTCATCTATTTAAGGAGGGCTCCACTATTCTTTTAGGATTATTAATAATCTCCTTTTTATATATATACTAAGGTTAACCCTAGACACACATATATTTACCATAGTATTAATCATAATAACAATGGAATTTATTCCAAATGCACACCAACAAGGATTGTTACACTATAAATTAGAAGTAAATCTCAATAATAATAATGCAGAGATTGAACCTTTATTGAATAATATTGATTTAAATAATGATCTTCTACCTCTACCTCAGCATCCTCGTCCACCTCCTCTACAACAACCTCGTGATAGTATATTTAGGAGATTTATTAATTGGTGGAATAGATTTAGGTTTAGAACAAGAATAATAATTATAATTAGTATAATAATATTATTATTAGCAATAATTTCTATTATAGTAGTTAGTACTACAACCGAGAAGATGTTGATTGTTATAGCCACTCATGTAGTTGCCAGGAAACTACCTACAATGGCCGAGAATGAAGCCACTGCTAGATACTTCAACTCTGGCACTCAGCTGAAGGACTTGAATGAGTGGGCCCCAGGTCAGGGTGATAGTGATAAGAAGAACTATATCCTGAATCAAAGTTATACCTTTATACCTTTAGACCCAACTCTCCCACCTAGATATCTGGAAAATTTGTTTGGTTTCCAAGGTACATCTCATAATGATACACATCTATATGTATCATTCTATGATGACTGGGGAAATGGAACAGTGATCAATCAAGATGGATACATACCCTTAAGTGTATGTGATCTATATACTTATGGTTTTGTCAAGGTGCAATCAGTACAGTATGGAGTTGTATGGGTAGCTGATCATCCACTACTTGTCGAACACAAGGTCATCTTTAAGTTCAAGTTCCTATATAAGCTGTTCCCAGAAGACCAGGGCTAGAGGGAGGCTCTCCAATACAGCAATATTGGTATTGTTTGCATCCAATAAACCCTATTAAAATTTTGATTGAACACTGAGAGTGTTGTGGTAACTCATCTTTTTATTTAGAGTGACAGTAGATGCAGTAGTGTGGTTGAGTGATGATTGTCAGGTATGATCACCCTTGGAACAACTTAAATAATGAAGTTGTATAAGTTATACTAGTTTACATATGTTTAATGTATATCAATGGAAACAAATATAAACAAAGTTTGTAACATATTGATTTGTTCATTAATTTATTGCCTAATTTATAGATAACAACATATATATTTATATAATACTAAACTAGTTATTATAATAATACCTTAATGTGTTTTGAAGATGAAGATAATAATAATAATAATAATAATAATAATATTAATGAGAAAGTAGATAAATCACAATACCATCTTATTAATGACCAGCCTGATCCACATCAATCAAATACTAGCAAACAAAGACAAGTTGTACTGTCTGCTGATCCTACCAAGAGAAAAATTATTCTTGTTACTGGTGGAACATTATTCATATTGTCCATATGGGTATTGATTGGTTTATTAATTTATCAATCACTAATTCAATACTATTTAATAATCATTGCCAATCATGTTATTCAACGCCCAATGCCTACATTCAACACCAACTATGCCAATATATCATATTCTAATTATGATGACCGTTTGATTAAACTTGGATTTACTCCCAGTGATACCAACTCTCTCAAGAAGGACTACCAAACCAACCAAGTAGTGACCTTCACTCCCGAAGGTACCGACCAATCCCCGATCACTCTTAAGGAGCTATTCGGTCTACAAGGTTACCAAGTGAATGATACCCTACTCATCTCATTGTATGCCAACTATGATAATGGCACCGAGATCATAGATATAGGATACATTCCAATTTCAACAGTTGATTTWATTCACATCTGGATTCCTCCATGTTCGTGATTCAGCTGGAAATACTTTTTTTATTCCCAACAGTCCTAGAATTGTTGAAGAGAAGATTGTATGGCGATACCAATGGCTCTACAAACTGTTTGGTGGATCATCATGAACAATGAACGTTGGTACTCCAAAGTTGTATATATCATTAGTTGTTATATAAATAAATAAAATATATATTTATAAAGTTGTTTCAAAAATTATTGATCTGGAACTACTTGGTTTCCATCGTTAGTCAATAATATTTGTACCAATGTCATCAATGTATTGGACATGTGTCCAACTAATGAGCCCATCTCTTGTACAGAGCCTATCCTCCTTGCATTGTCGATTGCAACCGAGTGTTTAAAATAATATTGATCGCAACCAGATAGATTGCCTAAGTGCCTTAAAATTAGTCAATCAATCAATCAATATTTGATATTGGTATACCTACGGAATAAGCTCATTGTGTATCTATACACAATGTTGAGTGCAATAGACCTTCATTCATTCAAACGAGGAGGTCTTTATTGGAATGGTTGGGAGACTACAACTTGGTTGAGGTGGATCCTGTTAATATAAGTATTGGAATTAGTTTGTGATAATGTGTTTGAGGCATTAGTTAGTAAGTATATTGTACAGCAATTTTGTTAACCAAGGTCATTAATTATCAATCGTATATGTATGTGTAAGTGTGTGTGAGTGTGTGTTTGTTCTGATCCCACTCGCTAATGACTCATTGTCGTCAATCGTTTATCGAGTGGTTATCCAGTCATTGCTTTGATTTGATATTGTGTGTATGTGTAGTTGGTGATGATGTACATCATCATCGATATAACATACCTTTTGAATTGCCGCCCAATGTTGTTGATGGAGTTGGAGCAGTACTGCTAAGTGCAGAGTAGAGTTTAGTCGGACAGTATGGACAATTGCACTCGTGTCTTGTAGTTTGACTTGATGATGATGGCCATTGATTCCTTTGTTGTTGTTGTCGTTGTGGCTGTTGTTGTTGTGGTTGTTGATATTGTCCATAAAAATATTGATAATATTGATTATGATAGTCTGGCGAATTATAGTTGTTGTAATATGAGGCGGCATCATTGTATCCATATTGATAAGGATATTGATATTGTTGTTGTTGTTGATTATTCCAATTGGTTGGCGGTTGTTTGTTTGTAGCAGTAGTATTTGTCGTCGTAGTTTTGTTTGTTGATGTTGATGTTGATGTTGGTGATGGTCCATGTTGATTATAGTTTGGGTAGTATGATTGATATTGCCATTGTTGCCATGTTGTTGGTGTCTGCGTAGTAGTAGTTTGTCCATGAGGTTCCACTTCCTCCTCCTCGTCATCTTCCTCCTCATCCTCTTCTTCCTCACCTTGCTGGTCGTCATCTTCGTTCTCCACAATCTCTTCCTCTTCTTGATAATCATCGTCCCAGTACTCCTCTTCTTCTTCATCTTCCTCATACTCCTCATTCTCTTCCTCTTCCTCATCCTCATATTCCTCAGGATCTTTGTTATCCTCCAGTTTTCTACGCTCCTGATCCAGTCTTTGTTGTTTCTCTTTGTTTTGATAGTGTTGTGCTAGCTTGTTTTGTTTCTCCTTCAATGCCTCCAATGACTTGGTCTCACTCTCCTCTGTCAATTGATAAGTATAATACTCCTCTGGTATTATATCATTATCCTTTCTCTCTTGTAGTTTAACTGGATACAATGATTGTAGATCAACAAAGAACATCTTCTCCTCTTGAGATAGGAATGTGATCGCCACGCCATACGAGCCAAATCGACCTGTTCTTCCAATGCGATGGAAGTACGTCTCAAAGTCATTGGGCACGTCCATGTTGACCACGAGGTTCACGCGCTCAATATCAATGCCGCGGGAGATCAGGTCGGTCGAGACCAGCACCCTGAGCCGGAACTCCTTGAGATCGCTCATGATTGCCAGACGATCGCGCTGATCCATCGCACCAGCAATGTATTTTGTCGGCCAGCCCTGTCGAGTGAGCGAGCGACACAGCTCCTCTGCACGCGTCTTGCTGTTACAAAAGACGATGGCTTGGTAGAAGGCCACCTGGTCGAGTATCAGCAGCAGACTCTTCATGCGTGATGGAACGATGTGTAGCTCATGGCGGGATGTGCCACACATTGATAGTACTGCTTGATGCCTGTGAGTGCGGGCGTGTCTGAGCTGACGCGCACTGATATCGGGTCCTTCATGTACAGACGAACGATATTGAGCAGTGATGCGGGATAGGTCGCTGAGAATGTCATGGTCTGGCGATTGGCTGGCAATGAGTTGTGCAGCCAGTTGAAGTCTTTGGCAAACGCTGCGTCTAACAGCTTGTCGGCTTCATCCAATACCAGCAGCTTAATGTCATCTGTGCGCAGTGCCAGTGATTCGATCAGCGAGCGCACACGGCCAGGCGTGCCAACAATGATCTGTACGCCAGATAGACGTGCACGGTCGTCCGCTTCTCTGAGTCCACCAATGAATGCTTCTGCTTTGATGTACTTGCATGTGCGACCAATCTGATTGATCACGTCTCGACTCTGCACGGCGATCTCTCGCGTTGGTGCCAAGATGAGCACCATTGGTCGACGAGGCACGCCCGAGACCGCCTCTGCATACGTCTCGTCGTCAAGATCTAGCAGTTGCTCGCGGCTCAAGCTTGTTGGCTGTAGGTTACGATGCTTCAATATAAGTTCCAGTGCGATGATACCAAACACCGCTGTCTTGCCCGTGCCAGACTTGGCCTGGGCGATCAGATCGCTACCTGACAGTCCAAGGGGTATGGCATGAACTTGTATTGGTGAAGGCTTGAGAAAGCCACATTCAGCCAGCCCCTCCAACACCTCCTTTGACAACATCATCTCACTAAAGTCTATATTAGAGTCACTTATAACATCTTGTGTTCTCAATCTTTTAGAGATATCATTGACTCCATCGTCATCATCATTGTCTAAGAGGTTGATGTCTTTACTGTTGCTGCCTTCTTCTCCTCCTTCTTTACTTGAGACCATTGATATATGTATATGATATTATATGTTTGATTGATTGATTGTGTATCTGATCAAGCTATGAATGAATAAGAATGATTGCAACTTCCTTCGTTTGACGATTCAACTTCTGAAATTTCGTCTGAGGTGATGAGGTTGCCAGCAAGCCAGCAGACATGACAGTGTCTCCAAAGTCATGTTGATATTATGATACTACTTCTCTACTCTACTCTATTTAATGTTACTGCTTCTTGCTCCAAGGCAATGTCAAACCACGCTTTAGAAGAGTCTTGGTGCCAAGGGCATAGGCTGGATCGATCTGTTCCAGGTTGAAGTATCCCATCAGTGACAGTCCACACAGTCCAAAGAAGGTATGGAACACATCTGGTACATTACCAGGCTTGTCAGCAATGCCTCCTGTTTCATTATCCTATGAATGATTGAATGAAGTTAGAATATGATGTATACTTTCGTCATTGATGGAAGGGATGAACATACCTGACACTTTAGGATGTAAGTCTTTAGCTTGTCATTGTCAATCCAGTGTAGACGATCAATGACTGCCAGTGCAGAGAGAACCCACCATGAGTAACAGACATCTGATGTCTTCTCTGGTCTGCCATTCAGACCTCCATTAGGCAGTTGTCTCTCGCACAGCCACCATCCCAATTGATCAATATCAACCAAGTCCAAACGATTAATTATAGCTAATGCTCCAACACATGTGAATGCTAATGGTTGGGAGTTGAATGAGTGATTGTGAGTAAGTGATTGGACATGCTATGGGGTTGATTGATTGATTGATACATACTCTGACCAGCGTGAGACTCTGCACCTGGTACTGATCCGTAGCCAGCGTCAAAGTTCTTGCAACGATCAATGAAGGCTGCTGCTGTTGTCAAGTTGATTCTGTCCAGTCTGCCAAGCAATGATAGACAAGAGATGGCACAGTATGAGAACCTAGTGTCGACCTCTCCCCATTTGTCACCAAAGAATGATCCATCAGCCTGTTGTAATGTCGCAACGTCTATGTTTGTTTGATTGTATGTATGTGTCAGTCAGGTCATGCTTGTCGCCTCAATCTTACTCAATCAATAACTTACACTCTACAACAGAGTCAATGTTGATCTTATCTATAGCATCCAACTCCAACAATATCTGTACAGCACTCAGTGTAGTCAACAAGTGTTCATCATGTGTAACATTACCAGAGAAGCCACCTAATCAATCAATCAAACACAATGAGTCAGTCGGTTCAATCAGTCAGATGATCAGGGCATCAACAACATACCATTTGGCTTCTGACAAGACAGTATGAATGCTATCAAGTCATCTCTGTTCATCTTGTTCAAGGCATTGAGTATGTATAGTCCTGTGAGTCCCCAGTACATTCCATTCATACGCAGATGCTCACTGACCCAATACTCAAAGTCCTCCTCCTTCTTATTATCCAAATTAACAATATACTGTATATGTTTATCCAACAACAAGTTGGTTGTATGATCTATCTCTTCACTCATTCTATCTCTCTTTATCTCTCTAACTTGTATTTGTAATTTAATTGAATGATTGAATGAATGAACATGAACTTGAATCAAAGTTTGATTCAAAAGTGTGCGAAACATGTGAGAGTCAAGTTCTCAACTTTATTCAAGGAGCTTAGTTAGACCTCTTGTTGAGTCCAGCAATGCATGGCCTATGACTTGACACTTGGATGATGCCTTATTGACTTTAGACCATTGGAGATGAACTTGGAGAATGCAGTCCACTTGGATGGAACTTTGAAGACGGTCCTTGTGTTGCATAGGTATCCTTCCATGTTGTCAGCCAACACTAGTGTGACATGTTTACTCCTGTCCATGATACGTATGTATATGCTACTCTGCTTGTTCTCATCGATTATACAATAATCCTGTATGGAGGAATGATATGGTAGGTCCTTGATTGTGTGCGTGTTGATGTCGACCTCGGCCACCATGCTGATTAGATTGAGTTTGTACATGTTTGGCGGCAGTGTTGGGAATATCTCCTCGAGGTCCCTGTCACAGAACAGACTGTTCATTGTCAACTCGGTCAATGACGCTGGTAGCAAGTCTGGTGGGACCTCCTCCTGGAAGCACCGACCGATTGTCAGGTTCGTGATCGATGATGGTAGCGTGCCTGGGAGTATCTGTTTGTCAAAGCACCAACCTAGCTTGAGCTTGGTCAATGCAGGCGGTAGTCGTCCATCGCCAATCTCCTGATTGAAGTGAAAGCCGAACGAGAGGTCTGTGACGCCGGCAGGCAACGCACCCGGCTCCACCTGTTGATTGAAGAACAGGTCGAATGTGAGGCGTCTGAGTGACGCAGGTAGTGATCCAGGTGCAATGGGCATGTTGAATGAGTAGCCAAAGTTTAGTTCAGTGAGAGAGGTCGGTAGTGAGTGCTGCTGGATTTCTTGATCAAAGAAGTAGCCAAACGACAGGCTTTGAAGTGTCAGTGGCAGTATGCCAGGGTCAAGCTCTTGATTGTACTCGTAGCCAAACTTGAGCTCTTGAAGCGAGTCGGGGAGCGTGCCAGGCTTGATCAAGTGGTTGAAGTAGTAGATGAATATCAGACGACGAAGTGAGGCAGGCAGCACACCTGGCACGAGCACCTTGTTGAAGCACCATCCAAATGTGAGGTACCTCAGCGCTGGAGGCAAAACTTCTTCTGTGATAGGCTGATCAAAGTGATACCCAAACGTGAGTCCAACCAGTCCGGCCGGCAACACATGTGGAGCCAATGGTTTGTTGAAGTTGTATCCAAAGGTCAATCGTTTGAGAGTGGCAGGCAGCGACCACAGCGTGATATGTTGATTGAATTTGTATCCAAAGGTCAGCTCGATCAATGCGGGCAGGCACGTGAGTGGCTGGTTAAAGTTATCGCTGTAGATCAGGTATGTGAGCGTAGGAGGCAGTGGATCAGAGGTCGCAAGGACTGACTCCACGTTGTAGATGTTGTAGCCCAAAGACAACTTGTTGGTCGATGATGGCTGCGCGTTTGGCTTGTGCTGTGGGATGGAGAGATAGTTGTTGCCATGGTCATTCACTCCAAACGTCAACACTGAACTAAGTATTGTACATGACATTGTTGTAGCTGGCATTACAATATTATTACGTAGTAGTGGTAAGAGTGTCCTTACACCAACATACTTTGGGTCCAATCTAACATATCTCTTCATATCATTATACAATCGTTTACAAGTCAATACCAATGATATAATATCAATCATATGATCTAATCGATCAACGACCAATCTTAGCAATATTATTGGTAGTGATGGTAACATTATTATTACTTGTATGTTTGTTTGTTGAGTTGATTGATGCTAGTAGTAGTAGCATTGTATAACTATGAATGATCAATGTACATGTGCATCACAAGATAACTTAACTGATGCACGATCAGGTCGACCCCAACCCAACTGTTTGGTCGAACGTGCTTCATGAAGCACATCCAAAGGTCTTGATTTCAATCAATCAATCAAATACAAATAATGACGTTAGAATAACATTAATGTGGAACAACACCAATGACAGATGTTTGTAAAGTTCAACAATATGTTGATGTTTTGAACATCATAACCAACCCATAAATCATTGTGAACACCACTCAACATTAATGCAGGCTGTTGGTGATGCTGCAATTCATACTTACCTGATGCTTTTACGTTCGTGATCATTCAGGCGGATGTAAAGCGCGACTGTCCCTCCTCTTGCACACCTGGGGGGCGTTGTGGCGACTAGTCATTGATTAGTCGGGTATCTAATTTCTGGTAGTGGTGGACTTTGCGCTCGTCGCGAATCCACTTCAACACACTTCAATCAAATCAAAAGATAAAAAAACTTCAACTCTAGTTAAAAGATATTTATTCCATGTTGTCTCGAAATTGATGATCACCATTCAGGATTGGTGTGTGAGAGAGTATCATTCGGTTGAATCAAGTATCTTTTTTCGTCGTCTTTGTGCACCCGCCTATCACATTCGTCGAGTGCGTTGGTCTCGCTCACTCAATTTTTATTGTCAAACAGATCTTTGCAACTAACTTGTGTGTGTATGAGAGTGCACTTGGGTGAAAAAAAACAACGACCTATACAATATCTCTCAAACATACACATAACACATAATAACAACAATCAAACAAATAAACACACAGACACAATTGTATTATATATATCAATACTCACATACATACCTACATATATAAATGGAGTTCGAGGAAGATAGTTCATTCAAGCCAGACGCTGTATTCACAAACTCACGTCCAAAGTGGGTAGAGGATAACAAGGCTCACAAGTATGTATATACATGTAACATTATTCAATCAACCAGTCCCAATATAACTAACAATGTTCATCATCAATATCATCATAGCTGTTCTAAATGCAATGTTGGATTCACCCTTTTAAATAGAAAGGTAAGATAACAGACATAGATACAAGACACAATCATCCATCATACACATAATGGCATGCCATACTTGACTTGATAACGATGTCCACAAGTTATCAATGGTGGTCTGATCTGTAAGAATGTAACAAACTAATACTATATACAATCACCTTTTTAGCATCACTGCAGACGTTGCGGACTCGTATTTTGTCAGAAGTGCTCATCAAACACAGCAAAGATCCCTCAATTGAACTATAACTATGTACCAGTAAGAGTTTGCGATGGCTGCTATCGTACTATAACAATGTAACAACTGTTTTCAAGCGCTTCACCTCAAATAAATAACGTCTCCCAATAGCAAAGCAAAAAGCAACCTACCCAACTCCATCCTCACTCTCTTCCTCGAACATTCACTTTAATGGCGACGAAACATCAACATCAACAATGGAGTCATTCATCTACATATTGGGAACAATGGGTACTCATTCATTCACTCATTCAATCAATTAGTCATTTAGCCATCCAGAGTGCAAAGGCAGTGTAGACATATTCGCCTCCCTTCCCAACATTAAGGGAGGTCCACATGCACTCAAACATCCATTCATGCTTCACATGCAATCATCACGATTGCCTCCTTCCTCTTACACACATGCATGCATACATTGATGTGCAATAAGGAGAGAGGTCTCAATCTCTTGGAGCTTGTAGACTGTGCATGGTATCGAGAGGAAGTGAGGAGGGAATGGAGTGTGTGAGTGTGTTTATTGTTGGTGTGGTGGACCACCTTTATCCATGAAATGGCTGTTGTGTTTGAGGGAGTGAATGTGTGTGTGTGTGGGTTCATTATGCTCACTGCAAGTCAGATGATCATGATGGAAAGGATAGAATAAAGGATGTAGGATATAATGCTTGGCAAGGTCTACTATAGGTGGAGGTGCAGTGGAGCAGAGTGTGAGTGGATTGCATACGTGTCCATATAGAGTGACGCAGCCTTCATTCATTCATTCATTCATTCAATCAATCAATCAGTCATTCAGTCATCCAGGCAGTCAGTCAGAGGTCGATGGAGTCTATCTAGATTATAAAGTTTGGTTGTTGTATCTACTACAACTGTCGATCAATCAGTATTACAATATCCATACATCCTAGTAATCATGGTATATGGACTTATATTCATTTGCTATCACTATGCATTATACATAGCATTCTCAATTCTACATCTCTTCATCCTGGCCTTCAAATGTCTATCAACATTCAAATCATCCCTCTTTAACAGGGTATGTTTGGTCCACTATCCATCCATGCCTCCTCAAAGACTAACAATCTATACACAGACAGCAGTCGAGGATAGGAAGAGAGTTGTGATTGTTGGAGGTGGATTCTCTGGCACGATGATTGCACAAAAGTTGGAGAATGACTTCCAGGTCACATTGATAGACACAAAGGATTACTTTGAGTTCACTCCAAGTATCTTGAGGACAATCGTCGAACCAACTCATATCAAACGTATACAGGTATTGCATTCACATTATCTAAAGAACACCAATGTCGTCCAGAAGAAGGTGACCGATCTCAATGCCGACCAAGTGTTCACAGAGGATCGCACCAACATACCCTACGACTACCTGGTGCTCAACTCTGGCTCCAGCTACAACTCTCCGTTCAAGGAGTCATCCGTGGTGGCATCGGCACGTGCCAACACATTGCGCGAGTACTTTTATCATATCAGGAAGCTGAAGCGTATCCTAATCATTGGCGGTGGTATTGTTGGCGTGGAGTTGGCAGGCGAGATTGTCAGCCACTTCAAGGGCAAGGAGGTGACACTGATCCACTCCCAGTCCCAGCTAATGAACCGATTCCCCAAGAAAGCCGTGCGATATGCGGAGCGCTACCTGCTGGACCACAAAGTGAGGATCATCTACAACGAGCGAGTGATTGCACACAAGGAGAACATCTTTATCACGGACCATGGCAGCGAGATCGTGTCCGATCAGGCATTCCTGTGCACGGGTATCGTGCCCAACTCGGACTACTTGAAGAAGTCCTACCCCAATACCATCTCAGAGTTTGGCTACATCAAGTCCAATGACTACCTGCAGATGGTCGGCTCGTCCTACCACAAGAACATCTTTGTGTCGGGCGATGTGCTCAATGTTCGCGAGGAGAAGTTGGCGCAGACGGCCGAGAGCACGGCATCTGTCGTCGTGCAGAACATCTACGCGATGGAGTCGCGAAAGGAGAAGTTGACCCAGTACAAGTCCTCGGCCAAGCCCGTCCTAATCAGTCTTGGCAAATACTGCTCCATCTTTGTATACAAAGGATGGGTACTCACCGGATTCATTCCAGCACTTCTCAAAGAGGCTGTCGAGTGGAAGACCATGATAAGATATTGGTAATAATAAAGCGTCCTCGAGGACACTTAGTGTATTTACATTCATAACTTGAGTAGTTGATGATATGACCCAGAGCCAGATGGCGAAGAGGGAGGGGATGTGCGGAACATGCCGCGTTGTGTGAGGAAAAGGACGATCATGATGAAGCCAAACACTCCAAGGTAGATGGCAAAGTAGGGCGTGTGATCGAGGGGCACGCAACAGATGGAAGGTGCGGGATCTTGAGGATGTGGCTTGTGTGTTCTCTGCGTCTCTACTTGACCATGTACATTGCGTATCCAAGTGGTGAAGTTGTAAGGCTTCTCATTGAGCAGGAAGACACGGGCACCCTCTGGGTACTTGGGGTCGTATGATCCATATCCAGTCTTGCGTCCATAGCCCAATTGAACGCCGTAGTAGTCACCAACAAAGTCATTCCTGTGATCGTGACCAAAGTAAAGACCCTTGATGTCCTTACGCTCGACCATTGTGCTGACAAACTTTGAATCAAACGAGTAGTAGCAGCAGACGCCATTGTCACCAAAGTCGCCGACCACCTCATGGTTGTTCCAAAGATCGATCATCTCGACGGGTGGCACGTGGACGAATGCTATCGCTGGCAGCATGTTGTAGTGCGTTGATTGATTCTGATACCATTCGACTTGAGCGGGATGAATGCATCCCCATCTCTCATCCTTCTCGCAGGCATATGTATCAGAGTCGAATGAATAGATCAATGAGGCAGGTTCATTATCTTTTGATGATTGTATCTCAATGACATAGTTTGATACTCCTGGTATGTTATATGGTCCACTCTTACTCAAACTAAGGTTATAAGATCTATCCAAATTCATTAGTTGTGCAGAGTTCAACTGTCCTTCAGCATCATGGTTGCCAAATGTAATTGCCCAACTTCAAATCATTGATTGATTGAATGGATCGATGTTAGAGCTTTGTGGGATGCGTTAATCAATAAAGACCAATACATACGGTAAATTCCTCTTCCGCAGTGGTTCAGTTAGTGTATCCCATATGGTATTGTAGAAGTTGACATCATAAAAGTGTTTGTTGTATCCACTGATCATATCACCAGAGAACATAACAAAGTCTGGGTTCTCAGCTGCTATTATAGCCTCTATATGTTATGCATAAGTCAGTCATACAATGTCAATCAATCAACCAAACCAACATCCAATCTAATCTCACCCTCTGATTTAGCATTCAACTTATCATAACTGTCTTGTTCTCCATAATGTAGGTCTGTGAATTGTACTATCTTGAATGTACCATCTGGTCTATATTTCAACTGTGGCCTGTCATTATCATTGATATTAGTCTTGTAATAGTAAGCATCAACCAAGTTCAACAAGGTGATGGTGACAATCAACAAGACTATGTAATGTTTCATTATCTGTATGTTACAATAAATATCTCTTTCTTTGTTTGTTTGATGATTGAATGAATAATGAGTGACAATGTCAAAAGTGACACTTTTGTGAAGTTGGGAGATGGGGAGTTGTGTTTATTGGACTGAAGCTAGCCTCATTTCAATTCGCTTATTCTCTCTCTTGGTAGTTATACGATGCTTGTGAACTAGTACGGCTGCAGTGGCAGCGGCAATGCCAACAACACCAAGTACAACAGCTATCGTAGCAATCTTCCAAGTGCTCATTGATGATGATGGTGCAGTCAATGTTGGCTTCTCTGTAGTGGTGGGTCCTGGATTGCACAATGTGTTGTTTGAATGACCTCCATTGTTATCACTTCCATCATCAATAGATGTCAACACTGAGAAGTCTGGATCGATCAAACATTGTTGACATAGTGGCAACACTGTACCAATGTATGATGAACCCGTGCCTGTGGTCACGGTGGCATTGATGATCTGGTTGAGGGCACGACTGATCCTGCCATTGACCATAGCGTGTGGGAGGAATCTGGCAAAGTATGTGACGGGACCCTTGACAACCTTGATGAACTTGATGTTGTAGAGATAGTCCGATTGATTGATCGTTGACAAGTGTGTGGCACACTCGCTGATGTTCAAGTCATTTGCTTTATCGAGGAATACCACTCTGATCGAGTTGAGGTTGGACAAGTAGTTCCAGTCGTAGATGGATATCATCATCTTCAATGAGTTGGCTGGATATTTGGCAATGTCACCGGCAAACTCAACGATACGTGGCTCGGTTGACATCTGGAATTGGATTGATATGTTGTAGTTGGTCTTATCAAGTTGGTATTGATTGGTGATGATGTTGGACTTGTTGGAGGTGCTGGCAACCCATTTGGTAGTGAGTACTTCTTGGACTATGTTATTGAATTGATCCAATTCCTGGACAGCCACAACATTGAATTGGTATTGTAATTCCTCACTACCAATTGTGAACGATGGTGAATGATTATCTGGAATAGGCATCACCTGATTCAACAATCTATTCTCACAATGATATCCACCATAACCATCATTACACTGACACAATCCATTCACACAAGTTCCATTCATCGAACACAATGACTTGTCTCCACAGTCATTCTTTGTTCCATTCTTGCCTAAAATAAAAATAATAATTAATATATATAGTTATAAGTTGATCATAGTGATGTACTTACTTATCTCCAGGACGAGGGCAGAGTGATAAGGATAACCATTGACACTGATGTTAAGGTTACCCATGCCTGGTGTGAGGGTGGCATTGACATGGCATGTCACTATGCTATTGTTGGAAGAGTCAACATTCATTCTGATCGAAGTAACATTACAAATCATTCCATCAACAGAAATATTCAATGTCAATATATTGTTTCCAAAGTATCCATAAAGTGTAGTCTCTCCACCATTTCCAGATATACCAGTTGTATTATATACAACAGGGTAGTCTTTCGAATATAATTGATTAGTACTAGTACTTGTGATTGGAGTGATGGGGAAGGTACATACAGTATGTGTTGGTCTTGGATATGATTAGAGGTAGTGTGGCACCTTGGCAGTCAAGGGTGGAGGTGTAGTTGGTTGGGTTTCCATTGGTGGGTCGGGTACACTGAAGTAACAATCCAGATCTGAAAGTGATTGGACATGGCTGACCTAAGATATTCATTGTGTAGTTGATCTTAGAATTGAACTCCCCAACTACACTCACTATCATAATATTATCATTGATCTCTGCGTATGAATGTGAGACGGTAGTATCTATTTTGTATGAATGAATGGGTTAGTGATTGAATTGCTCAAGGATAGGAATTAAGACATACTGTCCAAGAACCAAGATATCTTCTTTGTAACATTGTAAAGTTTGGAGAATGTAACTGTATCCGAGCCTTCAAATCCACTGAATACATAACTTGGATATGGGGGATGATGGTGATGGTTAGTACTTTGATTGATTGATTGATTGATTGATTAAGTGAATGTTAGAGACCTACGTAAATGTAGTACTTGGAACAGTCATGACCATGCTACTTGGAATATAGTCACCAGATATACCAAATCCCAAGTTATTTCCATTGATTGTCAATCTATACATTCCATTACGGACAATAAATGTATCTGAATCCAATGTTGCTAATTCAGATGCTATATATATATAGTTCAATTTCAGTGAGTGTAGATAAATCAATAAATGGTTACTACTTACCAGGTGGAAGATCAGCAGGTGGAGGCTGTACTGTTGATGGGAATGAATTGTTGGTTTGGAGCCAGTAGGCATAGAAACAGGATGGAACTGATGATACGTTGGTCGAAGCTAGGGAAACGCCTCCGACTCTGCACATGTACTCTGGAACAGGTCCATAAATATTCTTTGAATTACCAATTACATTGAATGATTTTGGTCGAATACTTGAATAATCGGGGAGCATTGATATAGCTGAAGGCCATTGTACTGAACTATATATTGGATGGAGATGTATGGTAAATAATTATGAAGCCTTGAATAGTATAGCCCATTCATTTAAATATTAACATACATGGATGCCTGAGGTGCCAACCAAGATACTGGTGGGAAATTTGGATATGAACCAATTGCCCTATATTCAATGATTGATTTGATTAGAGATAGATTGATTGAATGGTTGATTCATTGATTGGTACATACAGGGTACTAATATGTGAGGCATTGGTAATGTCACTACAGTTGTACGCAGAACTAAATAATTATAGACGTAGTAGTTATGCATGTTAGTTCCAAATTCAATGAATACCTCACTAGATATAAATCATCTGATGTAAACCTACATTGATGCCAGATATGGGAATTTAGTCAAATCTGATGGGATGAAGTTAACATTTCTCAATCCCCTAAGGTATCAATTCAGATGAAGGTTGGCAGTTAGTTATATATTGTATGAGTGGTCTTGGTGTCGTTGATATTAATACACTTACAAAGTTGCCAAATTGGGTGCTTGTGTAAAGTCTGCTTTAGACCTTAATCCAGGTACAGTTGTTGTTAACTCTAATTTGCTGATATTATATAGTGATTTGAATTAATATCTTTGCCGGATATGATCTTATCCTATTAATTAATTATTAACTTACAATATGGTGATCAGAGGAGAATTAATTACAACTGAAATGTTATTGTTTGTAAAGAGCTGGCTGTTTGAATAATAATAGTATTGTAAGTAATTGATTGTTTGTTTGTTTGATTAAAATACATACTAGTTTGTCAGTTTTGGATATCTGTCCTGAGTGATGTTGAAGTATTGATTTGGATTGGCTGCATTGGAATTTAACATCCTAATTAAGAAATGGAGTAAGTATTGATTCTTAATAAAAAAACAAACTATATAATAAGTTCTTGTTACCTACATCAATCTCAAATTGGGATAATATAGATCAGGATTGTAGTCAAAAGTCAAAGAGTTGTTGATCATTGGTATACTCAATATTGTAATGTCTTTGATCGATGGACATGAGAACAATGATTGAGGAATATTAGATGATATGGGTGTCTGGTTGATCGTACTAATGACATCATAAGAATAGTGTTAGTGTATTCTTCATTTTGGTGTCCAATAAGTAAGTAACTTACAAAGTGACCAATTTGAGATGTACTGGGAAGTTGGACGGAATTGAGTTGTATCCAACTCCTCCGTAGAACTGTACCATCTCCAACTTCTTGTTGTCAGGGTTATCCAACAATGCAAAGTAGTTCTGATTTGAGTTGACCTTGGCACCCATCATTGTGATCTGTGTGCAGTTGGGAAGGTAGAGTGCTGTTATCGATGAGTCAGGCTGACCATTCACCATAGTTCCAACCGAACCAAAAATTCTATTATTATACAATCAATCAGTCAGTACTTATAAACTTCCATTGTATTTGATTGATCATATTATATCATACATAGTTGTGATTGATTGAATCATAGTATTATTATCTATAGCACATTGAAGTTGGAAAGTAGCAGGCTGTATCTGTTCACATGATGTTGTACCAGTTATATTCCAACCAAATTGATATTGTTGAATGATCCATTTTAGTGATTGCACTATAAAGTTTTGATTGATTGATTGATTGATTAATTGATTGATACAAATTATATTCAAAATGACTAGTACTTCTATCCCTTCAACATACATTCAAGTGGATGAAGGTCTGCCTTGACAGTATTTAGACTCCAACTACTAAATATTATAAATAATGTAATCGACCAATATAGTAGTTTCATCATAATCTTCTCTTGTTGGAATATAGATAAATACAAATATATATATATATATATTAAGTTTGTTTCCTTTGAGTGAAGACAAAGAATTTTTAGGCCTAAATATACCAATGACCCAAGAAGAATGAAAGACTCTTGTGATTTGTCCCAACAATAATAATAATACCATTTATCAGAGTGGTCCCAACAGAGGACCAAGATATTTTGATCAAGATTGGTTCGCACACCCCCGGAATCCAAAAACAATACTATCTTGACCGGCGTCAACCCCCTTAATGGGCAAGTGATGAGAATATCACAACATTAGGACCAGGGGTAAAGAGTCTCTTTCTGGTTGTATCCTTTAAAAGATAAAGATATTTCTGAAGATGTGATTGATTAAGATGAAGTTAAGTCACATGTTTAATTCCTTTATTCTCCAACAGCCCAAGATATGGATGTTCCCTTGGAAGAAGTTCAAAATGGTGTCGTCTGGTGATTGATTGATTGATTGATAAAGGCTCAATCGAATGACTTTAATGAAATTTGAACGGACCGCAGAGTGATATGTTTCTTCTTGATGATGAATAGTGCGAGGAGTGTGAGCAACGCTGCTCCAACAACGGAGCACACGACAATGACTGGTATCTTCCACTTGTTCTCCTTGGTGCAACTGGCCGCACTGCCTTGCACCAGGGATCCAAAGTTTGGATCGATCACGGTGCTCTGAGTAAAGTGTGGCACGTTGATGGCCGTCAGCAGACTGAACTTGTCCTCGCTGCCCTGTGGCAGCAGTTGGTACAGAGGGTCGGTGGCCGGCAGATTCTGGATGTTGCTGCGGAAGATGTTGTTGTCCACGTAGATTCTGTTGGCGTAGCGCGCCGTCACGATTGTCGAGCCGGCGTTGAGCTGCATGTATGAGAGCGAGCCACCGTTGGCGTCTTGGTTGGACTCGGCGCCCGTGTCTTGGACTGCGCAGCCGCTGTCATATTGCTTGTTGGCCACCTGAATGTAGACCACCTGGAGTGTGTTGAGCTGGCTGGTGAATGGCCAGTTGACCACCTTGATCACACTCTTGACGCTGTTGGCTTGAACATTGATCGTCTCGCCAGCGAACTGAATGGCCGCGGCTTCTTTGTACACGGTGAGATTGAGCTCGACGCGAATTGTCGAGTTGGCGAGGCTGCCCGCCAACACAATCGTGGGGCCATCTTGAGAACGGTTGAGCCAGTTAATATGCGCCATTGGCACGAGGAGCACCTCGGTTCCCAGATTATTCATCTCACGGAAGTAGTAAAGCTGGATGGTGAAGTTGTATTCCTTGGAGGGGATGATGATGCCTCCGTTCGGATCGGTGGTGGGCATCTCGCCGCTTGAGCCCTGGCTTGTGCAGTTGGGCAGGATGTACGGCGATTGGCATTCGCATATGCCTGAGGAGTAGCTGCACGTGCCATGTCCATTGCACTCGCCATTCTCTGTGGCTGGGCATGGGATGTGGCGCTTGTAGAAGAAAACGCTGCCTGGGCCGACCAAGCCATCGACAGAGACAGTGACGTTTAGTGAGTCGTCGGTCTTGGTTGGGGCAATCGTGGCACTGAAGAAACATCTGACTGTGTGTCGATCGACAAACTGTACCTCTGAACATGTCTCGTCTCCAACAGTCACCTTGAGGCTAACATTGGCAAAGTTGTCGCCATTAATATTTGTGTAGCCAGCCTTGCCAAACTCGAGTTCTGATGCAGAGGTGACTTTTGGTGGCGTGTATGTATGATTGAATAACACGTCACGATTGCTGATTGAGAGCTTGCCGTAGAATGTACCGGTGCCAGGTAGTATCGCGCATGTGATTGTGTATGGTGCCTGAGTGGAGAGGTAGCTGCAGTTGACTGGCTTGGCATTGGCGAGGTTGGCATCAGAGTAGAGCTGTACCTGGTAGTTCAGTGCCTGTCCATTCATGTTTGAGGTGGCCATGAAGCTACCAGTAATGGTGAAGTTGCCGCCGTCCAAAGACACGGTTGGCGCCACAGAGTCCACGATTGGGGTGATGGTCAGGGGGATGGCTGGGGTAGGATTTCCCTGGCACAACACAGACAAACCACCATTCTTTGAGTTGGGTGGCAACTGGAAGGAGAGGCTGAGCTCTTGGATCTTTGTGGGGATGACCGAGATGTTGGTCAATGTGTTGTCAGAGCTGATGTAGACAGTGCATTCAGAGCCAAAGTTGGTGCCTGTCACTTGGACATTGTCACCAGTCTGTTGGTAGGAGGACACTGTTGTCTGGATATAGTACTTGAGATTGAATGCTGCTGATGTCTGTCCCTTGACCTTGACGACCAACGAGTGATTGCCTACAGTGTTGGGGGGCACCACGGCGGTGAGCATAGTGTGAGTGGTAAACATTGTGATTGTTCCCGTCACGACCACATTGTCAACGAGCACTTGGACGTTGCCGATATTGTCTGAGAAGTTGTCACCGTAGATGGTGGTCGTACCACCTTGGATTGGGATCTGTGTTGTCTTGGTGATGCTTGGGGACATGTAGGAGAAAATCAAGACCTGGGAGCCTGTGTATCCATCGATGACCAAGTTGCCCATGTTGAATGGGCCAGAGCCAGCGCCAGCAGGTATGACCAACTGCAAGATGGTCATGTCGAAGAAGTCAGCACGACGGACGACCGTCGAACCCTGAGAGAGTCCTAAGGTACTGTAGTAGTGTCCACTGCCAACCTTATCAATGGTGAAGTTGAATGTACCTCCAGCTGTTGGTGATAAGAATGACAGGCTCGCTGAAGTGATTGAGGGGGCCTCACCGCCAAACTGGAACATGGATCCGCACGTACCCACTCCAATCGCTGTCAGGACAGTTGGTGAGACCATGAGATCCACACAAGATGGCTCGGATACATATGTATTGATATTGCTGTAGACCGTGACAAACTCGCCAGTGATTGGATCCTTGAACTTCTTGGATGGATCGTAGACTGCGCCAACATACGCACTCCAACTGTTGGAAAGGTATTGAGAGACAATGAACAAGAACTCTTGGATGAAAGTAGGGTTGTTAACAGGATAATAGAAAGTACCCTTATTGTTCACTGCTGTCAAGTTAGCAGCGATAGCTGGTACATTAGCATATGGTATAGATCCAACAATGCCCATATAGAACTTCTTCATTGTCTTACTCCCTATTTGTTTGTTTGAGTTTGATTGATGGATTGATGGGGGAGGGAGGGTGATTATGAGTATGGAATGATTCCAGAATATGATCAATCAATGATACTTACAATATGGGATTTGACCAACTATTTGTGAGATGCCATTGACTTTGATGGTGATTGGTAGGATCTTGACAGAGTTGGACAGTTGATCATTCAGTGTACATGTGATCACACGACCTTGGGTGACTAGTGGTGTGAGGCATGGATTGCCCGAACCGAGTGTCACTGATATGTTATCACCATTGGCTGTAATACCAAAGTTGTTGCCTACAATGGTGATCAACTGCAGTTTGGTGAGAGTTGGATAGATGACATCGATCTCTGGACTGAGATACTGGACCGAGTACGTCTCGGAGACGCCCGAGGTTGAGGAAGAGAGCGAGAATGTGAGCAGACCAGGAGTGTTGGAGTTGATGAGGTAGTTGAATGTGGCACCTCCACTGTTCAACAGTGTTGCCACCACAGGTTGCTTGGTGTAGGCATGGGTCATCTGGATCGAACTGGGTGCTGTGAAGCCAGTGACAAAGTTGGACATGCTAAAGACGCGAGGGTTGTCCAGAGAGACCTTGAGGTATGGCGCCTCCATGCCTCCAATCTCACAGATTGCATTGTGAAGGGCGGCACAGTCGTCCACATCGAGGTAGGGGCCTCTGGTATCCATGCACAGCTCAGGGACGTTGAAGTTGGGCTCGTTGACGTTCCAGGGGCAGTAAGTGTAGCACTTGCCTGAGCCACTATAGTAGGGTGCGCCATTCTCTGGACCTGTCGAGTAGGAGAARGAGCGTGCCACCAGAGGCACGCAGACCGGACACCCAACTGCGCACATTGATGTTGATTGTGCTGGTGCTGATGGCCCAGTCCATTTCATTCTGGGAGGTGAATGTTGCCAAGTAGCCCTTGGCAGTGCCAATCGTTATGGCTTCGCAAAAAGTAACAGCTGCGGCCAGTGTCATGGCATCATTACTTCTAACATAAGTATGATTGTTGGCTGGATTGATCTGGACATTTGTGTATCCTGCAGCATGTACCTGTACCACAACCAACTCCACACTCAACAACAACGACACCATCATCAACAATGAAATAACATTGTTATTCATTCTTTTAAATGTTGATGTTGATTGATTGGATGAATTAATTTAATTGGTATGATTGATTGAATATATTTGTACAAGTGTGTCTGTGTATATATATATTATTTGTAAGGTTATGTGATGAATGTCCAATGCTCCTAAGGAGTAAAGGGATGTAGGAGTTGGCCATCCTACCAGCCAATCACATCTCACCTCACCAATCAATCAATCACCTACTCACAAACACACATATCATATGACGAACTAGGCCAGACATCAAAAACAAACAAGATTTACTTCAATCCTTTTGACCTTGTTTTGGTATCCTTTTTTGTTTCCATTGCAAATGCAAATGTCTACGCCCAACACGTTCAAACTTGCAAGTTGCCGAGGTCAATGGCCATGGGTACCCTCTACAGGTATGTAGGTCGTTGCATAAACACTATCCGCCTTGTCCTTTTGAAGGTGAAAAAGCGTAAAAGCAATGTAAACGTGTGCTTCTAAAGAAGAATGCGCCCTCAAGGTCATGGTGGCCATAGTATTCATTGAATAGACCTTTGTTTTGTCCTGTAGTGGGGTATGATGTGATGGGTGGGCTTCGTGGGATGGATGATCGATCGGACGAAAAAATAATATCAACCCGCAAAGATTGTCTCCTGATCATAAAAAATATATATCTTGAGTTTTGGTGCAAGGTTTGCAAAGTATCCGTCTTCGCACATGACGAGTGCAGTGGGCAGGTGGGTAAGATAGGTTGTTGGCAACGAGAAGCGGAGACAATGGTGATGATGTCGTGGTGTTTAGTGAGTTGCAACGTGGATCGTCCATCCAATGGTGTGTTTACTTCTGTTTGGACGACACGGTAACGGTAGCTGCGGAAGGAGGAGGGGACAGGGCCTTGACAGATGCATGTTGCTGTTGCGAATACTCCCAAATTACAATTGATGCACTGACATGTACGTTCAATGATCGCGTCACACCATACTGCGGGATCTCAATGCACTGGATGGTTGTGTGAACAACATGTTAGCGATGGATCAGATCATCAAGTGCCATCAATCAACGAATCAATACATACATATTCAACCAGGTCTAGGAACTCGGCGGGGATACCATTCTGCTCTTGTCCAAGCAAGAGAAGACACTTCTTGGGGAAGACGAATGTTGCCAGGTTCTTGCTTTGGCTGGTCTGCTCCACACCTAGTATGACGTAGCCTTGCTCTTTCTTGGCCTTGATGTAGGCGGCCAAGTTGGCGCGATTGACCTCGCTGATTGGCACCCATTTGTCAGCGGCCACACTCACTCTCTGGAACTGAGGGTCCTGCAACAACTTGATGTTGGGAATGGCTACCTCGGTCACATTGAATATCTCACTGGTCCTGATCAGTCCTGCGATGTTTGGCGTGTTCTCGATGAATGTGCCGACCACAATCATCTCCTGGCGTGGTGCTCTGTTTGTGGAGCTGTTGCCAGAGCCTGTGTTTGAATGTCCTGCGCTGTTACCGCTGGTCGTGTCCAGCAACGCCTCCAACTGAGCTATCTGCTCCCATGGTACGATTCTCTTTTGGAAGTCTAGAAGTGATGGGTCACTGTTGGCCGCGTCTGAGACAACAGTTGATGACGCTGACGGGTTGGCCGCTTGTTTTGCCTGGAACTGTGATTGGAAGTCCTTGATCAGGCGTTTGGACACGTCAAGCAGAGACATTGGAATGACTGATTCATCCAATGCCAGACCTTGTTGCATGTCGTCATCTCCATCGGCATCGTCACCATCTCTGGCAGCCTGTGCTCCATCTTCATCGTCATTGTCAACCATTGCAGCAGTGTCCTCTTTGGACATCACATATATGTTTGCTGGCAATGAGTTCTTCAACGGCTCATCATTCTGAACAAATAATGACTGTCTCTCACGCACCTTCTTCAACTGAGTGTTTGTGTCCATGTAATGATAGAACTGCTTCAACAGTGGATCATTGTTCAACTCGCCCAACACTTGGTACTCTGTACATTCATCAATCATATAGTTAGTATATGCGCTCCAGGCCATGCTCTCACTCACTCACATAAGATGGTTACTTACTCCTTGAGATGATTGAATGAATTGCCAGTTGTGAGCAAGTCCTCACTGCATGGTGATGGTCTGTGCACCATGGGATGATGGCGCGGAAGAGTGAGTGAACTTGGGGCAGGAGAGGGGTAGTGCGGTCGGTACTACGGTTGGGCAGCTGGATGCTGCTTGCCGTTGCCTTGTTGATCAGGTGGTAGAGGTAGGAGGCAGAGATTATGATGATGGACGCAGCGATCTGATAGTCGTAGTTTGGACACATGAGCTTGTCTACCAACAGCTGAGTCATGGACTGCTCCGATCCCGTCCTGATTAGGATGTTGACAATGAACAATTGAATGAGGTAGCGTACGTTGGAGTGGTTCTTGATCTCGAGAATCTTCCACATCATCTCGGTTACCACACCGAGGTGTGCTAAAGACTCGGCGCGGTCGGCGCCCAACTCAAACGCCTTGTCGACGTGTGTAAGCGCGCAGAGTGTGCGCCAAAGCTTGCACTTGACCTTGTTTGTGCGACTCTGTTGTGAGTACTCGCGCTGACTCAGCTCGCCATCCATGCTAAGCTCCAAAAGAGACAGCATCAGCTTGCGGACAAACTGGACTGAGAGAACCTCGTCGCCGGGTGTGGTCGAGCGGCTGTTCAGCTGACTGACGAACCAACGTACGATGTATCCATGGTTGCTCGCCATCTTGAATTGATGGATGTCATCAATGCTTGTCGCCAACTGTCCAACAGCCTGCTGTTGATCGTGCTGCTCCATCTGCTCCAGGTCCTCGTTGGACAGGAGGCAGAGATCAATGATCTCGGCGAGGAATGTGTCGAGTGTCTCGAGGTGGCTGGACCACACCCCGCAGCAATGGCTGAGCAGGCCACAGCTAATGCGAACTGACTCGCCCCACTCCTTGAGTGTCTTACGTAGGTACTCCTTGACCAAGGGGATCGTGCTATCACAGTGGAAGAACAAGGGGTGGAAGAGGAGGTTGATGAATGAGGCAATCACTGGCATGGTCTTCTTGGAGCAGTCGGAGAATGCGCGGTAGGCAGTCTGGAACAGTCTGGACATCATCTCGGGCTGGTTCAAAAGAGGAAGGTTGAACGTGTGCACCTGTGCCGCTTCGGTAGGTGTTAAGCGTACATAACGACCTACAATGGACAGAAGCAGCGAGTCAAACAGTGGTGAGAGCGAATGAGATGTGGCGTTGTCCAGAGTGTCCAAGACGCACTCAAACACTAGCTGGCAGATGGTGTCGATCTCTTCATTCTCGTCACGATCGTCACGATCGTCAATGCCAACACCATCGCCCACGATCGACAGGGTCATCAGGTCGAGGATACACTGCCATCTGTACTCGATGGACAGAGGCATCTGCTTCACTGAGTAGGCATCGCGCTTGGGCCGCAGCTGAAGGAGCTGTACCAGGAACTCGCGTGACTCCTGTCCAAAGATCGCAGAGCTGTGGCATAGATGCCAGATGAGGAACATCAATGTTGTCTGTTGAGAGTTGTAGTTGGCGCCTGCGTGATTAAGTAGACATTGTTGGCAGTACTGTGCCAACTCAATGAATGATGTCTTGTTGAGTGATATGAACTCGACCACCTTCTCCATCTGCTCGTAGGTTGGCTGTATCGCTTGTTGTTGTTGCTGTGGCTGATTCTTGAGTGTATCCTGGTCGGTTAGGAATTGCTTAACTAGCTCGTAGATGAAGGGCGTGAGCTTGGTGAACAGATCGGTGATGTTGAAAGAGTTGGCGTTCTCGTGAATGATGCACTTCACAAGCAGGAGAGTGTCTACAGTGTAGGCGGCAGTGCCTCCGCTCAGTACCTGTGCGAGGAACTTTGTCTTGTCGTCTGATGTCAAGTATCTCAACAGTCGCGACATTGCCTGGTGCAGCTCGATGTCCTGCGTGGCGTCGCCAGATGCACCATTTCCAAGGTTGCTGCTCAGGTACTCCATCATCCAACTTCCAGATCCACCCTTGTGCAGCCACTTGTCGATTCTGTCGTGTTCACTGTCGGCCAGGTGCTTGGGGAGAAGAGCCAAGAGTCGCGCAGTCACCTGTCTAAAGCCAGCGGTGAATGTGGCCGGCTTCTCCATGTTGGTGAGCAGGTACAGCACCTTCCTGTACAAATGAATGTTGGCTGGTGCGTTCGTGATTGGATGTGAGTCGAGCATGGATCGCAGCTGCTCCATGATCGTGCCATTGACCTCGATGCCATCGGATATCTGTGTGATCTCCTCGAGAAGCATGACAACGCAGTGAGTGTCGCGCAACTCCCTGTTGAAGAATGTGATCAATCGTTCATAGAAACTGACCACCTGAGCCTCCTTCATTGCAGCCATGACAGTGGCAAGGAAGCTGGACAGACAATCAAATAGTTCGAGCTTGCGAGTCATTGATGGTGATGGCGTTGATTGTTGTTGCTGCTGTTGTGCCGCCCAAAGAGCGGCGTTGATGCAAAAGTCTGGTGAATCGATGGACCTAAAGAGTGGCGCCAAGACTTGATCAAAGGCGGCGGAGGAGCTGGCGTTGGCCATGGCCTCGGACAGGCCCAGTGTGGGTGTGGTCAGCACGTCCATGATGACGCGACGACGGATGTTTGGATTGACGTGGCCGAATCCTCGGCGCAGAAGGATGGTCAGCCAGAAGGCTGACTTGGTGTGATCGGTGATGGATGCTCGTGCGAATGGTTGCTGCTCATTGCAAGACGATGTGAACAGAAGTTGCAGCTGCGACCAAACTGGCTTGAACAGATGTGACTTGGTCTCGTTGAATGCTTCATAGAGTGATATGTACAGTGACCATTGCTTGGGGTTGAATGGAAGGTACTGCTGCCAGGCTGAGCTGGGCAGCGCGATCAATGTCTTCAAGAGATGCAGCGACTGTTTGCGAGGCACATTATCATTCTCCAACAGACTGTGGAACAATACCTGTGCCAGATGAGGCTTGGCCAGTAAGTTGAATGGTGCTGGAGTCGATGAAGTCGATGGCTTGCTGGCCACGGTGAGCTGCTCAAAGAAAAGTCGCTGGAATCGGAAGAACAGTTTGAGTCGCTCATTTTGATCGGGAAGCTGGAGAATGGCGTTGTACATGAGTTCCAGCCACTGCTTGTTGACCGAGAGGATGGTCTCAAGACAGGAGATTGAGTGTGAGCGGATGGTTGAGTTTGAAGACTTCAAACCTGTGAAGAGGATGGACATCTGGTCGTGCATAAAGTCGGCCGGCAGACTGACAATGTACTTTGGCTGCAGAACTGCAGTCGTCAGCTTGATGGCAAAGCGCTGGATGGTCCTGTTGTCATTGTACTGACTCTGCTGCAATGCCAGAACAGAGACCAGCAGTGTCTGTGGCAGTCCTCGCACACTCTTTGCGTTCAGACTGACTATAATATTGGCAATAATAGATGTTATCTCGTCGATATGATCACTCTTCTCTCCAGAGTACTTTATAAAGTGACTCTGTACCAGGCAACACAATGAGGATACGTCTTCAGTCGTCTGCTTTGTTACCTCGTCCAACAATGTGAACAAGAATACAATGTAGGCAAAGTGATTGCTAAGATTGTATGTTACTGCCGTTGTTGTAGTTGTTGTAGTTGGTTGATTGTTGACTCTTGGACTTGGTGGGGATACAGTGGCCGTTGGTATTGTTTGTAATTGATTCTTTAGACATGTTGATACCTCTTTGGTCAACTTGGCACTGTCCAATTTATAGGCTGCTTCAATAACATTGATAATCGATTGCAACAACTGTCTAGAATGATACATCTGTATTACATCCTTACTATTACACTCATAAATCTTCTTTAATAACTTCTCCATTTTGTTGTTGATGATGATAATATATCTTGATTATTCGTTTGATTGATTGATAGATAGTTAGTTAGTTAGTTAGTTAGTTTGTTGTTTGATGGAATGATTGATTACAACTTACAATTATAAGTGATGGTTGTACTTATAATTAATGGATGAATGAATGAATGAATGAATGGAGTGAGAAAGAGATAGAGAGAAGTGAGAGATATAAATAAACCAAACAAGATGAGTGAGCGAGTACACATCTGACAAAGAGTGACCTGACTGACATACTGATTTTGGTCAGATGTTTCAGTGGTTTGATACCAAACAACCCCAAAAAAAAACGAGTCGTTAAATCAATAATTTAATAATATCGAGTGTGTTGATTGAATGCGATGCCCGATGATTGGTGTGTGGGTGTGGTGTGTTGGTGTAGGAGGGGGCATGTATCTCTCGGGGCTACTACTATCCCAAACCATCAGAAGGAGGGAGGGTAGGGACATGACCTTATGAGCATCCCATTCATCAACACTCTCTATCATACCACCTTCCCACCTTTCTCGTACATCAAAGTCAGTGATCATCAGATATCTAGATATTGGGCAACACTCACTCACTCCACTATTGTAGTTATACTTCCGACAACGGAGGCACAGACACTTTATATCTCCTCTTCGGGATAGTCCCCTACTTTCAGGTGCTTGGCACGAACGAAACATCCGTACTTGTCACCTTGACAGTCAAAGTATCGCACGCCTTTCAGTGTTCCGTTGTTCTTGCCTTGAGGCAGGTCCAGGCTGATGCCGATCCAGTAGCCACTGGCAGCTCCCTCCACTTTGCCAATGTACGCCACGCTTCCAATGCGACCAAGGTCATCTGATATAATCAAACATCTATCGCCAACCTTGATATCTGTTGGTTCGTTGGCAAACTCGTCGACGACAGCAGCAGTTGTAGTGGTAGTAGGTGCAGGCGTTGAAGATTGAGTGGCGGCAGCAGATGCAGCGGCAGCTTGATCCTGTTTCCATTTGCGATAGGTACCATCACGTTGACTGTACTCTGCATCTGACATTTGAGCACGTTCGATACTTGAAGTGTCTTGAAGTTGTGCAATATAGTTGTTTGGATCACTGTCTATAATATGTATATTGAGTCCAGATGTGAGACCCTCTACATTAGACAGCAGTTTGTTGTCATCGTCCAACTGATTGATTCTAACAGTCATCTTATCAGCCTCTCTAACCTGTAGTGTCATATACTTTGTCTCTGTACCAACGAATCGATGCAGCTATGTGAATATGTTAGCGAACATTGGAGTTAGTTCAGCCATTGAATGCGATTGAATGAGCGAATGGATTACCTTCTCCTTTAGTTGTTGAACAGTTTGATCAAGTTGGAAGTTCTTCCAGTTGTTTGCTCCGAGCACATCGTCTGACAGTACTGAGTGAGTGATCTCCAGACGCACTTGACCTTCGGGCGCCTTCAGTTGTGAGGGATCATTGTCTCCATGACCAAGAACAAAGTTTCTCAAGTTGTTAAAGTCGTCACTCATTCTATATATCTATCTCTAACTATCTATACCTGTATATATATTATCTATTCTCTCTTAAATGTAAAGTGATAATAATAAACGACGAACAGCGACAAGTCGAAGGTTGGGAAAGTTTGAAATCTGAATGAAATTTCAACTAGTTTCGGTTCCCGCATTCGGGAATCAAAGTTGGCGCCCAACTCTACCAATCAGGACCTTTCAAAGGTCCTAAATGATCTCAAGATACAATCACCTTTCATATCGTTACATTCTTTCAGAATGAAACTCAATGACAACACCAACTATATATTACTATGATCGTGGAGTGATCTTCCGTGTGCTCATCAATCGATTTCTCATCAGAACGATCATCGACTCATTGTCATGGCGTGTTGTAAACAGGAGGACATTACAACATAGGATCAATGAGCTCGCCAAATATGGCAGAAACAGCCACAATGACGAACCAATACCTAAACATTGCTTTCGCTACAAGTACCATCACTGGACTGATGCAGAGTCCATGTTCAAATATCGACATCATGGTCTGTTGCGTGATCGAATCAAACGCAACCTATACATCAACTTCACACACTCCACTCCATTGATCATGTTCAATCATGGTGATGTTGACAAAGAGACTTTCATGGATGTCTATCTCAAGTATCAACGATACTTCACAGATGTTGCGTTACTCAGGTATGCTGTCCAAGCCAACAACAAGCTCGCTGTCTTGGTGCTCTGGCATCAAACATCTCCAGTGATCATGGATCGAAACTTTTCGTTACTGATCGATGCGGTCCAGAGTGGATCATTCATTGTGCTCGGCTTCCTCTTGGACTCGAGCAATGATCAGATGTTGGGCAGGTTCTTGGATACTGTCAAATCCAAGTACATGCATCACTTCTACTCATCAGCATCAACCATTCGATACGTTTTGGATGCCAACCACTTCCCTCCAGCACTAATCAATCTGGTCAAGGAGGAAGCATACTCATTCTCTCAGTGTATAATATCCACATGTGATCAACAACTAATTGATCAACTGCTGATCGAACATAGTCGGGCATCAACCACTAGAGGTCACCCACGATTACGGGGTGTAGTTGAGTTGCTTCCAAATGCGTCGCCAGCTAACCAACTGGCACATATTGAGATGATGTTTATGCCCGTACCAAATGACGACAGGACTTGGCATGAACGATCACTCAAACATCTTGAGTCTTCCAAGTCGACAGCACATTCAATATTGAAGTACAAGAGTTTGGCACCAACTCATTCAGCTCGGGTTAATGACTGCATGGGAGATGAACAGAGGATGGTGTTTGTGAAGCTTGGCAACATCAAATGGGAGTTCGAACACTCACATTCAAAAGTCCATATCAAATCACATGCAGTGATCATCAAGTACTTGACACACCAGTACGTACTCACTGGAGACTGCATGCTCATACCATTCATCATTGAACAGCCAGGTCATGGATGCGACAAAGATGATATATCGGATTTGATCCAACAGATCATCAGACATGGCAACCTCAATCAGATAATCGTGGCACTTGAAGTGTTGAACAACATAAGCATTCTCGACAAGGTTATTGATGATCCTAGATTCAGAATGGGTTGTCTCCAGGGAGACATGTACAACTCATTCCTCGAAGCCGATGACTTATCAAACAGTTTGGATGTGATCAAGTATCTAAACGAAAACAAAGTCGTTCAGAGTTTCACCATGGCCAAACCCAACATTGTACTTCACATCCAGCAGCTGGAGTTCCTGATGTCAAATGAGAACAAGATATTTCCAACTGATGCATTGAGCCTTAGATTGGTATTGATGGAAATGCATCACATCGACTATGTGCTCCAGGTCAACCCATCATTCTTCCAACCAGCGACCCACAGCGACTACTATGGATGTGGATACTACCATCAGTTGAACATAATAGTCTACTCATTGTACTTTTTTCAACATCAATGGCCACATCAATGTTATGATCATCGTGCTCAAATGTTGGACTTTCTCAAATCGATCATTCATCATTCAGTAGGCAGAAGAAATTTATTCTTGGTACTTATATTCTTTGTCCAAAATGGTCGATCCAGACACTACATTGAGGTGATCAAACTTCTGTTCGAGRATGCTAAGACAATCATCATCATTAAGAAAAGAGTATGAGATAATAGATGGACCCAGTTCAATCATTGGAAGAAGTAGTGTGGACGTGTTTGATTACCTGAAGCCCCAAAACCAAGATATACACTACATATTGGAAGTAGCCGTGGCCATTCAGGTCCTGATCAAACATATTTACAAACATCACATTCACATGTTGAGGTTTAACAAGGACAAGGACAGTGCCAATGAAAAGGCATCCATGGATATGATTGAGTCAACCACTTTGGATGATTGGTTCAACATGGAGTGTGGCAAGAATGAAACAGTTTCATTCACCTGTAGCAAATTCTTTAGATAAGCTGATGTAAAGAGATAATATAATAAGTGCTTGTTTGATTGATCATTCGATCTATCGCTGCCTATAATATTTAGTATTTGAAATAGTACTTGAAGTATTCTTTCTCTCCCTCATTTGGACTTCATGCTCGAAATCATTCAATCATACACTTCAATCAATCTATGACATTGCATTACATTCAGAATGGAAACAACAATGACAACAAAGATGTATAACAATGATCGTGGAGTGATCATCCATGTGCTCATCAATCGATTACTCGTCAGAACTATCATCGACTCATTGTCATGGAGTGATATAAACAGGAGGACATTACAACATAGGATCAATGAGATTGCCATACATGGTAGATACAACCCCGATCACCCAGAACCAATACCTAAGCATTGCTTTCGCTACAAGTACCATCACTGGACTGATGCAGGGTCCATGTTCAAATACCGACATCATGGTCTGTTGCGTGATCAAATCAAACGCAACCTATACATCAACTTCACACACTCCACTCCATTGATCATGTTCAATCATGGTGATGTTGACAAAGAGACATTCATGGATGTCTATCTCAAGTATCAACGATTCTTCACACACCCAGACTTGCTCAGGTGTGCGGTCCAAGCCAACAACATGCTCGCTGTCTTGGTTCTCTGGCATCAAACATCTCCAGTGGTCTTTAAACGAAACCCTTGGTTTCTGGCTGATGCAGTCACAGTCAGGAGTGCACCGTTCACCGTGCTCAAGTTCATCTATCACTCTATTCGCTTTAACAAAATTAAGATGTCAAAGCTATTGAGTATAATCACTTACAATGGCATGGATCACTTCTACTCATCAGCATCATCGATTCAATACATTATGGATATCAAGAATAACTTCCCTCCAGCACTTATCAATATGATCAAAGATGGTGCATATAATCACTCTGGCACTATAATATCCACGGGCGATCGACAACTGATTGAACAACTGTTGTTCAATGATGGCCAGCTCTACAAGCCAAGCCACTACGATCGAGCAATTAACGAAGATGAGTTGCTGCCGAATGCGCCACCAGCTGAACAACTGGCACATATTGAGATGATGTTTAGACAGGAACCAAGTGACGACGGTGTGACTTTGGAAGAGCGATCACTCAAACATCTAGAGTCGTCCAAGTCGAAAGCTTTTTCAATACTGTCACAGTATAGTAGTTTGGCAACAACAACAACTCATTCATCTCAAGTTGGAGACTGCATTGGAGATGAACAAAGGATGGTGTTTTTGAAGCTTGGCGAACGCAGGTTCTACGGCGAGATGAAATCACGTGAAGTGATCATCAAGTACTTGATACCTCAATATGTACTCACTGGAGACTGCATGCTCATACCATACATCATTGAAAGATCAGGCCGTGGATGCAACAGCAATCATGTGTCGAATTTGATCAAGCAGATCATCAGACATGGCAACATCTATCAGATCATTGTGGCACATGAAGTTTTGGAAGAGAGCGATGTCCCTGAATTTAGAATGGATTTCTTTAATGGTGATATATACAACTCATTCCTCGAAGCGGATGACGTATCAAACAGTTTGGAGGTGATCAAGTATCTAAACTCCAAGAATGTTGTTCAGAGATTGAATACGATCACGATCAATCCCTGTGTGCTTAACGACCAGCAGTTGAAGTTTATGATGTCCGATGACAACAAGATCTTTGAAATCTGTCAATTTAGACATCGGTTGTTGTTGTTGGAAGCTCATCATATTGATTATGTGCTCCAGGTCAAGCCATCATTCTTCCAACCATTGTCCCCCAATTCCGGACAATATCTCATTGATAGAATGTTCGAAGAGTTGAACATTATTATCTTCTCATTGTATATTGTCCAACATCCAGAACATGGCAGTCGTACTTTATTATTGGACTTTCTCAGATCAATCATTCATCATGGTAAGGGAGGATATTCACATGCATTGATATTCTTTGTCCAACATGGTCGATCCAGACACTACCTTGATGTGATCAAACTTCTGTACGACTTTGATCATATGAAGGACCAGACTCATTATCCTTCATTACTCGATACAATCATTGGAAGAAGTAGTGTAGAGGTGTTTGATTATCTGAAGCCCCTAAAGGGGATACCCTTAATCCTAGAAGTAGCCGTGTATAATGATAATATGGAATTGATCAAACATATTTACAAATATCATTTTGACCTTTGGAGGCATAAATGGAGCAATTCCAGTTGGATATTCAATCATATCGATGATGACAAAAGATCAATCAATCTTAAACAATAAGTTAATAATAAACTACCCTCAACCCTTGCCCTTACCTGTCGCTTGGAGGAAATTGTTCAGAACACTCCTTTCTCTCATTTCGAGAACAAACAAAGCCAACTTTGATTCAAAGAGACTTACTAGTGTACAACATGTAGTTATAATAATAATAATAATGGATAAAGAATATCAAATAAGAGTACAATCAACAATAATGTTGGTACTTACAAATAGAACATTTGTAAGAGCAATCATAAAGTCTCTTTCATTGAATGTTGTGAACAAGAGGACAATAGTACGTTGGTTGGGATCAGGTAGTTTGAGAGATCCACAAGGGTACACTCATTCAGGATTCAGAACTAAGTACAATGACTGGACTGATGCAGAGTCACTGCTCAAACATCGTCATCTAGGTCTACTAAGAGATCGTATCAAATGCAATCAATATCTAAGGTTCAATAGACATACTGCACAGATAATGTTCAGTTATGGACCAATTGACAAGGACACCTTCAATGCAGTACATAACAAGTATCAACAATTCTTTAAAGATCAATATATATTCAAACACATACTATATAATGCGATAGTCAAGTCTGCTGGTAGCAACACCGATGTTGTGAGCAAGTTGTTGTTCAATAATCCAAATGCATTGGAATCAAATAACCTGGTTCTTGGGCATATACTAAACCAACTATACAACTGTGGAGCATTCGAGATGATAAAGGTGTTACACGATACTGGACATAACATTGAGGTGTCAAAAGATCATACCATCAGTTGTGTTTTCAGGGCACCAGCCGCATCAATACGATACTTTCTTGATCCCAACAACAAGTTCAATCCAAAGCTTATCAATCTGGTCAAATCAAGTGCGAACCTCCCTTATTATGCTAGTCTGATCATTTCCAAAGGTGATCAACAACTCATTAATGAACTTTTGACCATCGACGTCGTTAGACAAATCAAAGGATCACCAATCGACCAATCAGACACCAAACTCAATGATCTAACACTATTTTATATTGCAAAGTCCAAGAGCACTACATTGACAATACTGTCATCAACATCGCATACGAGTCAAGACACAGACATTGGTGATGTCAAACGTATGACATTTGTCAATGGTCAAGCAAGGAGACAGTGCAATGTGACTGTGCACCAGTATATAATCACTGGTGATTGTATGCTCATACCTTTCATGATGACAGACTATGATAAGCTGGATGTAAGATTCATAATCAATGAGTTAATCAAACATGGCAATGTCACACAGATCATTGTGGCACTGGGAGTGTTGGACAATGTGATCTTACCGAATCAGACAGGTCATCATAAATGTGATGATCGATCATTATACTTTGGTGATATGTACAATGCATTCTTGGATTCAGAACTAATGTCCAAGAGTTTGGAAGTCATCAAGTATCTAAATGATCATCACGTGGTACAAACGATGGATAGGCGATCGCATCTTCGAGACGACGTAATCCTGGACTCACCTCGTACTCAACAAGCACTTGAGTTCCTCATGTCCATTGACAACAAGATATTCCCATTGGCATTGCTAAAGAGAAGACTTGTTTTGTTTGAACCTAGAGATATCGATTATGTCCTCAACAACAACCCATCATTCTTTGAAGTATACACTTATGTTGGTCGACCCAAAGCAGAACTGGATGTATTGGTGTATACTTATCATGCCGCTCAATCAATCAATAACTATGACTTGGGACTAGTCAGATCAATCTTGAATGCTATTCCACCTGGTCATCGATCTGGATATTTGGAATCGACATTTCTATACTTTATCTCTAATGGCAGAATGAACATGGATGTGATCAAGATGATGTTGCAGGGATTACAATTCAAACCAACATATTCATTACTCTCTCTTCTTGGAGCATCGGGCGATGTAGGTCTGTTCGATTGTGTATTCAAGTATGGCGGTCTATTGGAGTCCAAACAGGACATTTCAAACACTCTCAAGGCAGCAGTGTTATATCGCCAGAAAGGATTGATCAATCACATTACCACCAATTACAAAAACCATTATTCTAGACAGCCTCTGGAGTCATAAATAAACTCGAGTACTATAACATAATTGGTACTTTGTGTACCATTCTTGTTGTTTCTATTACAGTTACAATATTGGTAGGATGGATGCTGATGCGCTTATGATGGATGTTGTATCAATCAATCGACCAAGAGTGAAATTAGACTGCTCTCCAGTGGGTACAGTTGCTGAATGGTCTGCTGTATCTCCTTCAGATTGGATAGCTTCTTGTTGTGAATATAGTGTAACGCTAACTCTTGATATCCACTATGTATGTGTATGGGTGATGGATTGGTTCCAGTTCGAAAGTTAGTGAGTCTTGAATGATCAAGTCAATGAAAGGAATACATACGACTGGGGCTCGAGTGAGGTGGCCAGCTTGAAGGCACGCTCGGCCGTGTCTTGGTTGTTGGCCTTTTGACAAAGATGACCAATCTCAATGCATTTCTTGCCGAGATAGGAGAGGGTGTTCTCATCGGGATTGGCAGAGAGCAATGCTGTCCTGTTGCTCTTGATGGCCTCGGCAATCAATGGAACCAGGTCCAAAGCAGTCTGGTAGGCTTCACTATTGATACATATCTGGAACTTGAGATGATTGGAGATACGATTGAGTTGCAGACACTCCTTGGCATAGCCGCGCACCGTGAGGAACTTGGCCATCAGGTAGTGATACTTGGGGTCGACCATTGCAGCACACTTCATAGCCTGTTCAATCAACTCCATTTGTGTCAGTGACAGGAACTTGAACAAATAGTGAGTCAGTGGGAGGCAGTAGAAGCGATGGCTGCTGTCCACCACGACCAGGCCCTCATTGTTGACCTCGACCAGGGCGATCGGGCCAGCAGGTCTGTACTGTGGCAGTAGTGAGAAGCTCTGGTTTGGCTTTGTATTTGACATTGAGCCCGACGAGACCTCGTACAGATCCTCAGGGAACACCACGCCATTCATTGATGCCAAGATCAGTGGCGAGCTCTCATGATCATTGGGGAAGACTAACAATTGTATGGTTGACGAGTGAGTTAGTAACTTGATTGATTGATTGAATGAGTGAGTGCACTTACGACATTGTATATCATTGGCGGTTGAGAAGAAAAGGATGTTGTGGTGCCAGAGGGCCGATGTAAGGGTAAGGGGCCAGCGACACACGAGTTGGATGCTGGGTCTGATCTTGAAGAGACAGAAGTGATTGGTATACACAAAGACACAGAAGGTCTGGTTGTGATCCCAATACATCCTCAGGGGAGGTGGCATCTGTTCGCCAACAGGCTGCAATGTCCACCAATCGTACAGCTGCAATGACTTGGACTCATTCTCTTGACCCGATGTCTGAATGGGTGGTTCCAGTGGTGCCGAACTTGTTGGAGAACTTGCGCCGGTCGATGACGCCGACGCCGATGAGCCCAACGCGTTCTCCCTGTGATAGACGCCGAGCAACAGTCCACTGCTCAGCTTGTCCTCGTTGGTGTGCAATGTCAGCTCCTGCGTGGCGTTGCTTGGGAACTCGCGAGTCTTGAGTACAATCTTTGATGTGGCCTCTTCCTCCTTCTTCTTCTTGGTGGTTAGGACGCCAAGTGTGAGCTTCTTCTTCTTGACTGGGTCGTTCGAGCTGTCAAAGACGCGCTCGACGCGTCCGAATCGCTCGACGCCATCTTCTTTGCCGCGTCCACTCCAGGCCACATCGATGGCCGCGCCCTTCTCCAGCAGCTTCCATGCTCCAATCTCGTAGACCTGGTACTGGCCCGTCATGACGTAGTGCACGCTCAGACGGCGGCCTGAAGGACTGATCTCCAGACGTACGGGGTCGCATGCTGCGATCGGTATCTCCTTGATGACTGTACGTTCGGCGTTGATGATGCCAGTGAGTGGCAGTGAGTTGAGGAAGCCATTGTATGGGAAGTACACGTGCTCCCCGCCCTGAACGGCTGTGGCGTACACGGGCAGTGCGCTGGCCATCGTCGACAGCAGGGTGAGGCTCCTGTTGACCCATGCCAGCCACAAGTTTGGCTGAAGTGGGTGCTGCATCATTCTGTACAGCTTCACCTTGTCCTTCTTGGCCGGGTTCAGGATCTGGTCCAGATCAAACACCTGCTCCTTGATGGTGCTCTGCGAGCGACTGAGCAGAACGACCTGCGCTGGGTTCTTCATTGTGAGCATGATGTCCTGTTGGAAGCGTGGATGATAGAATGGCTCGACGCTGGCAAACTCCCTCTTGCCACAGTTGACCTTGGACACCTCCTTCATCGTGACAATGTCATAGATCAAAACCACTCTGTCTGATGTGAGCACCAAGATATGTCCAGTCACATGATCATAGGATATATCTATGATCTCGTGTACCTTTGGGAACTGAGTCGCCAGTGTACCTGTCCTAATGTTCCACAAGCATGTGAATCCATCACTACCAGCAGTTACCAACAAGTCGCCCTCGACCTGGAATTTGTTTGATTGATTGATTGAATGAGTGAGTTATTGTGATTGATTGTGAGAAATCACGTGACGAACATACCTCGATAGACTTCATCTTGGTGATGGTCGTGTTGTTCTTTGAGTGACCACCGGTCAGTGGCTTCTCAAGCTCCCATTTCTCAACGTTCCAGATGCGAACGGTGGAGTCGCTGCAGCCAAAGGCTACGAGGGGCGAGTTTGAGAAGAACTCGATGGAGGTGGGCGGCTTCAGCTCAAAGATGGGCACCTTGACCTCGCGTATACGCTGCGAATGGTAGTTGATAAAGACGATGCGGTTGTCTGCCACAACGACGATGTAGTCATCGCTGCCAATAGTGTTGGCCACGCTTGTGCCTGCACCCGCCTTCACATTCTGTAGCTTGCCCTGAGATGTCTTTGCCTTGCGATCCTTGATTGCACGCGTGTACTTATCGTAGAAGTGCAGGAACCTCACCTGACCCATCTTCTCCAGCTTCTCGTTGACCACGTTTGCGTTGTTGTCACCGATGTCGCCGGCTGCGGCAACTCTCGCGCTGGCCACTATATGATCGTTCGAGACGGAGGGGTGGGCACCAACTCGCACGGTATTGTTGGGCGAGCGATGCAACGTGTTGTTCATGTTCATGTTCATGTTGATGTTCTGTGTTGGCGACACGAGCGTGTAGTTGCTGGACATTGGCGAGGCGGGTGAGAGTGGCGAGTTCTGCGCGCTGAGTGTCGACGTGACTGTGAGTGAGTTGGGAGATGTGGCTGTGCCCGAGCCGCCCGACAAGGGGAACGGCACGGGGAAGTTGGCCAGCGCCGACAGCGTCGGTATGCGGCGCTGTAGCAGCTGGAGCTCGCGACGCTCCTCGTCATGCTGGCCAATCGAGAAGTTGAGTATCTTTTGCGAGGTGATGTAGTTCTGCACGACGATGTTGTTGTCCTGGTCGGCGTACAATAACCATGGGTGCACTGGATGCATGTCCATCGGGTTGAACGTACTACTATTCTGTTGTATCTTATTCCTAAACACTACATAGCTTGCAATATCTGCATGTGATGATGATGTTGTTGTCGTCGTTGAGTTGCTGGCGCCACTGTTGCTCGATGCAACTCCAGAAGTCTGTGATGCCATGAACAACTAAATATATAAATATATAAATATGTATGTTTATTATCTGTACGAATGAATGATTGTTTGGGTGTAAACTTTTTTGATCATCACCAAAAAAACTGGTGTGATCATTCACAAAGTCACACACTCCAGTAAATCTCAATCTGATCAAATTTAGATCTCTATTCATATAATTGAAATCTAACAAGCTCTAACAAATAATTATTTATTATTTAACTATTATTATAAATTATTTAGTTGGATTGATATTGATACTCTATTATTATTATTAATATATATATATAATGTAACTATTCGAACAACGAGTTGACTTGAGAACATTGCGCCGAGCCCTCCAACTTGAGGGCGTAGTACTTCTCCATTGTTGTCGCTGACTTGTGTCTGCTCAGAGCCTTGACGTCTTGAAATGATGCTCCAGACGCCAATGCCTTTGTTATGACTGCCGCGCGTGTTGAGTGTGCTCCATATATAGATGTATCGATGCCAGCCTCCTCCATGACCTCCAATGACAGTTTGGTGATCCAGTCTGCCGATAAGCACTGATGTGGGGGCTGTGTTGCGATGAAAACTCCAGCTTGATTGGACTTGTTCCTCCACTTCTTGGTGCTATTGAGATACTCCTTCMATGCATTGAACGGACAAACCCTTGATGCAGCGGCGCCGCTGACTGGTTTGAGTACCAATGTTGATTGACTTGCCGATGCCCTTTGTTCCTTGGCATTGACGATTGGGCCCTTGATTGAAGTATTGGAGACCACCAGCGATGAGAATGCCCAGCGCGCCAAGTCTGATGATCGTGCGCACAGTGCCAGTCTGACCAGTACCAGCGTTCTCTTGAGAAGGTCGATGTCGGACCTTGCTCGCTTGCTATAGTTATCGCGAATGAAGTTAATAACTATCGTCGGGTCCCATACCTCTGAATACTTTGGCTTCGACGGCTTCTTCTTGGCGAGACCTTGAAGCAGCCGTTTCGTCGATTCATCGTCCAGTGCGTCCATGCGTGCCAGTTTGCGAAGTGAAGAGAGAGCAGAGCGGTGCGTGTAGATGTAGGACGTACTGTAGTCCTTGTGACCGAGGTCGGCGATGAATGCATTGACCATCTTGGTCGATATGTCTGTTGGTGAGCTGTTGTTGGCCATGGTGAAGGTCGACCACCTCCTCCACACTGCGTCGTATGCCTTGAGCGTGCCTGGTTGCCATGCGTTGTGGATGAACACCATGTCAGCCGCCTCTATGTCGTCGATGAAGTAGTCCACCGCCTCTAGGAAAGTACTAGGTATGCRAGCTTCCACCTCTCCCTCAGCTCCGGTCTGATCTGGCTGATTGACCGTTGCTTCAAACAGTGATCGAAGGTCCCTAGTACTGTGATCTGGGCTTGCTCGGTCTCCAACTCTTTTACGAGGGGATACCACGGTGCGACTAACCACAGAGGGAACACGAKCACGGATGATGGGCGACCGCTCTCGCGCCACTTGTCGATTGCTCGGGGTACCATGCGTGGAGGGGGAWACAGATACAGATGGTCCTTTCTTCCCCACTGAAGGCTGAACGCGTCTTTGTCGAACGTGCAATAGGACTTGAATCGGTGATTGTGGTGTGATGAGAAGAGGTCGATGATTCTTCCTGATGACGGTCTCCACTGGTCGAGGAGTTCGCGTATGACTTGGCGTCGCATTGTCCAGCCGTACCGGGCTGTAGCCCTGGCCGTTGTCTCTCCTCTCGACAACTGGTCTGGTGTCGTGTTGAACATCCCTGGAATGTGTTCCACCAGGATCACCACCTTCCTGCTGAGGCACTGTTTCCAGAAGTCCTCCACCCTGGTCGAGAGGTGAAGGAGCTGACCGCCCTGTTTGGACAGGTATGATAGCGCTGTCGTGTTGTCCGTCCTGACCACCACTGTGGTGTTGCTGAGATCTTGCCCGAGATGGTTGAATGCTCGAATGACTGCTTCGGTCTCTCTGGCGTTGGACGACCATTGGGCCTCTTCGTCTGACCAACGCTCTGCGTGTGATTGCACTTCCTTCTCCTTGTGGTGTATCACTGCTCCCCATCCGTACTCCGCCGCGTCTGATTGGAGCGACCAATCTGCCTCGATTGGTGGCTTTAGTGGCTTGCCGTTCCACTCCTTGAGTACCACCAGCCAAGCCTCCAGCTCGTCTGTCACGGCCTTGGGAACGTTCAGGACCTTGTCCCATTCTGCCGCGTGTTTCCTCAGCGAGTCGGTCAGGAATCGATGTACTACCCTCTGGTAGAGACGTTGGGGTATGACCGCGTCCTTGAGTGCTGTTAGCTTGCCCTTCAGGCCTGCCAGCTCTCTGATTGTGCACGTTGCTCTTTTGGTGAATGCTCTGATCTCTTTCTTGAGYGCTGTCTTCTTCCTTGCTGGCACGATGAAGCACATGGATCTTGAATCGATGTCGAAGCCTAGATATTCTTGGCGTTGGGTTGGCGTTAGTTGTGACTTCTCTTCGTTTAACAGAAAGCCCAGCTTGGTCAACAAGTTGACCGCTAACCTCGTGTGTTCCTCGCACTGCACTGGTGTCCGACCAATCAGAAGTATGTCGTCCAGATACCCTACGACCCTGATTCCCATGCTCCTCAATCTCGCTAGCACTGGGCGCAACAGTTCGGTGAACAGTCGTGGTGCCGGAGCTAGACCAAAGGGAAGAGAKCGGAACCTGTAGTGCTTCCCCTTCCACATGAATCGGAGGAAGTCCCTGCTCCGCTTGTCCACCAGCACGTTGTGATATGCCTTCTTGATGTCGATCTTGCACATCCACTCCCCTTTTCGCAGCAGGTGCTTGATGTCCTTGAGACCCTCCATCTTGAACGACTCGTGCACCACGTACTTGTTGAATGGTCGAAGGTTGAGGCACGGTCTCCTTGAACCGTCTGGCTTTGGGATGGTGAACAGCTCGGAGTAGAAGCCTTGGTTTGGCGCGCACGGTGATACCACCTCTATCACCCCTTCGTCCAACATGGTGTCYACCTCCTTGGTGATCCAGACCTCGTCCTCTGGGCCTGCAGATTGGTTGGTGGGAGGTCTTGATGGCCTTGTCTTGGAGTTTAGGTCGATCTTCACTCCTTTTACTATCTTCAGAGCCTGACCTGGAAGGGCCATCTGCTTCCAGACTGCTATGAAGCGGGCTAAGCGGCCGCCCAACTTTACTGCTTGGTGCTGCTGCTGCTTGGTGGTTTCGAATGCCTCCCGTCGCTCCGAAACCCCTTCGACTGAGGTTGACTCCCGACTGGCGAGTACCCCGTCTGAGAAGGCTGACTCGCTGACGGCACAGGCTGGACGGCTGCCTGTGGCTGCACGAACTGCTTCGAGTGTGCACCAGCTTTCTTTGCTTTCGCCTTCTTTGGTTGTTGTTGTTGCTTGTTGAACAACGGCGCGACTGCTTTGGACCTCTTGTCTGCCTCCTCCAACTTGTTGATGACCTGGTCGTTGATGAGGCAGTCTTGGTCGTTGTTGGACGACACCGAGAATAAGTGCGCTCTGCTCGGCATCGCCATCTTCAACCTGAGGTTGTCGATCGAAGTGACGACGTTGGCAATGGTTACCAGACACGTCTCGATCATCGTCGCGAATGTCTCCTCTGAATCTGGGTCCAAGATCGTTACCATGTCCAACAATGGGAGGGATACTGTCGATGGCCTTCATCTGTACAATGTACAA